TAAAACTAATCATCCAGAACAATATTTGGATCTCAGGCCGATTACCTTATTATGCTTTCTATCAAAAATACTCGAAAGAGCTGTCTACTCACAACTAGTGGAGTTTTTCGAACAAAATCACTCATTTCCTCTACATCAGTCAGGTTTCAGAACTGGTTACAGCACTACTTCGTCTTTATTACATCTTACTGATTCCATCATTCACAATTTAGACAATCACATCAACACCGTCTTGGTACTGTTAGATTTCTCGAAAGCCTTTGATATGGTCAATCACCAGATACTACTGAGTAAGTTATCTCATTATGGAATGTCAGATATAGTTCTAAGGTTCTTTGAGTCATACTTGCTAAATCGTCAACAAACAGTGAAAACTGATCAGGGAATTTCCTCCTCTGAGCCAGTTCCTTCAGGAGTTCCTCAGGGCTCAGTATTAGGTCCCTTACTATATCTGATTTATACGATCGATCTGCAAGACTGTTTAGTCCACTGTAGTATGCAAACTTATGCAGATGATACTCAGTTAGTGTTTGGTTTCGATCCATCAAAGGTTGATGAAGTTTCTTTTAAAGTTAATTTAGATTTGGCTAACATCGGTGATTACTGTAACAAACACTGCTTGGAAATCAATCCCAATAAAACTACTGCAATGTTGTACTGTTCGAAGAACTCCTACCGTGAAATGAAGCAGAGGATTTGTGTTTTTTTGGATGAGACACTCATCCCTTTTGTGGATTACGCCAAGAATCTCGGTGTTACCCTTGATTTAAATATAAGATTCGATCGGCATGTCTCTTTCTTATCTAGAGTAACGTATTTGCGTTTGAAACTCCTCTATTCTAATCGATACATCTTGAATTTTAAAACCCGAAAAAAGCTGGCTGAAAGTCTTGTGTTGTCTGTCATTTCTTACTCTCTTGTTCTGTATTACCCATGTTTGGACTACGTCCACAAAAGGAAACTCCAGAAAATTCAGAACAGCTGTTGTAGTTTTATTTTTGGATTGCGCAAGTTTAGTCGCGTCTCAGATAAAATCAAAGAACTCAACTGGTTTCGAATTGATAAGTTATTTTTATATCTTTTGACCGTCTTCACGCATAAAGTTCTACTATCTAACAGGCCAGCTTACCTCGCTAGCAAATTAGTTCACCGAGGTAGTTTTGTTACCAGAGCTCTTAGATTTAATGCTAATTTTAACATTCCTCCTCACAATACCTCGGTCTTTAAAAGAAGTTACACCTATAATGCATTACAATGCAGTCAACAGTGGCTATCGATCCAAACAGGTTGTTTCTTTTAAGAAATTAATGAAAAGTCAGCTGCTGGAGTCCATTTAGTTCAGTTTTTCTTGTGCTCATGTGATTTTTTTTTATTTTTTTTTTTGTTCGACTATTTTCTACTATTTTTGTTTCAAATTTAAAACTCTCGCAATACTATCTGCATTTGTCTCGTGCAATCAATGTTGTAATTCTTATGAATTGTATTTTTTTTTGTATGTTATTATTTTGTTTATGAGTTTAAGTATTATTTTTTCCTGTTGTGGGGTTGAGTGTAAGAGTAGCCGTCTGGCTAAACTTCGCCTCACTGCAGTTAATAAAGGCATTATTATTATTATTATAGACGGGCCAAGCATTTGTGGACAGTCATACAGAAAGACCGCAAATGAGTGACATGGTTTTTCATGGTTTAGGTTATATAGCATCTGAAAAAAAATATCTCATTTTACAAACGATAACAATACTTCCTCGCCAGTAGGCGTGGGAAGTAACAACGAAGTTGAAGCGCGACTACCTTGAAAACTATCTAGATAATCCATTTTAGCAACCAAAAATTCAATATTGCTTAGGTAAAGAGTATGGAGTATATAATAGTATTGCGACCGGTTTTTTTTTTTTTGATGTAGCATCACCTTTACCGCTACTGATACCAAGAATTAAGTAAGCTTTATGAATATTATGGTATGTCGGCACTTATTCTTATAACAGTTCTCTTTGCGACGACTTGCATATCAATTGTTTAGTAAGTAGGTACGCTGTTAAGATGATTTGCATTCAAGTCGAGTGAGGTGGGCATAAAGGCCATAGAGGGCGTTCACCGACGCGACATTTCAAACACGCTAAATATGCTTTGTTTATTTGTTGGGTGCACGATGACAGCGCCACCCAGCGGATGTCGGACAGAAATATTTGTTCTCGACACGTGCAATATGCAAATAAACGGATATCATTGAAAACAGAAGACACCTAGTCGGTTTCAGGTTAGGAAAAGCCTGAATTTTAAACTGACCATTCTCTTTTTATCTGATCTCAAATGATGACTGCGAAATATTTGCACTACTGCCAGGCCTCAGTTGTTCCCACATAACACAAATTCCAACTGGTAACATGGTTTACCCAAGAAATTTTCAAAATTAGTTAGAGCCACATTTAGAAGATTTCTCGTTTGTTATTACTATGAAATCAAAGATGTTTTCTTTACATCCTGTCTTATTATTGAGAAGCATAAAATATATAATATATATCATTTCGGATCAAGCTTCACAAAATATGAAGTGTAGCGCTTTTCGCTTTACTCAAATATCGTCAGGAATATGCTGTTTCCAACCTTTATAAATAATGAAAATGTCAAAAAGAGTACTTTTTAACATAGTCAGCGATCCATTAGCTTCAGATGTCACATATTTCTTTTAATTTCGTACCATCAATCGACCCAATAAAATTCTAAATCTAAAGCGAGTGTCACACGATCAGGATTTACTGTCGTCCATATTGTCAGTATTTACTAATAATTCCGTCAGTATAAGTAGATTTTTACGTCACCTTATACAATGGTTATATCAAAACATCTTAGTTTAGGAACAATATTCATCCACTCGTGGCGAGGCCACCCTATGTAATTGTAATGAATTTACGATTTTTGGTAAGAAAAACAAATCTTAGGATTCTAACAGATTATGAGAAAAAAAAAACTATGGAGCAGCCGTTGAAAGAAAATGATCCCTTTAAATCTGCCAAAACGATCTTGATAATATTTTTAACATCTTATACGTATATAGTAAGATAGTCAAAACTGAAATTTCATTCAGCAGTACGTATAGATTACTCATTGTCAGATACTGTAAAAAATTCGATCCCACTTAGCAGCTTCCGAAATAGAGTCAAATCCCATGTCAAAAGAGCACAATAGTTTTATTTTTGTTGTATTAATTAAACCCATCATTATTCTTTAATTGTTAGTATAGTATTATTTACGGGGGTTGCATGGAAGAGCAACTATTTTGAATGCCGCCTCCCTCATCAAATGAGTTTTTTCTTTTTTTGTTATTCTTTCAACTAAGAAATAAATACATATTATTATTATCACGAGAGCCAGCATCGCATAAATGTATGAAACAATACATCAATGAATGCAGTATCAATAATTAACTAAATCTTTTTCAACAGATATTATTTTACACCGTGCCCCGGCACTCCTCAAATAGAAACACCCACGGGTCTAGTGTTCCGCACATTTCTTGGAAAAAAACTTCAAACGCTTCAAATAATATCTAGAATTCATCGTGATGATAAAAATTTTTATAGCCTCTGAAATTTGAAATAAACTATATATCAACAGTTCTTTAAAAACATACATTATTCGAACTGGCGGATTAACGAGTAGAAGAGATACTAAAAGCGAGGGTCATATGCTTGTATTTTATAAATATTTAGACGTCTTTACATTTTTTAAAACTTGGCTAGTTACGCAAATTAACAAGATTTATGCAGTACCTTATATCTTCAAGCTTATTTTAATAAACACAGTTTAATACCAGACTTTTTACAGACATACATTAAATTGCATGACGTATGATCAGTGAGCTCTAATTTTTTCTTCACAGACGATCAAGAGGAACTAGCAAAATCACATTTCTTGATGACGGTGCGATGATGAGCAGAAACCTGACGAATTCATCGAGCTTGCCTAGAAACTCAGTCGGAGATATCATACTTGCCCATTGCTTTGGAGAACGTAAATACGTATACCCAGAAATGCTTCATATTAAGTTACTTCCAACAACTGTCTAAATTCCGGAATCCTCGACCTCTTTTGATGGGGAAGAATATTCTTATGATTTTTTTGACGTACTTCGAAGATCAAACTGACCGTACCAGATATAGGTACCCTATATCGAGAGTCTTAAAAGAGAAACAACTTCACGATTGGTATGAGGAATTATTGTTCATACATTTAGGCAACATCCTGTATACAAGTTCATCACACCATAAGTATTTATGGAATAATATACCGCCTAACAACTATGATCTGAGCGTCTCGTATTTTCATAACGTTATATCTGATATTATAGAATTTTAATGAGCATAATCTAATCCTCTAATCCTATCAATAAAAGTGAAAGTATAAGTATGGTCTCAGGAATTCCATGGATGATGATGCGGTAGTAGAAATAGCGATTTTAAATTACGAGGGTAACCCAAAGAAACTAATGTTCTTCATCATCGCCAATGAGATCTCGTGTAATGACATTTATTTTAATCATGCTTATTTCTAGTTATGGTCATTTCACGATACGAGTACTTCAACACACTCTGCCGTCTTTTGAGGTGAACAGCTGATCAGCAAGTAACATTTATTTGTTAGCGCTTGGCAATAATGAATCTGTTGAAACTCGGGACAATCAAAATTTATTTTCAGATACACACTGCGAATTTTAAAAACAAAATATACACAAAGAAATGCAATGAATCACATAAGAGTGTTATTAGAAAGTACAAGTCAGTACAAAAGGCCTACAAAAAACTCCGGCTTAATACGACTTGTCAGAGATGTGCGTCAGTTACCGATATAGGATGTTTTGAATATCACTAGATAATAAGCTGTTATTTTTTGAGACGTTTTGATGTAAAAAATTAAGGTGAAAGATAGTTTACTCTTCACAATCTAACCTTCTCACTCTGCACAAAGCTCGGCCTGAAATACTGCTGAAATGTATCTGGGGAGCTGTTATTCCAACTACTCTGGTAACAAAACTGGCGGTTCTAAGCTTCCTTCACATCGAAGGTCTTTCGGTAATCGACCCATTTCTGATTCTCACTCTAACTCGGTGGAGCTTTGCAACTTACAAGTTCAATCTCTCTTTTGTCCGTCGGACTATCGGTTGGTGTTTATGCAAATTTCAACCGATATCTGATGAGGGTACAGCTACAGATGCGTATACAAGTAGTGGTCCCCAAACGCTACAAAGTAAGGATCAAACTGTGGGGGGATTCACGCATTTTCAGTTAAAGTATGTGACTACGGGCTTTCAACAAAACTAAGTTTTACTAAGTGTAAGTCGGTAGATTATTAAGCATCAGTCTTAGATTGTCCCAAACTTAATTTCTGCAGTCTGTTTAATTTTTTGACAATCCCTATCATGTTGCCAAAATTGTTTCTAAACATTCTGGAAAACTTCTTAAGATTGTTTTCAGCCATTTTTAAACTTGGGCTCTTAAAGATCAATAATGTATAAAAAGAATGGATACGTTTATGAAAGCTTACAATGAGTATGTTCCGAAAGGTTTAACTGCAACAATTTTATAGATGCAATCAACTTAAAATTTTAGTTACTTTCAGAAGAGAAAAACCGCCTTAAACACCTGAGGATTAGTAGGGATGAGTAAAAAAACCAGATGTCGTCTTTGACAGTTTTCATTTTTATGTGCACTTTGGGGCATAGCAAAAAACATGACATAATGACGCTTAGAATTTTCTTCTACTGATATTATTATTTGCAACGTTTTAATTTTCAAATACATTAACAATTGATCTCAACTTTGATCATCTGTAGAACTAATTGCTACTTTAAAAAGATGCTTTACTTGGTTTTCAAGCTCAAAATATTTTTCTTAAAATGGGCGAGGTTAGTAAGGTTGCAGAATATTTACTTACCTGTTAGTAAATGTCGCAAGTGATAATAACAGTTGAATAGCTCAACTCACAACTCATTAGTTCGCAATATAAAAGACAGAGGAAACGCCAGTATAGCAGTGTCCTAGTTATGCAATGTGTTTGCTCTTACTTTCATCTTCGGAAGCAATGGGCCATTCCTCAACGTGATCTTTATTTTGAAATAATACATTGTTGCCTGCCATTGGCGTAGGTAATGAGACATGAAGCTATTTCAGTTGACAGTGAAGGATCCAGCACTGTAAAGGGGATAAAGCTGGATACATGTTTCACCATTATTTGAAAGAGGTCCTTCATAGTTATCGTATTACTAACGGTTTATGGTATGCTTTCATTTTATTCCATAAAACTAGGGCACAATAATAGTTTGAGTAATATTTAAGGAGAATAGATTTTAGATATTAAATAGGAATCCCTACTTAATATTATGAACGAAAAAGTGTGGATGTTTGTTAGTCAATCACTCCAAAATGACTAAACGGGCCTCGATGAAATTTGTACAGGGATTATAGTGTGAAATAGTTCATAATACTTTTTAGCCTGGGAAGTAACTTTGAATTATATCACTCGCTGGTCCGACTGAAATGAGCAGAGCTATAGGGTATTTAAACAGAAAATTTGCTTCGTCCATTTACACCATTTCAAAATTCGTTTTTTAGCATGATTATCTTGATTTATATGTTGTTTAAATTCAAGTATAATACTGTGAGTAAGTTACATGTATCTATTATCTAGCAAACTCTAATGCTATGTGGTCTCCACCATATGCATCAAGTCGGCAACAGCGCGGCCTACCATTGCCCCACAACATGTCACTATCAAGTCATAAAGACGTTTTATTTTGCATCAGATGTTATTTTGCAACTTCGTACGCTTGAAACTGTTACAGACAATATTGTTTTTCAGTAATGCTAAGAAGTTTCGATCGTGTTTTGTACCTTTGAAGGCATTATTAAATTGACAGCTAACTTGCTTGCATGCTTAAGAAATTTTTTTATTTTATTAGAGGCACTACCTGCACGCTGTGAGGGTAACTGTAATACATCAAATTGTTAAAATTCGACCAAAATCTTAGCTTTTTGAAGAAGTTCACCTCACAGGATCGTGGGATGGCGTAATAAAAAATACTATAGTCCTTGTGTGGAATCTACGATAGCATTGAAAATAATTTTTTTGAAGTAATTTTCATCTTTTCTGCCTGCTATTGGGTCCGTTGCATATCCCAGGAGTTAGTTAGGACTAAATTATCAGCAACCCCAGGCTATTTTCTTTAGATTGGCCATAAAATGTTAGCGTTCCCACAGAATGGATTGTCCGATTTATTCCACAGCTCAGTAGTCACGGAAAGAGTCCAGGTCTGTCTTATCTGCCTTGATCTCAACCTCTATATAGGCATGTATTAACATATAATAAAGTTGTTTCCTTACCTAACAGTGCCCAGTGGCAATATCAGCAGCAAACTGAAAATCGTTGGACAACGGCTTTTCAAGAATATAGCTGAGGAATTATCTAGCTTCTAGCCAATAAAGAGCCAGACATACCAAATCACGTGTTCTTCGAAAAAAAAAAATCTCATTCAGCATAGGCAGGGAAAGAACGCAGTGCTAGATATACGTAAGGTTTAGAAACTGTATTGAAAAATCGCTCAATTTTACAGGATCTCCTAAACGTTGGGGCTTTCCTTTTCAGAAACAACTACGTTGGTAATAATAAAGCTAATGTATGGTGAAACAACAGTGAAACAATAAAAAGAAATGAAAAAGGACTCATCGTTATCGATAATAAATTTCAAGTATAGGTCTGTCACATGCAAGTATTGTTTAAAGTTGTCTGCGATAGATTCGAAGACTCATGCATTTGATCGACGTAGCCAAGCATCAGTTGACCTTTAGAATGGACTACATTTTCCGAATGAAATGCCAAATTCGCACAAGCAGTTCGTCAACTGTGTTCACCTGAGTCTTATACACCTAACAATTTATTTCGCCCCAAACAAGAAACAAATCACGAAGGATCTCGAAAAACGTTCCGCATGCACTCGTTAAGCCTCGGTAGCATTTCTAAGACACTCACTGTAAATTAGGATAATCTGGACAATTCCGATGTTGCTGCTGTTTTGTTTAGGTTTGATTTATTTTACGGACCCTAACATCTCGTTAATTTTACGATCTTGGTATTTATATCACTAGAAAAAACTGCTCATTTTCCCATGATATATACATCGTGTAAAGGAAAGTCTTCTTTAATGTCAATAAAAGTTACTAAGTAAAAACCAATTATCAGTTGAATCCTTTAGAAACCTGATATTTCGCAGGTAACATAACTATTTTCTCCTTCTGCTTTGTAGCTGTGCTACTATATCAAAGTCGCTGAAACACGTACAACACGTTTTCTATTTGCATATGCTTTATCTCATATCGACGTACATTCTAACCGTTGTTTTATCTTTCCAGGTTACAGTTCGTGCCAAAAGAGCAGCCAAGAGGACCCTTGTCAAACCAAAGCTAGAGTTGTAGGAGATGAAACATACTGTGATAGGTATTGGGAATGTGTGAATGGTCAACCGGAACTTTATGACTGTCCTAATGGTTTAGTTTTTGCTGGAAAGAATCGAGGAGTGACTGAAGGCTGTGATTACCCATGGAGGTCGAACTATTGTGATGGAAAACAGCAGGCCAGTAAGTATTACATTTCTATTACAATCAAGTAGGCAGACATTTTAAGTATTCAGGAAGTTACAACATCAGCAGCGCAGTGACGTAGTGGTAGAGGTAATCAATCATCGCATACCATCTGAAGAGAATTTTTCTCTTGGCTATGGATGTTGTGATTATCCGTAGTTGATCGACGGTCTCAAACCGTTCATAGTGGTATAAGAAGAACCCTTTTTGTACGCATTATATAACGTTTTACTTGTATCTTGTCGAATTGAGATTTTGGCCAGTAGCAAAAGGCAAACGATGTAAAGGATGATGTGATGGGTTGACTTTTGGTGATTCTAATATATGTTTCGAGATGTAAATAAGATAAGTGATGCTTCAATCAAGTACCCAACATGTTTAATGAAAACTGAGTATGTATTGTGTCGAAGACTAACATGGGTATATTCCATTTGAAAGTGAATGAAGACAGTGGTCTTTTAATAACCAATTCATGTGTGCAAGAGCAGCCGTGTTTAAGATTGGTTTGCCTAGTGTGCAGTTTTCCTAAGGAGCTTCAGCTTAGCTGGTTTGCTTACTTATTCCGTATTGCATTGATGACGTGACCTCCAAAAACCGTGAAAAAACTATAAATACATATCGTGACATACAAGTTGTCATGCTGACAATGAGAAGCTTATCTACATTTATAAAGTTGACGACTCATATGTTGACTGAAAAATGTTCATCGCAGTGAGATAAAAGCGAATGTCTTTGAGTTGACACAAACATACATATACGCATAGAAGACGATTGTATATGTATCTGTGAGGAAGATAGATATATCAAAGTAATTCCTGTAGTGTGACCCGAAAAAAAATGCCGTGAAGAGTCCTGTAGGCGAATTTCTTCACTGTGGTACATATTACATTCCATAATACATGGACCACAGTCAATACTGATCGCGATAGTTTCATTCATTAATATATAATATAATATTGTAATATTCTGTATTTTATGTGGGCATGACAGCCTAGCAATAGTTTATTGCTGTTACATTAACGTGCCCCTGTCATTTATTAACTCCAAATAATGACTCACTCATTGTCTTATTGATTAAAAATACCTGGATATCACGATGCGAAGGTCTTACGCGTCATTCTACCTGTTTGCTCTTGCATTTGTCATGTTTTCATTTAGTTCAAAACATGTCACAATATAATGTACACACTCACTGAAGTTTCATGTAAAGAGAAAGCTACATGAGAATAGTTGTGGCTAACCATAAGTTGTTATTAATGGTTTTTCTTCAAGATATAATTATGTCACTGAATACACGCTATTATTTGTATTTCCATCAAAATTCATCCACTCAATCTCAATTCTCCAACACATACTGAATACTCATCATAACAAAATTAGACATGATTGTTAGGTCTTTTGCATGCTTGTCATGACTATGCATCTTAAAATACATGTTCAAGGACATTCTTTATGGAAATTCCAGCAGAAATAAAACCACTCAAATTCTTGATGATATTTGCATCCGCTTACTTGGTTAATAGGTATGCATATCAATTTTGATCAATGCATTCGTATTAGCCTCCGAACAACATAAAATAATAAGCTCATTTAGATACTTTCATAATGCTATCACAACTGAAATGTTTTGAGCTTGTAAAATATTTTCATTAACCATTTTCTTGCTCAATACATTTTAACCAAAATATTTTGAAAGCCAATAAACATGTTTTTATCAAAATGACGTTGCTACATTGTATATACAGGGTATCCAGAGGGAAAGTTAAGATTTTATATTTGAATTACGCGGCAACCCTATACGCGAGGAAGTGGGGAGAGGTCTTGATCGGCGTGTGGGTTAAATTGTCACAATAGAACGTTGGACCGGATCGCAACATGCTTTTTTATCGAGGCTTACTTTAAGAGTGGTGATTCATACGCCCATTTTCACTTAGATAGTTACGTGAACAAGCAAAATTGCAGATATTGGGCACCAACGAACCCAAAAGAGAAACATTAACAATAGCTACATAGTCCAAAGGTGACTGTTTGGTGGGTCATATCCTCTGGCGGTATTATTGGGCCGTGTTTGTTTGGAGATGAAAACGGTCATGCATTGACAGTCAATTCCGAGCGATACAAGGACATGAGACACTCTTATTGCTCCTTTTGTAAGAGCAGAACGTCGACTTAACAGAATCACGGGGTTTCAACAGGATGGGGCCACTGCCCATACTTCCAGAGAATCGATGGACCCGGTGAAAGCACTTTTTCCTCAAAAAGTTATATGAAAGTTTGGAGACATTTACTGGCCTCCTAGGTCACACGGCCTCACGCCATGCGATTATTTTTTGTCGGGTTATCTGAAGTTAAAAGTGTATTCCAATAATCCACGAACACTGGAAGAGCTTAAAGACAACATTCGACGAGAAATAAGTAACATCATTCTGGAACTCTGCAAGAAAGTGTTTCAGAATTTGCGCGCGCGATTAGAAGAGTGTGTCCGAAGAGATGACAAACATTTGGAGGGAGTGATATTTAAGAAATAAAACCTGCCGAACTTACCAATATTATATTATTAGTAGTTTTAAGTGAATATTTATATTCTTCCGTTTAGATCCACCAATTGGTACCGAGCATTGTGGTTGGCTGTATGGCATATTTGGCCACGAAACTTCTTGCACACGGTACTGGACCTGCTGGAATGGAACAGCAACCGAGCAGCTGTGCATTGGTGGTCTGCTTTACAATGAAAGGACGCACGCATGCGATTGGCCAGAAAATGTAGATGGATGTCAAAAGCACCGTAAGTTTTGTAAAATTTATTACTAGATTATTTTGATATGGTGATATGAAATGATTGATGAAAGAAGCTCATCACGATACCCACTATATGATGCGTAAACGGATTTACTTTTTAGATTAAAAAAAAGCATAATGAAATGGAAGGTAGTTTTGTATAATAAGCCTCAGATTGTTACTTAAGAGAACTACCGAGTTATATATTTGTACGTCTAAGACATTTGCACTGAGAAGATATGAGTTCGGAGTTGAAAAGCGATTAGATAAGTTTCTTGAAATGGTGATCAAATTCTGGTATCTACTTCGATGAACGAGTTATTACCAGCATTATTGATAGTCTCTAAGTAATAAGAAATATCAACATTTTATATATAATCGTTTTGTTTTGTTGATTGACGTATTTTACTTAATTTAGCTCTGTGCAATGATGACCCCAATGGAAACGTTCCACTTGGAAAGTCCTGCAACAGGTACTGGCAGTGCCAGGGAGGATACCCGCGACTCCAGCGCTGTCCGGCAATGTTGGTGTTTGACAGGTAAGCCAATCACGTATAAGTGCGGTAACCCAATAACGATACCTTACAGATATACCATTCAACTGAGCACAAAACAAGCTCTCTCATTAATTAGTATCTCTTGGAGTCTATGTAGTATATAAGTATAGAGTGAAATGAGTCATTCTGCCATGCATAAAAATACTAGTTATCTACAAGTTTTGTAGTTATGGAATTTCCCAGCACTACAGTATATCTAAAATCCGTAAGGTTTTATTACAATTCACTGGCACAAATGATTCGATATTTCCTTTAAAGACAATTTTGTAAGAACAGTTAATTTCATGGAGGGGTAAAATCGAATCTTTCATTGTTGATAATTCAAAATTCAATGGTTCTCGCTGTCATCACATTTTCCTGTAAAAGTTGTCGCTATATGGTTTTTGTTATAACAGATTGTTTTTTTGATTTACATCAACGATCTGCCAAATTGTAGCAGGAATTAACCTATATTATTTGGAGATGACTCGACATAAATATCCCCCAATCAGAATTTTGAACAGATATTATTCTTCTGTTTCTTAATATTGCGAAAACGCAAACCCTTTTCCTCAGTACTCTTTCACACAAAATTAATTTAATAGATCCCGTGAAACTTCTTGGAATGTTTATTGATGCAAACTTGGGAATCACACATCACTACTCAATCAAATAAGTTATCTAAAATAACTTATATGATCCGTAGCTTAAATACCTACGTATCAAAAGCGACTTTGTTGACAGCATGCTATGCTTAATTCTTATCTATATTACAATACTGCAAACTGATTTGGGGACATTCATATCATGTTCAGAGACGATGCTTCAGAATAATAGCAAACTTACACTTGATTGATCTAAAAATTTTAACTATACTATGCATATATATACTGGGATGTCTGAACCATGTTAAATATAATTATTGTAATTACAGAACTGCAAGAGAAAATCACAAATATAACACAAGGTTCAATAATGAATTATTACCAGAATACACAAGACGTAAAAACAAGACGCAGAAGTAATTATTTCGGTGTAAAATTCTCCAATGTTCTGCCCAAGTTTTGTCAAACATCCAACCCAACCACTTCTTGAGCAAACTGTGAAAAAATAGTGACGAAGGCTTTTCACAACACAGACGAGTTTTTAAATGATTTTCTCGACTTTGTTCCATAATTGTTGACCTTTAGTGCTCTGTGTTTGTTTTCGATTTTGTTTGTGTTTTATAAGTTTTTTTTATTGCCTTTTATTATGCTTAGACTTTTCTCAACGTGTGTAAGTAGTGGAGAAACACGAAAAATTATTATCATCATAGACGTCAGCTGTTGCGGTCTAATATGTTCAATATCTCTTCTGTATCATGCTTCTAATTTCTATTTCTCAAACAGTGGTATAATACGGTACTTGTGATTGCCAAAACTCCTGACTTGAATTTATGATGATTTGTTGTATTACTAATATTGATGTATAATCTCCAATGAAAGAACTTTTCGCTTGCTTCAACTACCTAAAGATCTCTTGAATGCTACAAATATTACGTATTGTGAATTTTCTTTGTTTTTTCTTTTTCTTAGGCATTCACTCCGTTGCGTAGTTCCACCAACCGAAGACTGCGATATACCAAGTACGATACCCCCACCACCACAGGAAGAAGAGGAGGAAAACATCCCTAGAGGCAGAGGAAACGATAAAGGAAACCAACAACAGGAATTTCCGAACCTGCCGCCTGGCGCAATTCCTGCAGGCAAAGGGCGGCCACGAAACTAATGCTGTCGTACAAGAAGGCTTCGCAGTTTTTTCACGAAACATGTAGGCACATCTTAAGAAAGTATGATTTGGACTTTTTTGGTTTTTGACTTTTAGTTTCACAAGTAAAATAGCTATCAAAGACAGTGAGAAGACTATATGAGAAGTAAATCCATAATAAAAACGCTTAATCTAAGCGTAACTTAATCCAAACCGTCACGATGTAATTACAGCATTATCACCCATCTTCAAACGAATCGAATTTGTTCTTTATAATTTCCTTCAACCAACTGTACTAATTCAATTTGTATACCTAGATGGCCTGTTTGTCTCCATCTTACAGCTTTTCAAGTGAATAAACTACATATAGTTTCACAAGTAAAAATATTTGAAACTGGTTGGGAATATGGATATGAACGTTATTTAATTCCACAATGACATCATCAATGACATGTTTCCTGTTTTAGAAGATAGTAAATGTACGGCCTAAGTAGAAAATATTAAAGATCTATTCAAACTTCATTGTTCAGGATGGCTAATTCCATATATTACTGACAGACTGATTTCTTTCTCGCATATCTTGAAAAAGAAATGAAGTTTATCTTAATCTAGTATTGAACGCTGGAAGCTATGTATGAAAAATGATACCACATAAATTCCGCACGAGTCGGAGCCCCCTTGATTGCGTTTTCCATCACTTTTAGGTTGATTTCGGGAGACATGTTCCATTTATCTTTCTGAATATCACCCTCATGTGCTTCTTTTGTTGGCATAAACCTTATTTTATAGTAATCCCCATAGAAAGACCAGTGGAGGTGTTAAAACTAGATCTTGGAGGCCAAATGACAACATCTAGTGCGGGAATGAAACGCCCTGCAAACCGCAAAACATTTATTGCAGATTAGCTTATCGCATATCGCTATAATGCCAGCCCGTGTGTAAATGAATTACCTGCGCGGCTCAAAAAAGTTATGTCAGGTGATTTGCTTCAAGGAGGCGTTTAGGGTCATAAGTTGCAATGAAATATTAACGGGAATGTTGGATATATTTCAATTTTGTAGATTAATTCCTAGTATTTAAACATTCTTGAGTAGTTCAATATGATCCAATAGCTGTCAGATCACAATCTGGACATTCTTGTTTGTATTTTCTACTGGGGCGATGTTGTTACTATAATACGTTACGTTATTTATATTTATTTTTATATTACACGTATGATGTATATATTTTTAATAATACCCGAAATAAACGTTTTGTATCTATTTCTGTGTTATTTCACTCCCCAGGTGCATGAACTGTGTGTTATACATAGAATGTCTAGCATAATGTGTGAGTGTGAACGTATATCTTGGAGCTGTTTAAAATTAGATTTGGATTTCAACCAAAAGGTATGCTTAGTAACAAGGAAATTCTAGAGAAAACAAACGAAATTGCTCGAGGTTGATGCAAATATGCAGATGCATAAGCAATATCATAGTCAGGTTACGAGTTATGAGTTCGCTGCGATAATAAATTTTATAAATGTTCAGCGAATACGGTAGATAATGTTAAAAAAAATTAAGTTCTGCTTTGTGTAGGACAGCCATAGCAATGCAGGAGGTTCGGCTACTTTCCCAACGTTGTTTTAGATTAAGTTTGCATAGTAGGTTCTTGCAATTAATGACACTCGTTCGTTATGTACTTTTTTAATACTTCGGTCAGTCAATACTTTTCAGATGGCCCATTTCCATGTTGGTCTCCGCAAGATGCCTTTCTGCATGAGCAGCGCTTGACTATATTGTAATACACATTCCTCAATATTCGTCATACTATTCTGATCAGTGGGCGCCTTAATATCTTTTTACGAATATTTTATAACGGTTCGCGGTTCAAGGGGATCCATTTCCATTAAAATCCATGAAACAGATGAACCAAAAAGAGCGTAACTTCAAAACAGTTTGACATATAAGCTTAGTATTGTCGTGACACAGCCTATTAAGATCACTTGTTTTACCGTCAACAATATTCGCTAAATGAACTCAATTATAATAGCATTGGTAGCTTCAAATGAGTAAGCAGCTGCTTCTACCACCAAAATGACTTCTGACATCGCAAGTTGAACGTTTCTACAAGGTGCATGTGACTATACCTGGTTTTCTCACCTTTTAGGTATTTCGTTGACTATGATTCCATTGCTGATCATGGTAAGAAATAGACTATGAATTAGTGGTCAACATGTCATAAATATTTAAAGATTATCTGGTGAAGCGCTGATGCCAGATTTTGAAAAGTCTATATATCGGATAGACTACTCATAAATCGAAATCGATGCAGAAGAAGTGATGCCAATTGTCAACTGAACCAATGGAACTAAATAAGCTTTGCAAACAGAAAAATCCCTTATCGGTAATGATTTGTAGTGACATAGTCCATTTCGCTTGACTTAGACGCGCTAGGAGGATGGCATATATGCAGTGATTACTTTTTATTTTCATGTTTATCCATTCTGTAATTGGCTTTGGCTGTTGGATGTTGCTAAATAAATAAGAAAGAAAAGGAAAGAGCTTGACATACGTGTATACCCTTCGATGGGCCATAATTCATCAAACAGACCTTCTTGCTCTATGCACTACTCATTTCGTATTGGACGTCTTGGTGGTTTACTGTTGCCTCAAAAAATCGGACAGCATTGTATCTCTTTGAGATCTCTGCTATTAAATATTTTCGCGATTAAATTGCACCTAACTGCATTTGAAGATGACATATTTCTTTACCTTTGGTAATGATTATTCACTAGTAGGTATCAATGAGATGTTCGATTTCTACTGTTCGCTAGAGGAACTAGGTGGAAAGATGGCCTGAAAAAAGTTCCAGTAGTAAGTACCATGTTTATTTTCGGAACACTCTAACCCCAATTTTACTTTATATCAAACAACAATTCCAAAGTACTCCTTTAGAAGCTTCCTATACATGTGATACGATCTGAAAATGAGATCATTAGAAAAAACAAATTTAAACAGATGTTCGTGCACACTCACAGGTTGTTCGTGCAAGCGTCGATCATTTTGCTGTAATACGGAGAGCAAGTCTCGGAGAAAAACATCTTGTTGTGGAGCAGATACCCATGGCAGAACATAAATAGAAGTTGCCTTTGCCAAAAGCTGTCTGTTATTTTCAGAGTAATCGCTATGTGGTCGTAAATGAGCTAAAAATAAAAGGACTTTCATTTTCAAAAGAGTTAATAGACATTATTTCGTGTTACCGTAACAACCTTGACGGAAAGTGATATAAACCTCTTCAAAACTTCATCGCCATTGTCTATCAAAGCGGTCGGTAGATCCTTTGCTTGGGAGAAGATATATCTCAATAAAGAAAAGAGGTAAACCTGTCGGAACGAGGATGTGACTGAGTAGCCAGGTTTGCGTCGACCGCTGGTGCATCGGCTCGAAGACTCGTGGATTTGAGTATCCGTTTCTCAGACATGGGTGTCCAGAAATATTTTTCTCAGGCAATTGGACTATTATAATTAGCTATCAGTCTAAGAAAATGTTTAAAGCGCAGGAAATCTTAAATGTGGGCAGGGTCGCCCGTGGCTTTCTCTTCGAGTCGCTGATGGGTCAGTACCTACGCTTCAGTTCGGTGGAAGAGCAAATGGATATAATGGGTCCTCGTACCGTTGGAGCTAGTTTATTAACATAAGTAATCCTGATATCGATGTTGGTGTAACCAAGTCGGTCTTTCCACCACTATTACTCCTGCTAACGTCTCGCAAGCTGCCTCTGCCGCTAGCGAGGTTAAGGGCATATTTATAAAGGTTGACTTTGTCGTACTGTTACCGTAACGCTGCCGTTTATAGTTAAAATCAATTTATAAGCTTGCTAACGTTACGGCCCGTGGCGTATAACCTAGCAGAAAATTACATATTTCCACATACAGTGTGTCCGCAAAGTTGGGGTTTTCCTTTACACGACGTGTAGATCTTGAAAACATAAGCAATTTTTCTTAGTACCATATACACCAATGTCTTAAGGGAACCGAGATAAAGAGCTCTGCAACATCAAAAATATCTGAATACCGTCCTGTAGCCGCGACATCACCAACTGGTACAAGGTCACTGGCTCAACCCGACGACAGAACTGGGTCGGGGACAGTGTGTCAGGTCAGTATGCAACCTTCAACCGACGGTTACGGTCACTCGTGTAGAGGTAATCGCGTAGACGAGAATCTCTCAACAAGCACTAGAGACGTGGCTAGAGAAGTGCAAACGCTGCGTGAAGAGGGGCTGTATCCGTTTCACGTCCAACGTGTACAAGCCCTTCAACCTGACGATTTTCCAGCAAGAGTGCGGTTTTGTGAGCGGTTGTTGCATCAACATGACAATAATCCGGACTTTTTGAAGTGCATATTGGTGACAGGCGAATCTACGTTTACGCGTAATGGGGTGAATAACTTTCGCAACACTCATGTTTGGTCAGTAGAAAATCCGCACGCTGTCCGTCGGGCACATTTTCAACAAACATTTTCGGTGAATGTTTGGGCTGGCATGGTGAACGGTACGCTCATCAGCTGATTTCATTTTCTGTTGGAGCGGTATGATTTCGGGCAGAGACGTACTTAGCCCTTCTCGTCAACTGGAGAGTGAGTACTTTTTCCTTTATTTTTTTTTACTTGGTCGCCCTTGTTTCACTACACATTACCTTTGTTATTTCAAGGGTAGTTGTTTCTGAAAAGGAAAACCCCAACTTTGCGGAGACCAAACTTGTAACACACATCTTCTAATAATCTATGTTATTATTTAAATCAAGTAAATAAAATATAGCAAACAACCTCAACGGAACACACGCCTAGCAAAACAAGACATATTTCAGAGTGAAAAGCAAGCGGAAAAACTAGGCGATACATCGCAATAAACACGTGATTTGTAGGCTCCCTTTCATTGCTTTAATCGGCAACGTCAACGTTCAATCTTTGTTAAGCCTAGCCTCGGCGTAGCAGACGAACGTTGCGGAATTCTTGTTTATAAACAGCTTAACGTCAGGAGGATGATTCAAGTTCTGCGTGGTGCTAAACGTCATAGTTTATAATTTAACCTTAAATCATCAACTTTGTCGGAGGTTTAGGGCAGCGGAGAAAATTCTAGGTTGGAACATCGAATACTGGGTGGGACCTGAGGATTAATTGTATCGGCCTATTTGACTGGCTTGATCCATCGAATTCTGTTGTTACACATGTTGGTAGTTAACTTCCTTCTAGGATGTGCTAACTCATTCTGAACATAACATTTCTCGAACTAACGACAGCCTTGCGTAATAAGTACAGCACTACATTAATACAGTAGTTCATCGAAATCTGTTTTTGAAGTAGATATTAACAATTTGAAAATGATCTACATTTACCAGCTATTTTGCATTAAATTTTTCTAATGCAACAGCACGTACTAATTAGTTTTAACAAAAATAAGTTACTTTACGTAATTTGCTTGGAGTACTTGTCAGTTCGCAGTCTAACAGAAATGCTTGAGTCCCTAATGAATACTCTGAAAAAGCTCGTGGTTCCAGAACATTGTTCTTGATATAATAATCGACTTAAGTCGATTAACGTGGCACTTCACATGCATTATTAGTACCTTTGTTTAAGTTACAACACATGCACAGGTCAGTAGCTCCTGTCATTCATTACGGAACATTCTCCTTTACGATTTTCCTTGTCACACATAGATATCTTTAAATGTTTCCAACTCTAGTTCGGCTACTATCGAAAAAATCAGAAAATATGGATTATAAATTTACCTGAAGAAGAGTTGTGATGGCAATCACAAAGACTTGAACACTGGGATATATCGCATATGCAGCTCCTGACAAAAAGCCTGAAATAAGGCCCCGAAATTCTTTTTTAACTACAGATGTTTTATTAAGATAACAGGAAATCAGCTGAAAGCAAAAATAGATCATTCAGAATATTTTTCTAGAAAATAATTGAACATTCAACGTTAAACCTTTCTACAACAGATATCATTGAGCATTTCAATTATTTTGAAGTAGTAAGTTTTCATCGGAAATAATTTTTAATTCAATGATACTTAATTCATAAAAGAAGTAGCTTACAATTATTTTACGCGTTTTCTTAAGTGAAATGGTCCTAAACAAATTTAGAAAGTTAACGACGAAAGGAGTAGTCCAAAAATTCGACTGCGGTTGCGCATTGAATTTCGGTCTTGATAATAAACCTAAAGAGGTTTCCCAGACATCAAATTAATTGTTATCAAAAACTAAAAGACGCATGAGTTTTTGTTTTTTGAAAACTTCCAAAAATGTTTCCTAATTAGAGGTTGAAGTGACCCCAAAGTCTAACGACTCTGAAGTTCGTCACTTTTTTGAATTTTAAGTTCTTCCGGGATTATTTTATATCAATTAATTGTTTTTTATTAAAAACTAATGGGCATAAAGTTCGGTCCTCTGGCTGAGCTGGCCTTCAGTGCCTTTAAAGAAGTTGAAGATTTGAAAAAACAGGTAAAAATTTCAAAAAAGCTGTAATACTCGAGTGTTCCCAGATTTCAAAGTAACTTTTGAGGATTACTTTTATAATCGATAACAGTTAAAGTTCATCAGGTATGACCAAACTTCACGCGCATTAGTTTTTTATGCAAAACAATTAGTCTATGAAAAATAGTCCCGGAAATTAGAGGATTTAAATTTCGGAAAAAGTGGCGAACTTCAGTCATTAGATTTTGGGGTCAAAACTAATGCCTCTTTTGATTTTTACAAACAGAATTCGTCCAACGCATGGTATCAGAATGCCATGTGTTTAGTGTTGATTTTTGCGATGTAGGAACCACATATGTTTTAACTACCGTCTGCTGTACGATGCTTCAGCCACCACGGTGGCCTGTTTAGGTACAATGACAATTAGAACAGTGATAAATACAATGGAGTCCTATCAACACGATAACAACAGCATAAGTTTCAGGTGTTACATTAATACCTGAGGATGTTCCGAGAAATGTTAGAGATTAAAATACGTGATAATGTAGTTAATAAAAGAACGAACATAGCATATTAGTGTTACTACAATTATTATCAATTCCGTGAGTAACAACTATCCCATAATATACAGGGTGTTTCAGTTTATTGTTGCATAACTTTAAGATTCGATAGAACTTCTAAAATTAATGCATAAAGTCTATATAAACATGGGTCGAAAAATGCGTGGCTTCCGAAATACAGGGTGTTTAAATTTACTTTCTAAAATAGTTTTTTTACATATTTCGAACAATATTTGATGTATAACAGTGAAAATTGGTATACAAGCGTTTTTTGGTACGACAAAACGAACCATGGCATAGTTTTACTGTAGCCGCTAGAGGGCGCTCTCTACTGTACGTGTAGTGTATTAAAATGACCGAAAATTTTTTCTTAGTGCAATTTTTTGCTTTTTGAATAAAAAAAAATGATTCTTCGCACTTTTCAACATAAAAAAGTTCTCTTGTGAATTTTCCTTATAGTTAGCCGTTTTTGAGATATTTCGATTTTTAAGGTTCGTTGCATTTTTAATTATCTATGGGAAAATAATAGTTTATTTACATTTTCGATTTGGGCATTACAAGTAATTAAGATGATCGTTTAGATTGTGTTTTTAAACAAAGCAATAATTCCTAACTCCAAATAAACACAAAAAACAGAACAAATTAAATTAATTATTTACAACTAAAAGGCTATTGGATAGTTAGGACAAACATACAAAATCTAAAGTAGTTGCTCGAAATGTAAACCCAATTGTTCAATACACAATTCACATCTACGAATGATCGAACGTGGTATAGCATTATTCAAATAAGGCCTTATTTCATCACATGCATTCCTGATTCTGGCTATTAGCATATCTCTTGTGGTTACGGGAGTCTGGTACACTCTTTCTTTTAGAAATCTCCAAACAAAGAAATCTAATGGATTTAGGTCAGGGGATCGTGGAGGCCAGGCGACTGATCCTCCACGGCCGATCCATCTTTCTGGATAATTTTCGTCCAGCCAGTTTCTAACTATTCTCGAATAATGAGCTGAACAACCATCAAGCTGGAACCAGGCCAACCTTCTTAAATCTAACATAACATCATCCCACATATTTGCATGTTCAGCCTTTAAAAATTCCAAGAAGGTCGCAGCATTTAACCTTGCAGGCAAAAGGTAGGGTCCAAATAGTCGACTACGGTAGATACCAATCCACACGTTCACACTAAATTCATGCTGAAAGTTTCTTTCCCGAACTGCATCCGGATTTTCATGCGACCAAATATGTTGATTTTTATAAAACTTACAAAAAAAAATAGGTAAAAGAAACTAAATTTCGTGCATTCACAATTGCAAAAAAACGTTTCAGGTTTCAACAGACAACAAAACTAACTGTCAACTAATTGACGTTTAACCTTACTCTGCTTTCAATTTCAAAAATATTTGCAGACACAGCCTACTTCTAAAAATTATCGAGATAATGACTTTTTAACGTTATTTTATCATAAATAATCAAAAATGCATCGAACCTTAAAAATCGAAATATCTCAAAAACGGCTAACTATAACCAGAATTCACAAGAGAGCTTTTTTATGTTGAAAAATGCGAAGAATCAGTTTTTTTATTCAAAAAGCAAAAAATTGCACAAAGAAAAGTTTTTTATACATCAAATATTGTTCGAAATATTTAAAAAAAACTATTTTAGAAAGTAAATTAAAACACCCTGTATTTCGGAAGCCACGCATTTTTCGACACATGTTTATATAGAATTTATGCATTAATTTTAAAAGTTCTATCGAATCTTGAAGTTATGCAACAATAAACTGAAACACCCTGTATATTCACATCAAAAAGAAAAGAAAAGCTCCAGTTTTTACTTGACACTCATTAATTTTTTTTTAAATAAAAAGGATAGCTTAGTTATTCATTCTATTATAATGTTTTAACTAAGACGAGTAACTTTTATATCGTTTATTTTTTTCTGTCAAATATTGTGAAAGTAAAGCTAGTGTTTTCTAATTTTTTTGTAGAGCTCTGAAGGAGGAAATTATTTTTTCTCGAAACTTTGGCAGCTTTAGTAACGGGAAACAACTACAAGTAATTTCAGTTTTGTCACCTTCTTGCTGATACAGGCTACAATATGAAGCTTAAATACCATCGGAGTTTTTTCTTACCTTGTACAATCCAGTATAACTTCCAATCAATAATCCAAACAAAAAGTTTGACTTGTTCAGTAATAGTCTCACCAACAGTGATGGTTTTTGTACCATTCTACCCATCCTTGGTAGTACTGATCTAACAATATTTACCGCATATCCTAAGGCAAAATACTTGCCGAATCCCTAAAATAAATCTAATATGCACCTATTTACCGTTAACATACAAGTCCAAAAATAACCTTATAGACGTATTCGAAGCATGATTCCTTGTGAATGCAGCTCCTATTTTGTTTATCATCCGCCTGTTGGATTCTTTGAGGAGTGTAAAACCTAAAATTAACACAAGGCGTATTTTGTGAAAAGTTTCTGTTGTGTACAGTTTCTTTGGTAATGACAGATGTACTACAAAATATTTGAAAATAATCCATTAAAATAGAAGGGGCCGAGTATTTTTCTCTAGGTATTTAGTTGTGACACTTTCAAAGTAAGATCCCCTACTTTTGACCTCGGAAAGGGGGAAGTTTACATTCAGGTATAATCTTGAGTGAAAATAATTTTGGAGTTGAACTTCAAGATCATTGTCAGTCAAATCAATGAAAACATTTTTTTTTAGTGACTACCTATATTTGTTGACGTCGGAAAATTTTAGTTACGACCTTGGATGAAAATTATTTTTCTACCAGCGTGCAGAAAGTACTCACTTTCAACATGCATCTGCGTTTTTTCTGCTACTTTCTGCCCGATGATAAAAAAAATCTTATACCTAACACTTGCGGAAAGTGTATTTTCCGACATTGACGTACCACTCTCCGCACTTGTTAGATAAATAACTATTAACCATTAAGGCACTCGCCAAGGTCACCATAAGAAACCGTCGTCTGACAAAAGTTCAGGGATGCTGTTGAATTTCCCGTTATAACCGTTTTCAATGTGAGAAGTATACGGTCCCAGTTAAAAAATCATTTTAAGCTTGATTTGACCTTCAAGGTCATGCTCAAGGTCAAATTCAAGGACATCACTGTATAGCTAGGAAAAAATCCGAAACTTCTACTGTTTTACTGTTTTACTTCCACCACAACCTTTCAATGTCCCAAATTTCTTGCAGTCCCGAAACCTTTGGATCATCCTGTATAAGTAGCTTAGACGGGTCATACCGAACCCCTTGTCAGTGATTGTGTCCAAGATCGCGTCACAAAAATTCCATTCATTCCGCTCCACTATATAGACGGAATTCACACGGCCAGATCTCAGACACTGTCACCGACAAGTCACCGACCACTGTACGAACAAACCTTAAAGAAGGAAGGAAACAAAGGACTATAGTGAAATTACTTACTTACCAAAAAACATATAATAGTCTTACCATAAGTACATAAACTTAATATCTTTCTTTCTATTTTCTAAGATGCTCATCAAAGCTCCACTGACTAACATGAATGCAAACGTTTCCATCTTCACAGACAACTGAAGTTTGTTGAGAACGGTTTCTACTAACTGAAATTGAAAAGATAATCAACTGACAGATGCAGGATAAGTATGCCTATTTTCTGCTTACTTCTATTTTGCGCTTCAATAGCTCCTAGATATGTATTTCTTAAATGTTATTTTCAAGTTACTTCACAAATTGATTCACAGATGATGTTCACTTAATTGCAACTTACCGAATTGAAAAATATTAATGCATCCAATATTTGATTTTCTTTCGACTCTATCAGTACTGATAACCCTGATATTGCCCCTGGAATAAATAGTATTGGGTAGTAGTGAAGCCTCCCCAGTATTGCCCTAAAAATGTATTTACAATACACTTACTCTGTTACTCTTTCAAGTTGTCATGTGATCATCATTTTGAAGCTCCCAGTGTAGTTTACAGCCCTAGAATATATACTAAGTGACATATAAATCCGAACACCCAGTTTAAATGGTTTTATTTTAATAAAATTTCGTATTCGCATTCGCCTTCAGTGGTGCAGACAACGGTCACTCTGGGATCAGGAATGGAACAGTATTGCCTTTAGTGACGAGTCTCGAATTTGTTTAGGCATGCACGATGGTCGTGGCAGGGTTAGAAAGCAACGTGGTGAAAGGAGGAATCCACAGTTTTTTGTTGAAACACATGTTCATCACACTGTTGGAGTTATGGTTTGGGGTGCTATAGCTTATGGTTCCAGGTCACCTTTAATCTTTATCAGAGGTAACATGAACGCGCAGCGTTATATCCACGGAGTTCTAGAACCCCATTTTTTACCCTATCTTGACACCCTGGCAGATCCAACTTGCCAACAAGATAATGCCCGACCACATGTTGCAAGTGTCACATTAGACTTCTTTCAACATAATGATGTCACATTGTTACCATGGCCACCAAGATCTCCCGTCTTATCCCCAATTGAGCACGTGTGGGATATGATGGGTAGGAGATTGCTCAATTTGCAACGTCCTTCTCAGACTCTAGAAGCACTTCGAGAGGAGTTGGTGGTTGCCTGGAATGAGATACCACAGGAGGACAATGACCACCTGATCAGAAGCATGCCTAGGTGCGTTGGAGAATGCGTAGCACATCAGGGTGCATCCACACGTTATTAAAGGTCAAAGGGCTCTAAAGCAGTGCAATCATTTTGAAATTTTTATCATTTACTTAGTATGCTTCATTAAGTACTTATACAAAATTTTATTAAAATAAAACCATTTAAACTGGGTGTTCGGATTTATATGTCACTTAGTATAGTTAGATAGCCAAGAGCTTATCAAAATGGCAGATTGGCAAGTTGTCAAATTTTAGCAATTTCTAATAAGCAAAAAGTGTATTATATAAATTAATTATCTTCTTCTGGAAGGGTCTATTCAAATATGTATATATAATAAATGAGGTCAAAAATTATAACAAATTTTTCTTTTACAAAAATTGTTAGAATGTTTCCTTCTGGTGAATGGATTGTCTCATATGTTATGTATAATGATTCATAGAAAAAAGGTTTTATATAAAACAGTGGAAAAAATTTATATTTTACGAGTATACCATAAAGTACCTATTAGGACCTTCAAAGTGATGTAATATATGACGTCAATTTAAAATTGAGGTGGATCCTAGCTGCTGTCATCCAATTTTCAAGTCTATACCTTTTTGCTAAAATATGGTAACTATTCAACAATTTTGTTGAAAGCACTTTAGAGTGCTAATGTATATATTGTGTGTACGCTTACAATAAATGTGATGATAGCGTCACTATTTACATTACCGTTGGAATACCAGGCGCATTACCTGTTAAAACACATGGTTGCAACTATCATCTCTCCCATTGCTATACCATATATTATGGACCTTGCCTCTGATAGAATTAGACTCAACAGAAATTTTTTATCCTTAGCCTTTTTGTAGTTCAAAGCCAGCTTTAACTAAAACATGTTCAACATTATCTTCACGTTACCAAAATAGGTTTGTCTGACTTACTATGTATACTGGTAAGAAGAACTTACCACTTCCTAAGATAAGGTTTTTTATGAAGTACCATGAAAAGTTCTTCTTAAGACAATCTTTCTCCCAATAATGTATCACATTACACGATGTATCATCTGTCACTTTTTCATAAAATAATTCTTTACTGATCGCAGGCATGTTTCGGAATAAGTTTTTTGATTTTTTAGAATTTCGGCTAGTCAGTCGAGATGTCAAGCACCAATCACGGCAATATAGGAAATGTACGTTTCATAACGATTATTATGGATATTTATGCAAGAATAAGGTTATTATACAGTTGAACTGTATCATTACAAGTATTATCAAGGTTCAGGCACGTAGAATCCATTTCGTGAATCGTTTTAATAGTTCAGGCCTCAAGGTCTTCAGATTCGGGAAATTTTAGGAAGAACCCTAGCATAGTGAGGTCGTAATAAGTAGTTACATTTATTTAAACAAGGTTACTGTTTGTTGGTTTTTTCAAAATGCTATCAAGTCGTTATTGTCGATGATCTCGAAAAATACATGTGATCTCACTCATCCCCCGAAACTTGATGCTAATAATTTTTCTAAATCAGTTTCTTAATTTTTTTCCCAACTTTAATTGATTCTTGAAGACATAATATCGGTTCCAAATAGAATGACAAATTCAGCCACTTTTGATTTATTTGTGATTATAATAGAATTTGGTTTCTGAGAACTAGACTACGGATCCTCATTACATACGTTATGCATTTCATAGGTATTGTTTGTCGTGCTACTGCGTGTTTGACGTTTGGTCACATGGATTTGCTATATACTTTTCTGCTTTATCTTTTGTCTAGACTTATCAGTAGAACAGTTACACCGAGGAGGGCAATCTTTCACTGGAATTATACTGAGTTAACAAAATAAAAATGGTCCACCCTGTAAAAATGCTTGCTTGAAAGATATTGCGTATACATTTAGATATAAGCAAGAGGAAGTAGTAATTAAATTTTGCGATTTAAAGTGACAACATTTGCTGTATCGCTGGATTTCCTCAGTAAAGCGCTGGGCCTGGTAGGGTGTGCTTGCGATGATAGTGATGTCGATTGAAGGAGAGAAATACACTAGAAAGACTGTTGGCATATGGAATCACAAGAATTACCATATGGACGGAAGAAAATGGTTAGCTCCTAAGATGACGGAAGTGGTTCTGCTTGCTTGCAGGCAGAAGCTAACTTCATTTGCTGTTAAGGTTGAGAATGCCGAGATTCGAAGCCAAAATGCAATTGAATGCAAATGAAGATGATTGTCAATATAGGTGCACCACTGATAAGTAAATAAAGTCGTCGCATCTCTAATTCGGCTAATGCCACCTGAATCCTCAGTAGTGAGAAGCGCCGGATTTTGGCACGAGTGGCGAACTCGATTATGCTGTACGCAGCTCCCACCTATAACAAGGCTCTGGAGCAAAAAAAATACAGACAGAGAATGCTCTAAAGATAAAAAAAAGTGATGCGCGTGGTATGCGCTTACAGATCGACGCTGCGAGTGGTGGCTGGTATCCCGCCAATTGACTTGCTGGTTGAGGAGACTTGCGTGCTCTGTAAAATGGGCGCCGACGCTAGAAGCGATGAAAGAGGGGCGCTTTTCGTCAGTTGGCAGGAGAGATGGGATGCAACAAGGCATATATTAAAACCTGGATTGACAAGGGAAGCGGTGCCAGAAGATTACTATACTGCACAGTTCCTTATATGATATGGTTGTTTTGACAGCTTCCTGAAGAGGGTAGGAAAGAGAGAGCACGCGTACGCATATTGCAACCAAGAGGAAAATATTGCTTATCATCTACTAGAATGTGGTAGGTAGGTTGACTAACAAAGACAGCTGAAATTGTGGCTCGCCGAGAAGCTCACTGTTGACAATTTTGCCAGGCGTGTAAGCGATGGTAAATGGGTTGACATTCAACCAATGGTGAGGCGCATGATGCTTAGCAAGGTACAGGATTAAATTAACAGACACAGAAACCAATGATAAGTTACAGTAGGTACATATCGAAGATCGGGCATGGTGATAATATACAGAGTGTTTCCTAAATATGGGGATTGTTCTAAGCGCGGTTCTAAGATTACTTTGTTCTTTAACGATTTTCTAATAAATTCTTCCATAAGAAGATAATGCCCGACAAGGCTTTCGAAATTAATACTTTGAATTAGCAAAGTGTGGAGCCTCGTCCATAGAGGTAAACAAATATACTAAGTGACATATAAATCCCAACACCCAGTTTAAATGGTTTTATTTTAATAAAATTTTGTATAAGTACTTAATGAAGCATAATAAGTAAATGATAAAAATTTCAAAATGATTGCACTGCTTTAAAGCCCTTTGACCTTTAATAATGTGTGGATGCACCCTGATGTGCTACGCATTCTCCAACGCGCCTAGGCATGCTTCTGATCAGGTGGTCAATGTCCTCCTGTGGTATCTCATTCCAGGCAACCACCAACTCCTCTCGAAGTGCTTCTAGAGTCTGAGGAGGACGTTGCAAATTGAGCAATCTCCTACCCATCATATCCCACACGTGCTCAATTGGGGATAAGTCGGGAGATCTTGGTGGCCATGGTAACAATGTGACATCATTATGTTGAAAGAAGTCTATTGTGACTCTTGCAACATGTGGTCGGGCATTATCTTGTTGGAAAGTTGGATCTGCCAGGGTGTCAAGATAGGGTAAAAGATGGGGCTCTAGAACTTCGTGGATATAACGCTGCGTGTTCATGTTACCTCTGATGAAGATTAAAGGTGACCTGGAACCATAAGCTATAGCACCCCAAACCATAACTCCAACAGTGTGATGAACATGTCTTTCAACAAAAAACTGTGGATTTCTCCTGTCACCACGTCGCCTTCTAACTCTGGCACGACCATCGTGCATGCCTAAACAAAATCGAGATTCGTCACTAAAGACAATACTGTTCCATTCCTGATCCCAGAGTGACCGTTGTCTGCACCACTCAAGGCGATTACGTCGGTGTTCTCGAGCTAAAGGGAGGACCCAGTGTGGCCGGTATAAAAACAAGCCAAAACTTCTCATTCGTCGGTAAACACTTCGCATGCCAATAGGTCTTAGGTGTTCTGCAAACCATTCATTTGCAATGGACCTGGTAGTGGAGAAACGGTCCCTTAAAGCCAATAATCTTAGGCGGCGATCTTCACGGTCTGTTGTTCTACGGCGGCGTCCAGTGCCCCTTGCTCTTTGCGTACGGCCTTCTCGAAACCATGCCTGACAACACCTAACCACAGTGTCTACACTTCTTTGCACTCTAACTGCAATTGCCCGAAAAGAAAGTCCAGCTTCCCGAAGTCCCACTTACGGCCCCTATCAAACTCACTAAGTTGACGAAATCGTACAGGTCTCCGTACTCTAGGCATTGTAACCGATCGTAAAGGATGTCAAGAACCAAAATCCGCCAACGTTGATTCTTTAGTGCAGCTGAAATATTCATTTTTAGAGCGTTAGTGAATTAAAAAAAGCAGTATAAAAACCGGAATGTTCAACTGATAAGGCTGAACATTTTTTCACTTGTTATTTACAGTAAGATAAATACATTCACCAACCTTTATTAAAATAAAACCATTTAAACTGGGTGTTCGGATTTATATGTCACTTAGTATATTTCCAGTCGGCACCACTAGAAGTATGTCCGGATACCGAACTGCCCATAATTAAGATCCTCCTAAACCAATTTCTGTGATGTATTTTTGAAGATTGACAAGCAATATACTAAAATAGTTCCACTACTTCGGCAGTGTATAACAAAGATTTGTGCTTCCCATATGGAGATACCTAATAATTTGAAATATTTATTCCAGATAAATTTCCAATAATAATAATGGTGTAAAATAGGTTGAGTTTGCACTTCCCACGCAACATTCTAATCAGTTCCTAAAATACTATAATAAAAAAAGTTACCTGTAAATATACATAACACAAGAAAAAGAATTAAATGGATCAAGTGAGCTAAAATGGCTCATATATTTGATCAATGTTCCTACTTATTTGATAAAGCTGAGATCCAGAAGTTTCTTTCCTGCCCTTACTGGAGGTATCGACCATCTGGAAACGTTAGCCATGCTATGCTGTTTATTTCGAGCAGTGTGGGGGTAAGAGATTGGGCGGCAGCGGCAGACAGAATTTGACAGAAGTGCGAAATTTTTCGCTAGTAGATATGGGAAGGGAAATCTCAAGATTCGATAATTTCTGGTAGCCTCTATATTCGAAACGAGTCAATTTTTCTAAAACCGCCAAAGAACAAAATAGCATTTGAAGAAAAATGGCTAACATTCAAAAGCATGGTATTCGCTATTTACGAGCAAACTGGAAATAACCATATTGCATCAATTGAAGGGTCGGCCGGAACAACGTTGTATGTAACAAAAAAGCTCAGTGGCTGAACTTAAGAAAAACAAATTTGAACCATGTTTTTCAAATGACTGCGTCTATAGTTGGCCAGCACAATAAAGGAACAATAGTTATGCAAGGTTATTGTAATTTAAAAATGTGACATCCATTTTGCAGCTATGGGAACCATTTTTATGGAAAACGCATGTAACAAGGTTGTATGATCACGTCACTTACAACGTTGTTACAGGGAGGCTTTAAATGACTATATGCAAAACAAGTATTTTTAACAGTTCTATTTATTAAGGAAACCAAAGTAACCACAGTAACATATTTTTAATAACAAAAAAATATGTTCTAAGTTCATCAACGTGTTTCGAAACCAAAACTGAACCTTAAATAAATATTACTGGGTTGCAGTTAATTTCTCATAAAATGTTCGATACTTAAGCGGAATATAATCACTCATATCAAGGTTTTTTAATTTTTCATCTTTGATTGGAAGAAGGTGGTGATACATTATAGATAATTTTTCAGATGATATGATATCAGTGGCAAAAGTCATTGTTTCTTTTCTTTTACGATTGCTTATGGGAAATGAATTCCAGGGCTGCATAATATTACGAGATTTTCTCATTCTCAAAGTAGCTGGAGAATCAGCGGTAAGTTGCAGCCACAATCCTTCTGTAATCTTACATTTGGGGTGTTTCCATATACCCTTTTCCAAAGCTGTTAAATTCTCAAAGAAGGCTTGGTGCATCCAGACAACTTTAAAAGGATTTTTAACTTTGGCTGTAGCAATGACATCGACCCACTGGAATGGTTCATAAACCATAGATATTCTTTTTTGTTTACGTACATACAACATTGTTACGCGGAAGACTGAAATGGCGCGCTTTACAAATTCGCGTCAAAGTGATTGATGCGAGAAAACAGGTGGGTCTATGTTGTCGACGGGTCCCAATAGGCACATATTATGTTGTTTTACGGAGATCTCATTTTATAGAAAAATGTTATATAACATACAACATTGTTCCGGCCGACCCTTCAATTAGTAATAAATCTAAATAGGGACATCCAGACTGAAAACTGTTGATTTCGGTGGCGATACCTTATGAGATGTCATTCGATGCATTTTTGTATTCGTAATAATCTTTTGTACCTACTCATTTATCGCCCTTAGGGTAGCCAATTCAGATGATCTCTTCAGAACAAGAAATACATTAGAAGAATTCCGAACTTAATGTACGTACATACATACCTGTGACACTATGATGATATAATGAATATTATGTGGTGTATGTATTTCAGACTTTAAATAGTAACTTAGTCTGAAAGACACATTAACAACGTCTCGAATACCGATGATGAACAGCCACATATGCAGACAATTTGAGTCCCGCAATAGTGTCGCTCTTTCTGACTTTATTATTTCACATTGGCCATGTTTACACGGTAATAAGAACATATCATTTACGCACAGATCTACGGTGGTCTGTGGTTATCTAAGCGCTTGGCTACCTATGGCGCAGATTTGCCCATCACTGCCTTAACATTGTCGAACAAGAATCTCGCACAAAAATGGGTCATTCCAGGAACTGGGATGTATTTTTTATTGGGGTAAATGAAATCTCATGAAAGGAGCATTATCCGTTTATTATAAAAAACGATTAGTATACAATGATGCTTTTACAAAGCTGTTATAAAATACATTTTGCTACAAAATGTATCCATAAATAACGATACAGTACGGAATATCTTGAAGGTGGTCAAACATGTCACCAGAAAAAACAAAAAATGTGACCAAAAATCCGTACACTTAATCAATAGTATATTTATATCACACAATCTTAAGACAATCGTTCCTAAGGTCCTACAATGTCTTAACCATAACAACAGAGTAAGTAAATACCAAATCAACAATACCTTCTGTACTTACAAACACCGTTATACTCAATTTAAATTTACAATTATCGTACGTATCGAAATGCTGGAATTTTTTTGTGCTTGAAACAAGCTTATCTTTTTTCAATCTGAGGAACCACAAGCACCTCATTCAACCTCAACCCTTACAACGTGTCCATCACTACCGCCTACGTATATTTCGCCCTTATCACCCTTAGCGATAGCATTGACTACAATATCCACGTCGAGCGAGGAGTCTAGTTTGACGATATCATCATCGATATTCCACTTCTTCACTGTCTTGTCCCAGCTGCCGCTGAACAGGGTGAGTTTGTTGTTCCATACGACTCCCCTAAGAGCGATGATCACTTTTTCGTGGGCGCCCTGTAACCAAAATTATTCCATGATTAATTATTCTAGTAAGACGATATATAAATAGCGATATCGAGATTCATCAACATAAAACAAACTTTCCATTACCATCTTCGTAAAAGTACTAACATTCTATATTTTGCATTTATTATGGTATATAGTTGTGAGACGTGGACGGCGGATAATGATAAGTGAACAGATTGACTAGTTGAACCATGTTCCCTAAGGGGAAATTTCACACCGTGCAAGCTTTTCCTCAACGAATCTGCTACTCGCTCTTGTACGCACACATGGTGATACAGAATCGCTGTTTTCATTGACTTTCTTAAATTAATTGTACTATACTAAACTAAACTATGTTTTAATATCGAAGATCAACAGAGGTAAGTCACATGCCCATGACAAGTAAGTTGTTACACATACAGGAAGTAATTCCTATAGTTTGAATGTGACCCGCCAAAAATCGTGAAAAGATCTGTAGGTACTTTAGCGAGGTTGCCAGTTTTATTTTTCTCCTTATAAGACTAGGACTCTAGCGGCCTAAGCAGCCTTTGTACATTTTTTATTCATGTTATTATTCGTAGAGGTCAAGTTTTCTATGACAAGCCATCAGCAAATTTAAGGTTTTTGACAATATTTCTTACCACGCTTTTATATGGCTCAGTAAAAATTGTTTTGTTTTCAGCTCTTTTGAAATATGTTGTTCTAATGCTCGGTACGTACCTTAACTTTTGTGACAAGTTTAAATTTGCTAGCTGGGTTATTTTCATTGATGCAGATGTCCATGCCTTCTCTGCTGACGTAGGCAAATAGCTTGTCACCAATCAGGGCGATGGGTGCTCTGCCCATGAATGATCCCTTGTCACCATACTGCAACTTTTCTGTAAAGAAAAAACTAGGAAATCCTTTCGAGTACATAATGTTGCAACTATTTGCGTTGCATCCTAGGTGAACATCCTCCGGTACAGTGTATAGCTATTTTTCCATTAGTTTAAGTTGGCCATATACTTTACTTACATTTTTTTCTCGATACCACTAGCCGTTCGGACAGGTTAAACACAACTATCACAGCGTGAGCGAGAGTAGAATCCATTGATTACAAACTTATTACAATTATAACGTCAAATGCAGAAAATTATGGGAATCGAAATGATTCTTTATTGGCGGTTAGTCCACTCAAACTAACTTTGGTCTATAAAACTGTTAGGGGCAGAACAAAATTGTTGGAAATTTTTGAAAACGCGTCCGAACTTTTTGAACTTTGAGACAGAATCTTTTGAAATATGTTTTTACAATTTAAAAAAAACTGTTTTTGATGAATTTTTGGAACAATGACACAACATACCAGGAGTGTTATTCAAGGATAAACACTGTGAAGTAGGAATTTGTTGCAAAATTCTTGAAACAATTTTATTTTATAGTGCAATTAATTATTCATTAGAGAATTTTACTTTCTACGAGCCCCTTCCCCTTCCCTTCAGTTGGCCCAACTACTAAAATCTTAGTTTTTTCTTATCAAACACAAATAATCTAAATGTAGCAGGGTGTTATAGGTTTAAAATATTAAAAATGAATATTTTGATAATATATAGTAGAAAACACCAACTTCATCACTCCCTAATCAAATTTGCAGCATAAAAATAACAAATGTTGCAATTACATCATATCAACCTATTTTCATTTCAATGCAAAATAAGTCTATAACGCATTATTATACGATTATTTACAATTAAGTGCTCTGTGGAGACGCTGTTGGAAGGAGAATTTCGAGGTCCACAACTCATAGAGAGGCCTACAAACTGGGATTTAGCACTTGCAAAGCAAGTTTTTTAGCCCTAAAGTTACACAACTTGCTTATAGACCAAAGAAAAGCCACTATTAACTCCACTGCAAAAGAAAAATCGGCTTAGATAGGCAATGGACACCTCAACAATGGTGTGCAATACAATGGAGTGATGAGGCTCGATTCGAAGTTTCTGTTGGTGACAGTCGCAGTAGAGTTATTCGCAAAAAAAATGAAGCATTCCATGTTGACTGTCTGAAGAGAAAAGTGAAATTTCCAGCATCAATTATGGTCTGGGGCAGTATGTTATCAAAAGGAGTACGAAAACTTCATTTTATTGATGGAAATGTGGATACAAATATATTTTAGAAGAATTGCTTTTACCAGTGATGGAAGAATGTTTGATATCCGGCCAAGATTTTGTGTTTCAGCAAGATGGTGCAGCGTGCCATACCTAAAAAAAGGCTATAAAATGGATGGAAGAAAATAATGTACCACTTTTGAAATGGGTTTGTAGCAGTCCAGATCTGTCACCTATTGAAACTTTTTTCACGAGATGAAAAAGGTTCTACGACAAGATCCTGCTCGTACAATCACCGAACTGAGACAAAACTTGGTTAACACTATGACCCGTAATAAAAAATAAAGGTGATGTTACCCGATGGTAATCTTTCAATTTTTGCTTTGTTAACTTCGCGCATTTATTCGCACATTGTTTATTTGTTCAGATGTTCTATTAGTTATAGGTCTAAGTGATTTCAAATATGTATTTTTTACGACTAGAGTGTATCTAAAATGATTTTGAGAAAATAAATTGTTTTAGAAGGAAATAGTTTCGTCATGTTTAGTTTATAAAGACATATTTTGGTACAAATCTTGAAGTGGACCAACTGAAGTGGGAAGGAGCTCGTATACCTGCGGCAGTATGTAGCTTTTTCTTATCTCATGATTTTAATAAATATTTTTATATTTTTCAAGTTGCACGAATCCCATTTTTTGACCCTTATTTGATACATTTCTGTCGAATCACATAGTTGACACATTGAGATATTTTCTAAAAAAAATTACAATTTTTTTTTGTTTTGTCATATTAGACGTTCGGATTCAGAATAGCGAAATTTAGTCCATTGTGGATTCTCACGCAAAAATATATTCAAGGATTTTTTCGCAAAGTTGGAAAATAGCATATTTGATAGCATAATTTTTTGTGAAATTACCCCTTTTCTAAAGGTGAACTAGTTGAGTTGGATAGAATGTAGGCCTTTTGTCTTTGTGTTCGTGTTTTTAAACCAAACGATAGAGTGCCAAATGAGCGTGTTCATTGGTTTAATCAGATACGTACCTGTTGGAGCGGCTGGAAGCATGAAATCGGAAATATACACATCATTATCCTTCACGCTGAAGCAGTGGTTGGATGATATCTCGAAGTCCTTAATAGGCTCAGCAGTGTTAAAGAATCCCTGGTACACCCCGGATTGCCAAACTTTAATGTTGCCTTCGTTGTCACCAGAGAATAAGAGATCATTTACAACTTTAATTTTCCAGAATTCAATTTTGTCGTCCTTAACGAGTTGCCCTTTCTCTTTGAGAGTCTTCAGCTCGAATATTTTGATGGTACCCTCATTGGAGCATGAGTACAGGGAGCTTCGGTCAGCTGCAATGCTGAATACGGAGCATGGGTTGGATTGCACTTCTGCTATCTTGGTTAGGTCAGGTGTAAACGCCTGCAAAAGGATATCAGTATTAGATGTACATGCTAAAACTGCGGAAGCGCATTAGGTGTTTCACGAGTGGTCGGTGGTGGCAGACATTTCACGAACTGTGATTTGCTGATAACTGATATTTCTAAATCACGAATTACGACTGTTATTGAATAGCTTGACGTGATCAGAACCTCTTCGCAACGGTATCACGGAATCATGGAAGTAAAATCTTGTATGAACGTGATATCCGCAGTCAAAATTTGAATACCATCCTAAAATCACTTGGGTTTACAAGCGATATCGAGCATTATAGGCTCAGTAGCTGCGATTTTTTCGCGGTATTTTGCTCAGGTTATCAATATACCTACAATCCTATCATCATTCGAAAAGCGCGATCACGTCATGCTTTTGAATCACTGATATCACAGATACACAAGAGTAATGATATCGGTCATATCTAGTAGTCATAGTGGAATAGTTAGTGGTATGTCTGTGTATTTCATTCGATTTTTGCAGTATTACTGCATATGGTTCTATAACTATAAGAACATTTTCAGTACGCTTGGATTTTACCAACGAATTTAGACTAGGAAAAGTAGCCAGTCAAGGATTTGTTGTCTCCTACCCCTCATAGTCTGTAGTGAGGATCAAGAGTTATCTCATGAAAGTGTGAGCATTGCAGATAACTGTGGTGTTAAATAATTTCAAAACATGGTACTTTTTACATAATTTGGAAAGAGCAGTACAAGCCTAATGAAGGAAAATGTTTTCACCGATAAGGATTATTATTATGTTAAATAACGCTGTCACTTTGGTAGGCAAATTAGTCATAGGTACGAACTAAAACTAAGCAATTTTGGTGACAAACAACGCAGTGTAAACATATATGCTTGGCTCCTTCCAATCTATTGGAGTTATTTTAATTTTACAGAATTGGGCTCTCTAATCTAGATATCTGGCTGCTAGAAAAAGTGAATGTTGGGGTTTTGATTTTTATGGATAAGCAGGAATCCAGAGGTTTGAATTTTGACAACCCAAATCAGCGTTGTTTAGATTACCTCAATCAGCGTTGGATTTTGTAAAAAAATAACAAAGGCCCTCTAATAATTCGCATTATGTTTTCGTCCAACCAGTCAACCACGTACAGCTCTTTCATTCTTCTTGTCAATCATCCATCAGCATAGCATCAGCAGAACAACGAATGAAAGCAGAGCAAAAGTAATCCAATGAGGTCTATACTACGCGCCATAATCTCAACACGAGGTATCGCAATTTATTACAAACACAGTACAAAGATCAGCCTAATTTGAAACTTCACCCATCTTCAACTGTATTTCGTTTTACATCAAATTGTGTAGACAACATAAAATCAGTCCCTGCGAATTGTATATACAAGACAAAAATTACTGAACTGCTTCTGACTAAAGCATACTATAACTGTAGAGAGTTTTTGGATGACACTATTTAATCTTAACTAATCGTTCCTTTTTTCTTCCGTGATTTTTTCCTGTGTACTTTCTGTGTTAATATTGTATGACGTTTAACGTATTTTCTGAAATTTATGATTATGTACATTGTTACGTATATTTCACACTATATTCATCATTTGTAATTATTTAATTTACATGTGACATGCCAATGTACACAGTTGTGTCTGGTTGAAATAAGCAACAAACAAATCTCTATCAGAGGTATATCGTCTATAAGAATATGTCGGCGAAGGCGCCATCTATTACCACCATCAAGCACTGACAGATTTGTTGAAAATGTAAATATACCAATATTGGCTCTATGAGAGGTCTAAAGTCTATATCTATTGACCTCGCACCATCAGTAGATGGGTCAGGTACCTTAATTGACGGACAGTATTCGGATTAAGAATAACGTTTTCTGAATGAGGAAACATTACCTTGATCTTTCCATCATCTCCAGCACTGTACAGGATGCCCTCATGATAAAGAAGAGCATTTACGTCGAAGCCATGCTTGTCAGCGTCATCGACTCTGCATCCAACGCGCATAGGCATTTTACTGGAATAAGGGAAACTAGTGTTATACTTATGATAATAATAAATGGTAACCTCAAGTGTCTTACATCTTATACCTACTTGCCGCGAAAAGGCAAAGTTCTGGATAGCATCTCACATCTCCACTCAATCCGTATCAATCAGCATTATTGTTATGCGGCAGATGTATACAAAAATTAATAGATTGATCGAAGTCAAGAACAACTGACCAGTATCTGTAATTCCAACATTCAAAGATGCCTATGTTATTTTTCAGAGACGCATTATTTGGAAGTATGCCAATATAGTTTTCATGAGAAATACTTTCTCTGCTATTTCATCACGGTCAAGTTCAGGATGTTACATAATTTTTATTAATTTCATTCCATCAACTCAGAAAAATAGTCTACCATTTTGCTATTACCAAATCATAGAATATTCGTTTTGTAAGATCCAAGCTGCTGAATATATTAAGTAGTTGAACTGAATTTAGTTGATTATTCTCATCTATTGTTGGCAAAAAGGACATTATTGGGATGATACTGACTATTGTGACTATGTGACTATATCATTTTTCTTACTTTTGATTTGAATGCAATTGTACAATCTGCAGCAGATGTTCTCATGATTCTATGAAAGTGAAGAACAAGTAGTCATTGGATTTTTTAGATATTTATTCTTATACAGGAAAAGAAACAGATTGGTGAATGACCAAGGCTAATAACATAGTTGCGTTGGAGTTTTGTCAAAATCTATGTGAGAAGTAAGAAGATTGAACAAATGGAGTATATGAGACAGTATTGAGGCCAATCCAAGCCCACATAATGACCGAATGCGGAACAACTTTTCCAAAAAGTACATAGTACAATAGGGTTAAGAGAGAAAAAAAAGGCTGTCCAACTACACTCATATTAGTAATCTATCTGTGAAAATTAAGAATTGCAATGGGCCTATGAAACAAGGTGTTGTAAAATATCATCGAAGGAAAGACCGAAGGGGCAAGATCAAGAAGAATATGGAAAAACGTATTAAAATAGGTTTTTCCCATGGTAAAATGCAAAGCTTGGGACCGTGTATAGCGGAGAAATGTTTTGACGCTAGCTCCCAAAGAGACCATTTATATATGAATTACTGAACTTTTTGCAATCACTTTTCGATCAGTTCGTCGCCCTATATTTCCATGTGCTTTTTATGAAAAACAACAGACGACAAATAATGGTTGAACCCTTAAACGTAAAATTCGATATCAGAAAGTACTATAATAAGTTCTACCAAAAAACCAACAGAAGTATGAGTTAGTAATATAACTGACTCAAGCTATTTTTCATTTCATTCATTTTTCTAGCTTTTGCGACTACCTGCGACATGTCAATCTGCAATGCAATGTTTTTGCAGCGAACGCTTCAGACATAACCTTCGATATAGATAACCAGAATTCACTCTTGGGTTCTACTTTATGGTTTTGTTATTGAAAGTATTATAAAATGGTGTTTGGCAATTCCGTATGCCAATAGAACTGACCACTGCAAGGCGTGGATAGTGTCATATCCGTATGTCTGCAAAACCGCTCCCTATAAATAACCATCATAGTTTATTCACTTGAACGTTGTGGTAACTTGCCAATGTCGTTAATTTTATTTTCGGTGTATGCTTCCTGTCAACTAGAACGTCTGGAATGTTCCGCATGCACAAGTACAAATAAACAAGAAAGTATGATGCCACGAACATTGGATTCTCAATATTCGGATAATCTATGATGATATAAGAACTAATTGCTATATGAAAAAATTTAAAAATAATCAAAAATTAATTAGTTTTGTCTCATTCAAAACGGTACCTTCAACAATGTGTCTAATAGCGTAAATGTTTTACTCATGTACGGTTATCTGTTTCAATAAATTTATTGTCGTGACTCTTGTTATTTTGACTCAGCTGAAACGTTTCATAATAAACCGCTTTAAGGAATTGTCAATGCATCAATTGTGTTCTCAGTTAATAACTCATTCATCATAAAGTAAGATTTGAATAACCTTATATATATATATATATATATATATATATATATAATATAAGTGATGATTATACATGTATCTGTATATATGTCAAAATCCGAGATTATTTTTATGTAATTCCATCTAGCGCCATATATCTACTGGTGGTTTCTGGTTATTTGCACAATCTTATAGATTTTCCAAAACAAATGCACTTTAACTTTTTTTGTAACTTTCGATTTTACATTTTGTAAAACTTTATTTGCAGGAACAATATTATTCAATGTAGCCACTGAAACTTTATGTTATCTTACTGTTGACTTTTGCCAACGTAATGTATATTATACACTTTAGGATTGTTTAAAAATATAATTAGTATAAAATGATGTTGAAGCTCAAAAAATATTAGCTAAGAAAATCATGCTTAGGAATCAGCACTGCATCTGCGCCAAGAAAGTATCATATGAGTATTTACAATGATATAAGCTACGTAGCTAGCAATGATATCGAATGTATTAACGTGACATTAAAAACAAGAATATACGGGAACGTTTCAATATGTATACATAGAGGATTGGGGTTTTTGGGGCTGAAAATAACCGAGATTTGATTTTTTTCATTAAAATATTTTAGAACGTATGCATTTTAATTTTCCGTCAATATTTTGCTTTTCATTTTAGTACTTGATTGTTCTCTAAAAGTTCGCAAGGTTGGCATTTTGAAGCTGAAGTCTCATTATCTTGCTTCAAGTTTTGTTTTAATATGAACGCAGAGGAGTAACACTTTTATTTTGATACCTATACGTTTTGTGTCTTGGTGCTTTCTATTATAGATTTGAAGTAGAAAGTTTTGCAACAGTGCGTTAATATAAAAATACTAAATTAAATATACAAAAATGCCAAAATTGTAAGATTTGGGCTTTTGAAAACAATCAGGTACCAAAATAAAAAGAATAATAAAAGTTTGGATACAGATCAACTTGAAATTTGAGTTTCAGTGCTTGTAGACCTTGTAGAATGAAACCAAGGAATTAAAAATATTCAAATCAAATTCAGTAGTTCACATTGAAATAAAAATGTCTGAGGAGGTTTAAGTAAACAATAAAAATTATAGCGTGAGTTGAACTGGTTCAAAATTTGCAACATTTTTATGCGACCAGAAGCAGCACACAATCTTCATGTGAAATGTGATTCTACCCAAAAGTAATTGGTAAGGTAGATCAGATATAATTTTGAATTAAAATAAGTTGCTATCTTTGGTATTGACAAAATACTTACAATGATTATATAGCTTGGATACACCGGGAAACAAAACTAGTCAGAACTTGAAGCTTTGCTCGCTATCATGTGAAAACTCTCACTAAGCATTCCTGTATGCACTCCAGTATTTAAATCCTTTAGGAACAGTCCGCTAAAAATAGATTGCTCCGACTAGAATGGGAGCGACAGGTAATAGAGTTGATTGGTTGAGAAAATCGTAAGAGATGTTGCCACTATCGTTCTTCTGATTTTGAGTAAACAAAATACGATATGAATTCGCTTCTCTGACGCAAAATGGTTTTATGACTGAAATCGAAACTTTAATACTTTAGAGGGCGCTTACAGTACACCAACAAGTGCGCAACAGTGTTAGGGTGGTGAAGAAACTTCTATTTTCTTCGGGTAGCATCAGTGTCAATTGATATCTTTTCGGATTATTAACAGGGTACTTTGGTTGAATCGACATTTATCGCTGTTCATAACATGAAGTGGGGTATCTTTTTTCTTCCAATTTTGCAGGAGAGCGTTAAATATTTTTACAATACTTGAGCTGTTGCTAAAAAAAGGTATAATTGCTACATAATTAAATTTGTAGCTATATCTGCTCATGCTTACAAGCTTTTCAAAAACGAGCAACGAATAACCCATTTTTCATTTTATGTGTTCAAACTTTCAGAAAAAAAGGAGATACGCCATTTTGTGGAATTGAAGGGTCGTAATTCATAGAATGAAGACTTAGTTACGTCCGTGTTATGTTAAGTGATGAAAAATCAAAACACATGAAATTTAAAGAAAAAAATGTTTCATTACAAGACAAATGGTTACAAAAAAGGGAACAGTAAATGTAATGGCGAAATAAGTACCCGCAGTATCTAAGACTATTTAACTCCCTATACAAGTTACATATGGCAGCACAAACAAAAGACTCTCTCAAATAATAATTATATAATAATATGAACAAAATAATAATTAGTATTTCATCGATTACTCATGAGGAAAATTTAAATCGAATCTTTGGTATTCTTGTGAACGAACTACCGGTATATCTCCTTCCCACAGCGACTTCAAATCCAGACATTTTTTTGTGATATTTTTTTTGCTCTGCACTCAGAACTTCGAAGGAATATCTTTTGAATTGAGTTTTTTTCTTTTTAATCTAGAAAAGTTGTATTCGTTCTGAAGGTAAAGTCAAAAAGATAGATACGACACAGTGCGTATAGTGATAAAATTAAGACTACAATTTTACGATCTGGCGTAACTTAGATAAGCCATAGCTGTAATGTATATTTTATAATTTCACAAAATTGGGGTAACTTGAGTTAAGCTCCCTCGTGAATTTTAATTTCCTATTAAAATGAGATAGGTCTAATATCATTTTTCTATAACTCTGAAGGTATCAGAGACTTATGCCACTTCACGATATTGAAGAGCAACCATTTTTAAGTAATAAAATTGACTTATCTCAATTTTCGTATTTTCTGAGATATGCCACTTCGTGTTATTGGCGACGATATGCGCTTATAATGGAAAAAGATGCAGAAGTTCTGCAAAGAAGGAGATGACATTTTTGAGCAGCTTCATTTCATCTCAAATAAAGTACTTTTCTAGTACTAGTTCTTTATCAAGACAGAGTAGCGAGACAAGGAAGAGCTTAAACCAAGGACGCCTTATATTGAAGTTGTATTGGCTATGACTGCATTTGTCTAAGTGTAACTATGGCTAAGTTGGCTAAGGTACAGTACACTGAATTGTTCGAACTTATTGGGCACCAAGATAGCTTAGTTGGTCAGATCAATATCTTTGGTTCAAGTAGATAACTGGAATCCTCATTTAAAGTACATAACTATACTAAGTGACATATAAATCCGAACACCCAGTTTAAATGGTTTTATTTTAATAAAAGTTGGTGAATGTATTTATCTTACTGTAAATAACAAGTGAAAAAATTTTCAGCCTTATCAGTTGGACATTCCGGTTTTTATACTGCTTTTTTTTAATTCACTAACGCTCTAAAATGAATATTTCAGCCGCAGTAAAGAATCAACGTTGGCGGATTTTGGTTCTTGAGATCCTTTACGATCGGTTACGATGCCTTGAGTACGGAGACCTGTACGATTTCGTCAACTTAGTGAGTTTGATAGAGGCCGTATAGTGGGACTTCGGGAAGCTGGACTTTCTTTTCGGGCAATTGCAGTTAGAGTGCAAAGAAGTGTAGACACTGTGGTTAGGTGTTGTCAGGCATGGCTTCGAGAAGGCCGTAAGCAAAGAGCAAGGGGCACTGGACGCCGCCGTAGAACAACAGACCGTAAAGATCGCCGCCTAAGATTATTGGCCTTAAGGGACCGTTTCTCCACTACCAAGTCCATTGCAAATGAATGGTTTGCAGAACACGGAGGACCTATTGGCATGCGAAGTGTTTACCGACGAATGAGAAGTTTTGGCTTGTTTTCATACCGGCCACACTGGGTCCTCCCTTTAACTCGAGAACACCGACGTAATCGCCTTGAGTGGTGCAGACAACGGTCACTCTGGGATCAGGAATGGAACAGTATTGTCTTTAGTGACGAGTCTCGATTTTGTTTAGGCATGCACGATGGTCGTGCCATGGTTAGAAGGCGACGTGGTGAAAAAAGGAATCCACAGTTTTTTCTTGAAAGACATGTTCATCACACTGTTGGAGTTATGGTTTGGGGTGCTATAGCTTATGGTTCCAGGTCACCTTTAATCTCCATCATAGGTAACATGAACGCGAAGCGTTATATCCACGAAGTTCTAGAACCCCATCTTTTACCCTATCTTGACACCCTGGCAGATCCAACTTTCCAACAAGATAATGCCCGATCACATGTTGCAAGAGTCACAATAGACTTCTTTCAACATAATGATGTCAGATTGTTACCATGACCACCAAGATCCCCGACTTATCCCCAATTGAGCACGTGTGGGATATGATGGGTAGGAGATTGCTCAATTTGCAACGTCCTCCTCAGACTCTAGAAGCACTTCGAGAGGAGTTGGTGGTTGCCTGGAATGAGATACCACAGGAGGACATTGACCACCTGATCAGAAGCATGCCTAGACGCGTTGGAGAATGCGTAGCACATCACGGTGCATCCACACATTATTAAAGGTCAAAGGGCTTTAAAGCAGTGCAATCATTTTGAAATTTTTATCATTAACTTATTATGCTTCATTAAGTACTTATACAAAATTTTATTAAAATAAAACCATTTAAACTGGGTGTTCGGATTTATATGTCACTTAGTAAAATGCTTTGGTGAGATTGAGGGACACTGATAAAAAGGTAGCATATAAAACGAAAAAAACTAGGACGTAAGCTCTAGATCTAGACCATTACAAAGAAGCTCATATAATCGCAATGCATTTCATTGTTTTTAAGCCGTTTTAAATTTCATGTTATATTGAATACTGAGATATACTGAGATATACTTTACTAGTGATCAGCTGAAAAGGTGAGATTGGTAGCTATCCTCCATGTTTCTTGTGGAAGCTGTAAGTTTTTGTTATAAATATTTGCGTTTTTTACTTTCTTAATATCCGATATTAAACCGCTGAATATAATTATACTTCGTCAAATTTAGGTAGGTATAGATTTGTAGTGAGTAGGCGGTTATTTATCCCCACTCCACGTCGCAACTCTGAGGTCTGCTGTACTCTTTCCAATTTTTGATCAAAAACTGCAACTTAATAACTCTTGAGCAGTTTTGCTGCCACTAGAATTTCTCCAGTCGTGCAGTGGTATGTTGTCAATGACCTGATTGCAATAGTAGGGGAAGAAGAAGCATGGTGTGGTCTTATACTTCGAGTGTCAAATAACGCTAGCATTGATAGCATCAGTCTTAAAATATTGAAAAGTATCTTAGCAGTGGCATACATAGTAATTAATTAATTAATATATATATATATATATATATATATATATATATATATATATATATATATTGTTTTTGATGATTCCCAAAAGGTCGCGCTGTTTCGAAGAATGTGTACTATTATTTGCCTATAAATATTCTGATATTTTTAAAGCTGTAGAGAATTACTCCAGTATCAAATTTCAAAACTCAAAAACCGATAAATACTGTATGTAACTCGATTAGAATCAAGGTGAATCTTTAGGATTATTTCCTGCAGGAGCTGGATACGTACTTTTTTCTAGGATGGGCAAATTCGCTTCCTCGAGGAACGTTTAAGGGATGATTTAACATTTGCATTTGCAACACAAGTTTACAAAATTTAGAAAATTTTCGAAATCTGCACGATATCTGTAATTTTAATGATTCTTTTAATCTCTACTGTTTCAAAAGCTTTCATAAGTTTCAACATTGGTAAAATTATCAGAACCAAAATTTTAAAGATTGTAAAAACTTACAAATTTTCAGATTTTTCGATTTTTAAAAATTTCCAATTTTCTTTAATTGAAATTTAGAGTTCTTTCATTTGCTTAAAATCAAAAGAGAGATCATTCCTCAATCATTCCTCTGAAAGAACTTCTGACTGTGACATTAGGTGATTCAGTTTCCTGAACGTGCCCACTGTTGTTGTGAGAATCCTGATCGCCAAATCCTTATAAATAAGGGGTCTTGAAATAGCAGAGGATATAATCTATTGTCGTTTTGCTCTATGATAAAACCAAAACCCTAACCCCCCTAACACGTATGGCTCAGTTAACATGTTTTGAAGTACGAGTATGCGTTTTGTCTCAACAGAGAAAATGTGGTTGACGTTCTTCCACAAAATTTTGTAAAAGGTCGTCTATGCTACAGATAATTTCAGTTCCATATAAAATGTGTAATTTATAATACATAGAGTTCTATCAATTCGGCTTTACCTCCAAGTTCTATATTATTGCAGAACAGCAGAATTTTCTAGCAAACTCCTTCTAGAAACGCAGAAACGGAGTTCTCGAAATCGAAAAACGTTTACTTTACGTTAACAATATTGTCCTAGGTTGTTAAACTGTTGGCAAGCAATCCAGTAATGTTGTTTTGAAACACTCCTATTTTTACATCAGAGAAGAATGCTACAGCTTTCTAAAAACTTTCCGCAGTGTGTAGTGGCTAAAAATGTTATTTTACCAACATGACTTATGATCAGCAGCAATGGATAAAAAACAAGTGTCTTTTGAAGAGTGTTCACTCTGAGATCGAATCCTTTTTTTACCTGGACCATAAGCTTCATAATGCATGTTTTATTGGAATTCATCTTGGGGTCACTTCAAGTCTTAACATTAGCACCTTTGAGGCTTGCGACATTTAGCGGTAGTGTGGGTCAAGCCTTGAAACTGAATTTTGAACAAGTTTTAACCATTTGAGCTAAAATTCTGTACACACGTTTGGTATAAATTTACAGCCGCTATTTTGAATCCAATAGGACGGATGATACAAAATGGTGGTTCATCATTTCTATAGTAACCCCTATGACATAGACATCAAATAAAATGGCTTGATGAGGGAAACATAACAAAGACAGTAATATCACTCTAAATCCAATATGACAGTCCTCTCACGTAAACCATGCTTATCAAATGAAACTACTTGATCTAAATCCCTAAATCCAATATGGTAGAAATCACAACATGGCGATTTTCATTTTTCATAGTCATCCCCGCGATATGGGTATCAAATAAAATGGCTGTATGAGAGTAACGCAATAAGTGAAGTGAAGTTATTATGAATCCAATATAGCAATCGCTCCAAGAAGGCGTTTATAATTACCATAGTCACCCCTATGACATAGGTATCAAACGGAAGGGATTGTTGAGGAAACCAAACAGATCAAAGTGACGTCATTCCAAATCCAATATTGCAAAAACCTCAAAATAACGATGCTTAACTTTCATACTCACACGTATACCATGGTTATCAACTGAAAGGGCTTGATGAGGGAAGAGAATAAGTAAATAACGTTATTCTAAATTCCATATGGCGATCATCGCAAAATATCAATTTATCATTATCTGATTTATATCTAACGAAATTTTATAATTCAAAGTAAGAAGTTTTATGGAGTTCTACATATTTGAAAATAATATAGAAATGACCAAATTAGATCGTTGAGATCAGCAATACTAAAAAATAAAAAAAAATAAGATATTTTTTTTCTAATTGGATATATTTAAATGACAATGAAGATCCAGCATATCAAGTTTGTAAATAAAGGCGTGTTACGTTTTGGCAGCAGGATTGAAAAATGGTTAACGCTTTTATCTGAAAACTTGATATGATGGAACTTCATTGTCGTTTAGATATTTCCAATCGGAAAATTTGGTAAATCAAAAGATCTAGCTCAGTGCCAAATCAGTTTGAAATTTAATTTTCTCCTAACCTCGGTACCCTGAGAACCTCGTGTTAACTGAATTGAAGCTCATTAGACAATATTAAGGTATATCATTTTCGTAGTCAGTGCCGTTAAAAATCTCGTAACCCATGTAACACTGTACCCTGTTTATTGAAAAACGAATAGCGTATTTTAAGACCTCCAGATGTAAATGTTTAGATGACTAGGCTCTTAGTCTCTTTACATTTTACGCACATGTAACAAGAACATAATTACTTCAACTTTATTGGAGCACGACAGGTCTTATTGATTTGAAAACAATTATTCTACTGATGTTCTGCATCATTAACGTGATGTTCCAATTATGCTCACTTGGCATAAAGCCAACAAATTTCGTTTAAAGTACTGATTTACCAATTTGCACATATTTTTTGCAAACATCATCAAGTACATAGCCTATAATAAGTTATGTAGTTTTATACAGACATCACAAAGACCTACAGGGCGATTAAAAATTGTGGCAGTGTTTTAAGAGCAGGTAGTACATATGTCAAAGAATATAACGATAAGCCCCTACAAACAGGATTACTAAAATGCCCCCCGAGATACAAAGTGTTGGAGGTATAATTTCGAAACAAGAAATGTATTTCCTGAATGAATTTTACAATGGACGTGTTTGCTTTCCGTCTCTGTAACCATGACCAACTGCAGACAGCGCTGCATGGTATCTGCAACGCATCAGTGCGGTATAGATCTAGTAGTTTTGGAGACAGTTGAACGAAAATAAACAAGTGCGCGTTGCCATTTAAAAAAACTCGAAATGCTCTGCGGATGCACGCGATAACACTGACGATCTCCACCTACAAATGGTTTGCCAAGTTGACCTTCATCCTCATCTCATACGACGGATGGTGACGAAAGATCCCTACGCTATCTCATAATAATAATAAACAGTTATTGACATTCATAAGCAAAGAAATTACGATGTAATATAATACAATACCAGTGACAAAGTCTAGCTAATAGCTATTCTATTAAACCAAAGAATCGATGAAGAAGTCATTCGAAAAGAAACATACATGTGGTTATTATATTTTTTATTACCATACAGAACTTACGACAGGGGCAATGATTTTTTTATTAAAAAAAAACTTTACCAGTTTTGATATCTACCTATAACTATCTAAATATAAACAATAATGAATAAATAAAAAATTGAATTTAAAAAGTACTACTATTGGTCATACTGCATATCAAACAAATAACGTTTCAATTGAAAGTTGAACTTGTTCATTTTTAGAAGCTTGAATTCTTATGGAAGCTGATTATACGTCCTGATCGCATTATATATGAACGATCTTTGGAACATGGCGGTCTTGTGCTAAGAAGCTGTGTAGTTCAATTTTGATTCAACATTTAGATGCCCAGCATCTTTGCGAGATATGAAATGTTTAATTAGGCTTGGAGGATTTGAATTGTTGACCAATCTATGCGTAAAGTTACACAGATGAAGGAATCTCCTATTATTCGTGTTAAGCTATTCGCACTCTTTGATTTTGCGTGATATAGGGTCATACTTCCAGCCTTCAGGAGCTATTTTGAAACCGGTGTATTTTGTTGTATTAGCACTAGTCAAGCACGGCCCATAAATAAAGCTACAGTAGTTAAAATAGGTAAGAATCAAGGTCTCCCACAATGTTTTCTACTTAGAAAATGTCGACAGCTATAAATGATTTTTAAAGAACCGAATGCTTTTTTTACTAGAGTTTGAGTATAGATAGGCTTGGATCAATAGTTAAACCTAAGTTACGAGCAGAATCACAGACGTTGAGGACTTATATCGTACATCCTTTTATTTAAACAGTATTTGAGGTATTTCTGATCATTATGTCGATTAAATGAGAACTTATTTCATCAAATTATTGATAACATTATTTATGGAAATAAATAATCTAACAACAGCCATTCTGATCATTTTCGGAGCCACCGGGTCTACAAATCAATCGAATTTTAGAGTTGACAACACAAATGTTTCACTTTTTCTGTGAATCACAGCGGATCCGTGGAAAAAAAATGGACAAGTCGATAAAATATTAGATATTCACACTCAGAAAGAATGGCTAAGTAGCAGTTAGTACTTAAGATGTATGTAACGTGTAATCAAATATTAAGAAATTCAAAGTCTAGTTGTCAAACTGGCATAATGAAACAAAATACAGTTTTAAATGACATTCATCATTTATGTTGATGTTTTTTTATTATTACCTATTATTATGTACCTAGAGAGAGCTATTTCTCAATGGACCATCATTGAGGTCAATAGTAGTGATTTCTTGTGTTAGTATTGAAAATAAAATCTCATCGCTCTGGGATGCAGCTACAAGCGTTTTCTTTGAACTTGTTTGTTGTGGAAACGAGGAGGTCGAGTTATGAAGTCTTTGATTCATTTATAAGGATCCCCAAACTTGTTATTTAGGAAACATTCTCCATAAAGAAACTGAGAAGCTGAAATTTGAATGCTATGTTTTAATATAAGAGTGACCCAAATTTTCAGTAAAGCATAGGACAGTTCGTTTAAAGAATTTGACAGTTGCTTACATCCTTTAGTGGTATGCTGCATATTTTATCGTACATTTGGATAGATCCTCCCAAGAAAAAAAGATTAATATAACACAGCATTTTGATGCGTAGCTGTTGAGCTATGATTCAATATAGAAAAACGTTTAACTTTGCAAGTACACCATTTTGTAGGTCGGTGAGTGTATATTCTATAGTTATAAAGCACTAATTGTCCCTTCAATCTATTTAAAAAATGTTCTAAGATGGCGCCCAGACCAGCTCAGAAAATAAAAGTGATTGAGTTTTTGGAACAAAAAAAAAACACTGTGTATCCAGAAATATACATACAGGTTCATGTTTTTAGGAAACATACATGCGTAATACCACTGTTAGGAAAGTCTTTTATTAGTATTGATACATCACACAAATAAGAGAAGCTACTAGATATGTCATAGTTAATACAGATAGTCGTGAATGTTACTATTTCCTGCCTTTCTTCTTCTTCTTTTGCGCATCTGGCCAAGGGAATCCTCTCCACCTCAACAGATCCTGGACATTGTGACACGTTGTATAAGCGTTTTCCATAGCCGCCTCGGTGAAGATATCCACATTACACCTCGCACTTTTCGAACGACTCTTTTTCCCGCCTTTCTTTGGTTTTCCTGTTTTCTTTTTATTTGATTTGTCGCCGTTTTTTGCTGCTTTTGGTTTTTTCTTCTTGCCTTTACCGTTCATGGTTGCGTTGACACTGAATCAAGCTTGTTTGGTCGATGATTGTCGGCCACTTGTTGATCCGTTGTCTTAGAGAATGTCATATTGATCTAACGTTTCATGAGGACATGTGCTCAAATAAATCAATACAACTATGTGAAAATTAAAAAGGGCGATTTAAAAAATACTTAGGTGTTTTTTGGCCCCCCTCTGGAAACTATTGTTTATGATTAGAAGTAAACAAAAATACTTATTCGAAACCCGGAAAGTGCGGAAATCTACTGTGCCTTCCCTAAAGTACCCTAACCACCCTCTGTCGATTACCTACTCAACATTACGTCAAGGCCTCTGGTAGTGTCTCATTTAAGCGTAGCAAATTGTTCGTAAAGTTTTGATTTGCACTACTTGAAAACTGGTCTAATAATCATTTTATATAATCGAACTTTGTTTATCAAAGTCAATTTGGTGGATCTACATAACAAAGGATGTAGTTACCGAAATGCAATTTGGAATTTTGTTTTCAACACTGTGTATGTTTTTGCCAGGTCATGCCTTTATTAAGGGTGACCCCCAGGTACTTGGCAAAATTTTTCCATGGTATACGGTTTCCGTTTACCGATACCTCGGCTCTGGGGGCGCGTCGTTTTTTGGTACAATAAAAATAGCCTGCGTTTTCGAATAATTAATTTTGATTAGCCACCGTACCGCCCACTCTAGAACTTCCTCCACCACACTTGCAACCCATCGTGAACCAGATCACCAGAACAGGACAAGTCAATGTCGTCAGCGTAGAGGAAAATTTCACAGCTGCTGGGACAAGAGACGTCATGGATAAAAAGCATGGATTGGTCCTAGGACCGAGCCCTGAGGACATCGCCCCGTACTGGCCGTTTTGCTGACAAAACATTGTTAATCTTGATCCAAAGCTTCCTTTTTTTAATGAGGGATTTGAGTTGTTCTAGAAACCAAAAAAGAAAAGCCTTTTGGATAAGTATATAGAGGAGGCCCGCGTGCCACATCTTGTCAAAGGATGCTCAAATTTTCAGTGTATTACATAACTTAAAAGTGATATTATGGTCCGTATCGTCAGTCGTTCCTATAACTGTAGGACGCCTTTATGGCCTCCATGATTTTCACAGTTTTCTACTGTTCCGTGCCAGCGCTCTATTTTGAGGTTATGTTACAAATATAATTAAATTGTTCATGCTTTTGATTTATATTATGTTATGATGTTATATCAGCCTGAAATTTCTTACAATTCAAAAAGAGAACATAACTTCACAATAGGACAGCTCTGACGTTGACACGGAACAGTAGAAATATAGAAATACCTCAGCCTTTCTGAAGGAGAGAAAAGACTATGCAAATCAAGGAGGCCATAAAGGCGTCCTACAATTGTAGGAACGACTGACGATGCGGCCCTATATCGATTTGTTGTCACATGTAGGTTTTTGACATATGTATAGGTTTTCCTGTAAACTGTAGTAGGCGTGCACAAGTCGCATTTTATCGATATTTTTGGTTTTTTTACTTAATAACCCTGTGGCTACAGTGACGAGAGCACCGATTTTTTTGACATTATACAGGTTTTTCCCCTGTGGATCTGGATGTTTGGTACAGAGATAGGTTATAGTCTGGAATAGCACATCAGCTACTTTTTATCCAGAGAAATAACTTTGAAATATCCATTTTACATGCTACAGGCCAAGCGGCTTAACGAAATTTAACACTAGGAAGTGCTCAGTCGCTGGTCCGACCGAAATGACTAAGGGTACATAAATAGGACACTTGCATATATTTACTGCATGTCGACATTCGTTTCTTAGCGTGATCGTCTTCATTTAGATTTGTTTGGTGATTTGTTTTACTTTAAATATAATGCTGTGAATAAATAGTTATTGGTGTAGCATGTGTTCAATTATTTATTGTGATTCTGATTACACGTCTGATATTAATTTATTTTTGCATCAAAATGTTGAATAAAGAATGTCCATTACCAAAGTAACTATTGCATTTCTTTGAACATTGCGTTTTTCTCTCCAATCTATTTCACCCACGCGAGCGAGGCTGCGGGCTAGTAATAAATAATTCTAGGATAATTGACATTAACCAGTGTCATCAAATAAACAAAATAATGGATATACACGGAATTATCCTAAATATGAGAAAGAAATACGTCTTCACGATATTCAAAGATGTGAGTACACTTAATCAAAAAATCAAAACTATTGCTGATAATTAAAAATAGTCAAAACTACTTAATGGAACCCGAAAACGCGGAGCCATCTGGTGTGCCATCCTTAAGGTACACTAATAACCCGTCACTAGCAAATAATCTTAAATCAAGTTTGCATAGGAAATCTGATACTTCAAAGAAAAATAATAAATAAAGCTAGCATTAACCGAAGTCACTGAATATACCAAAATTTGCATATTCGTTCCGAGTGGGGTCAATGAGAGCATATTTTTATCATTGATATTTTGATAATATTTGTGGCACGAAGGAAAATAAAACAAACTTCAATCATATTTTTGCAAAAAAATCATATATTTACTGTTATTCAATGCTCAAGAAGCTTCAATGTACTTTTTTGCGCCGCCTCACAAGCTATGTGATTAATAAATTAACTGAAAATCTTTCACTAAAGCCAGTAGAAGATATAGATGAAAATATATTTCAATTCAACTTGCGGCATCTGGCGCATGTCAGTTCAAGTAATAGCTTGCTTGCTGTAGCCCGTACAGAAATATCTTTGCGGAACAGGAACGTATTCATTTAGTTCAACTAGATATCAGGCGGGACTTGTTTTTACATTGTATAAATTTTAATTATAAAAATTTGAATATATTCGTAGAGCTAGGTGAACGACCAATAGCTAGCGGTGGTGCTATGAGCGTCAGTCGTACCTATCGGCCATCTGTTTTAAGTTACATTATGATTCAGTTCGATTAGCTTAGAACCATAAAACTTACAAAGAAGATGCAGCAACATTATTTATGTAAAATTTGAGTACAACTTCAACAATCATAGATGGAAGGTAGTTGCAATGCTACTCGGAACGAAAGCTGATTTGTTTCACGAGTCAGTATCAGTGACGTCACTTCTGTTTATGACAAGACATATTATGGTCAGCTATTATGGTAGCTGTCATACAATTTCTGGCGATCATTTTATTGCTCTGCTTAACGCGTTCTTCAATAGTCTCAAAATGTCTTTATCCATAATTATTTCTCAGACTAGAGCAGACGTTTTTGATCCAGATTATGTCGATATTATCATCTCCAATACCTACCGGCAACATTTCAACAAAAAACTGGATTACGGCTCAGAATTTTGCATCCTAGTATGAATGACTCTTGCATTGCAATTTGACATCTATCAGATGTACCCAATTATAGATTCTAGTGCAAGCTTTTTGAGAAGTATTCATTAGTTATTACTGCTACAAAAAAGATGATATTAGTGAGACTCGAATTTACAACTTCTAGTGTAAAATTTCATCAAAGTCGTGTTATTTATTTTGTTAATAACGTGCCTGTGAGCTACCTCAACAAAAATTGCATCACAGTCAGATTATTTGAGTGTTCACGTTCCTTGTATCATTTTATTTAAAAGTAAAGATTGATACTATTTTTTGTTCACTTTAAGACATAAACAACAACTGTTGGTTACTAGTACCGTCAAAAGAACCGGATCAATACCTACTGATAGATAAATCGCAAGTTTGTCGTGGTGAAACACGCAGTGCTTCTCCCCTATTCATCTTTTTAATGGGTCAAGTTAGCAAGCTGGAATTAAGTATGATGAAATTTATGTACGATTACTATATTTTAGCGTGAACGTAATAAATTAAAATTTCAAGATCGCGACTATGCAATTTTTTAAACGGAGACGGGATCAGGCGTTATCTCATTTTGAAGCTCCTTATGAGTACTTTATGTCTAAAAATATAAGTATATAAGAGTAAGACTACCAGTATCCCTTTTTATATCTCCATCTCCCTCATACATACACATGCAACCTACCACTGTGTGTGAACGTTTGTTCGGTAAGCTCAAAGACATACGTATTCAGTTATGTGTTTCCATCTCGAAAACGTTGTCGTTACGTATGTGTGCTCTTCAATCATATTTGTCAGAGTGACAACTTACTTGACATCGGCGTGCAATTTGAGTTATCAATCTTCAATATAAAATTGTACCATGCCCGGAGATACGATAAATGGAGAAGGCCGACAGATCGTGCAGTACTTCCAGGTAGAGAATGAAAACAGCGGTCCCCTGTTACCTGTCACTTCGTCCGTACTGGAGATAATAGCATATATAGTCAACGCCAAACAAAGTGGCGTGCACGTCATCAAGGTGGGTGTGTTGAAAAATTTACATTGTTGCCAAACTTTTTGTAAAATAATAAAATTTATTATTTACATATCTAGGTTTATAAGCAATATTAACCTCAAATGAGAACAAAAATAATAGTATCATAAAATTATAGATCTGTACTTGCATAATCATTAAGTATGACAATTATTGATCAGATGACACTGTGAAACTACCATATTTAATTGATAGCTTAAAGGTACTGAATAAAAATCCAAATGGGGTCCTCCAAATTTTATGCATGGTATTTATTTTACAGAATTCATACAGAAAAATGCATTCTAAAATTAGGTAGGCTACTGGTGTAAGCTTTTTCTGTACAATAAAGTTAGTCGGAGTTTCTTTCTTCAGCGCTGTCTGAATCTGAATCTTCATCACTCTCAAAGTTGATTATTAAAGGTTCGATGTCTGGTCGATCAAAAATTCGTTCTCTTTCATACCATTTAAAAATTTCTTGCTCAGTATGTCGAACACTATTTTTCCACATGTCTGGGGTAACCGTTTGTAGAGCCTCGTTCCACATATCCAAACAGTCTTTTTCACTGTTACCATCTCTACCAATATGTCTGTTATAGTAACCTTTTGCTATGCCCCAAATTAACTCAATAGGGTTAAATATACAATGGTAAGGAGGCAGACGAAGAACTTTGTGCCCATGTTGTTCCGCCAATTCATCAATCACGTATATTTTAGGTGGTTTGTTTCTAAAAAAGCAGTTCTTTTAAGAATAGGAATAAACAAAAGAAATAATATAAAATATAAACTGTCGACCAAAATATATATAATTAAGAAGCATTATGTACCGAGCAACAATACTCAATAGCTCTGTTTTAAACATTGTGTTTAAAAATGGTATGTTTTGATTTGTCAACCAGTCTTGGATATTTTTTTTTGTCCATGCATTGTTGGGCACTTTGTTCAATATCATGCTGTGATAAGGGGCGTTATCCAGTATAATCATAGATGGACTCTCCAATTTTTCTAATAACTGATGTTGAAACCATTTCAAAAAATTGTCCTGGTTCATCTCTCCATGGTAATCGCTCAATTTTGTTTTCGAAGAAAATATCGCTTCACTACCCTCAATAAACCCATTTTCATTTCCAGCATGTAATATAATGTATCTAAAATATATTAGTTTTAAATTTTATAGTGCAAATTGTGTAAACGTACATACCTTTTACCATCTGTTTTAATAGCTTTCACGCTTTTTTGGTTTCCATTTTGCCAAGAGCGACCTATGGTCCCATTTTGAAATATCCAAGTTTCATCGAGGAAGACAAACTGGTATAAGGCCTCAACCTTGGCTTGATTGTTGTATTGCCTTAGAAATTCCACCCTTTTCAAAGCTATACTTGGTAGTTCCATGAGCCCTCGTCGCGGATTGTCCTTAAGCCACTTAAATCCAAGATCTCTAAGCAACCGCCTTAAAGACGTGGCACTACCATCAAATAATGCCCTATCTCTTAATCGAGACCATAAAGTTTGTATCGTAACTTGATTCTTCTGAAACCATGTGTAATATGACATTATAATTTAGTTAACAAATTAATGCAAATTTCTGATAAGTTATTATAATAAGATCTTACTTTTGTGATACATATTATAGATCACTTCTCGAATGGCACTTGTATCCAATGTCGCTGTGTTGGTTACACGTTTAATATAACTCCGCTTTTTCTTGGGCGATTCTAAATTTGCATCACTTTTCACACCCTCGGAAATACGACTAACTGTCCTTAAACTAATTTTTAAAGCAGCAGCAACACGCTACAAAAAATGAAATAAAATTTCACTATTATTAATATTATACATTACATATAATTATTAGTAACCTACCTCTTGAACAGCATTTAAAGGCAACAAAGGCCCGTTGTTGTCCCTTTCTTGCTCAAAGTAGTGCATTAACGAGGCCACGAGTTCTTTACACCGACTATTTAACTGTTTGGGCATCTTTATATACCAAAATTGCCTTTATCTACTCGTAAAATGAATAATTTTGTTTTGAAACAATTAGTTGTTGATTTACAGTATGCGGGGCCAAAGGATTTATAAAGATTTGAAATGCCACAAATTGATTAAGTGTCAAAATTAATACAAATGTCAGTTCCCAGTTTAAATAAGTTTCAAGGTGACAATGTGTCAACGCTGCGAAATCGGTTTAGTGCGTTTACATGTCGATAAGTGATTGGAGCGTTTGCAAAACATTTTATTTCGCATAATGCGTCTAAATTTATCAGAAAGCAACTTATGTGATATTTTAATAACAATGTTTATATGACTATTAACCATAATAAGAGAGTAATGACCATTTTACAATTTATATATCACATTAATATGAAACTGCAATAGAGCAATTGTTTGTGATAGAAACCTAGGCATTAGGTCGGGGAATTTTTATCGTGATGACGTGCACGCCACTTTGTTTGGCGTTGACTATATATAGATCCGCCCATTTTACGGAGGCTCGATCTGTTTACTTATTCCATATGGCGTTGATGACGTAACTGCCAAGAACGGTGACTACAACTATACCTTTCAAAATGGCCGATCAAGAGGCGGTTAAAGATGAACGTTTTTATAAATTGAAACACTTATAACTCAACAACCATTCGTCAAAACTCTATAATATGTTCCATCAAGCCTCATCTGTCTATCCGAATATGTAATAAAGTGGAAACTTCTTTTTGCTCCGAGGTACCTATTGTTTATTGCACATTCAGATATACCCTTCAAAAAGGAGAAGATTGCCAGGCCGCTAAATCTAACCGCATACACTTGAATTACCTTTTAATGGCCATGGTGGTGTAAACGTCGTCATTGGAGTCTTATCAAGATGAAAACGACAGGATAGGTTTCAGTTGTTACATTAAGAAGATTGAAATACTACAACGTTTTGATAAAACGGTTTGACAGTCCACCAGTTCGCATCTTGAAGGATGGTGATTATATAGTTATACAGTACTCATAAGAAGATATTACATGATTCTGCTTTCCTAACAGCTTTACGGGAATTTCCTTATGAAAGACACCATGAAGAGTCTCACACCTTGTGTGTAATATGCCCGTCAAGCTTATTTACTTAAAAGTAGCTATAAATGCTTTCTTCTGAAATCAACTTGACGGCATTTTTCATTAATCCCACTGAATAACGAGTATGTCAAAGTGAGTGGGTAGTTCTTAGAGCCCCACCATGAATGTCTCACTTCCAAAATTGATGTTCACTATACATGCGTAAACGAACATACCGCCAAAATCCTAAGTGGGAGAATATATGATAAATTTCTCCAAACCAAAATCGGCAGTTTGATAGCGAGCCGCAGATCTGTTTGCCCCACTTGAAGCGCTGAAAATATTGCAAACGTGGGAGGACGCCGAGTCTGACGTTCCAGATATAACCGACCGAATATTTGAAATCAAGTTTCACAGTATTGCTTTGGACGGATCTAAGTGCGTGAAGGTGCAATCACATCGAGATGGGCAAGGTATGCAAGGACTTTCTACTAACCATATATTTATGCTATTCAATATCACCACTACTTTAGATAAGAAACAATTTCTACCTTTGCCCACTACATTTTTGCATATGAACAAAATATGTTTGGAACAAGAGAGTAGCATGGTGTGGGCTTTTAAAAGCGAACCCAAATATGATTCGTAGATGAATGACACTAATATCATAAAGCAGAACTACTTAAAATCATCCGTATATCCAAAAATCTATGGAAGAATAAGATCTATATTAGTTTTTATAGTGAAGTTAACCTTTCTTGAAAATGTTTCAAATATCATTTAAACAGCAATTTTATGAGTATGTACGTTCAATGAACGTCTTGCTTTTCAAACTTCTCTATACATATGAAATCATTAGCATGCTTTAAAAATAGCCAAGTAAAAATACAGAGCAATCATATTTTTGGATTCGAGGCCATAATCTACATTCGCAGAAAACATTCCACCTGATCTGCTGACTGAATGCGAAAAATAAAATATGTCAAGTATATTGCCCCTTTATCCACGCTATTCTGAAATCGCAATGAAAAGTATAAAAAAATACTTAAATATCAAATATTTATTATTATTAAAATTACTGAATTGTTTTCATGGTTACGACCTACATATTATCATTTTCCATTTGATATTTATGGCCATTATCTCTTTTTAACCATTAATAGGTACCAGCAATTGGCATTGATTTGGGCACCACCTACTCCTGTGTAGGAGTCTGGCAACATGGAAAAGTGGAGATTATCGCCAACGACCAAGGAAACAGAACTACCCCCAGTTATGTGGCATTTACTGATAGTGAGAGGCTCATTGGTGATGCAGCCAAAAGTCAGGTACCCAAAATCTTACATTCTACATTCGATTTAACCACTATTAATGGTATACTAGACAAAATTTAAAGGAACAATACATTACATGCCTAGTTTAAGAAGGGGGCCATTATTATATGCTAAGCCGCACGTTACCGAAAGATATAATATACAGTTGAGTCATTTATTTTAACAGTGAGTAGATCTGATCAAAAGAAATGTTTTTTTCCTTTACCATTTTTCTGGTAAAATTAAAGTAACAAAGTTATAGCCCTTTGGAAGTTTGAGTACCGCCCTGTCTCAATAATAATATCATGTGCTCGTGTTTGGCGACAACGGATATAATCCGCCGTATCGGTTCATCGCATCGGAAACAAAAAAACGAAAGAATTTGGAACGATGTTTTTACAATTATTTCATTCATTTGTATACAGTCAGTGACAGTGAATAGTGGTATCTGTTGCGTGGCTCAAACGAAATAAAAAATGGCACATGTTTATGCGGATCGGTTTCCCAATCGAGTGCAACCAACACCTCGTGCCTTTGTTAATGTAGTACAACGGGCTCGTGAATCAGGTGACTTAAGACCTCACAGGGGACCTCACGATCAAATACAGGTCCGCACTGAAATACTTGTCGGGAGGATACTTTATAAAACAAGGTAAACATTTTTTTTTTAATTTTTTTTTAATTTCACACACATATTTTGGTTTATCTTCCTTCTACAATCATTATCTGAAAATTAATGACTCAACTTAAAAGTCACCCTGTATATGTACGAGTTTACAAAATAATTAATTACTTGATGCCAGACTGTCAATTGATGAATGCAACAAGCAGAATATTTGGATTGTTTACTATTTGTTGACATTAAAAGTCGTTTTCAAACACTATGTCGATTATTAGGCTATTCAAGGAAATAACTGCATGAGGAGCTATACTCAAAATTACTTATGTCTCAGTTGTTCTGAAATATTCAAATAGCTCAGTTGTCTATCTGACACAATCGAATCAAGTATATATTTTTTAAGTGAAACACCATGTATATTTGTAGTGGAAATATACAGTCCCCCTACGAATTTTTGAATGAGTCAAGTTATCAAACCGAAATTCAGGGTGATGATATTTATGCATGAATACCATATTAAAACGTAAAAGTGGCAGTCGAAAAATTCAAGATGACAGCTGGACGCCATTTTTGAGCATTTTTTAAAATGTAATGGAGAGGTCATGTGATATTTCGTTTAGAAACGTCTTTTGAGTACTTAATAGTCATCTATCAAAATGGCGAACTGAGAATCTGTCAAAATTCTTGTACAATACAGTAGAATATGGAATATACGATTTTAAAAAATTGTCAAAATGTGTCAATTTTTGTATACTCGAATGTCCCACATTTTAATGAACATTTAGATAGATCCTTCACAATGAGCAAGAATGATGTGACATACCATAAAGTTTTGATGATAAGTTGTTGAGTTATAAATGACTTAAAGTACCAAAAACGCTCAGCCTGTCCGTCATTTTGAAGGATACTGATTTTATATTCTAGGGTTACAGAGCACTCAAAATCACACGACCCCTCACCCCACACGACCTCTCTGAAAAAATACGCCGCCATCTTAAAATCTTCAGCTATAATTTTTATGTAAGAATATAGTATTCGTGAGTCAATTTCAGCGTCCAAAAAATAACTAGAAGAAGCTTTCTGAAAAGCACTGTATATTGGTTTTGTTATACTAATTTCCATTATTTTAATCGAAAACTTAAATTTTGTGTGTCATTGATCATATGTATGATGCCTTGTACTAGATTGTATAATAAACATAAATATTATAAACCATTAAGGTAAAGGTAAGGAAAAGGTACTAAAAATAGATGAGATTATCCATTCCACAAAATATCTTCATATTCGCACATGGATACCTGTTGTCACCCTATCTCATTATTTCGAAGCTGTTCAGGTAAAAAATCGCCCGAGAACATGCAGCGGCTACTGCACCTTATATAGAAAATATTCCGATCGTTTTAAGACTTAAGAGCAAATCTACGAGGTAACATGTGGTGAAATATGCCTCATAGGGACGTAGAATTACAGGACCTGGTAGTGGTCCATAAATATACTGCCGCCGAAGAATTACATATATTAGAACCCAAACCTCTGGTTTCAAAAATGACCAGGATCCTCCGAAATGTCAAAAATCACAGTTTTAGCGTTTTTTTTTTTTTCGTTTTTGGTCTTTTTTTGCTGCCTCTAGACCGATTTTCAAAAACCACAAAGCTTTTTAGTCGTTGACACAGTAGTAAGCTTATTTAAAAATGTTAACCAAATCCAACCAGTACTGTTCAAGTTATAGTCCAGAGACTGACGGACAGATCGACAGACAGACAAGCAGGCAGACGGAAATGGTTTGCGGTGCTGATCATGTCATATAACATCCAAAAAACATTTTCGATTTTTTTCGCCAGAAGGCGTAGTAAGCATAAAAGCTTAGAAGACAGTGAAAAAGAATGAACGGCAGATTCCCGCATGTGCCTCCTTCTAAAAAATTACTATGAAATCACAGTTAATCAGATACAATAAGACATGTATGTATATCACTTCCTACATACAAACGTACGCATATATAATTTTCAAGGTATTTCTCCCACACAAAATCAGCAGTTCGTCATTCTTGGATACTACACCTTTTTGAGTCATTCACTAGAGGTTGACTAACCTAATGAATTGTCGATATTCCTGGTCAAAGTTCACTAGCACTTAAAAGATAGATGCTTTTGTTTCATATGCACCAATGAGAGAATAATTGTACCTGAAATTTTGTGTAATCGAGATAAACAATTTTTGAATATCTCTTGAAAGCATACATGATCAGGATTCAGGTATTTCCTTTAAAACTTTCTTCCCTTCAGACGTTGTACAATTCTCTCTGTCAGTATTTTCATGCCGCTTAATCTTCGCAACGACTGAGCCAATCTTATGAAGCTATGTATAGTAATAGTGGTAATCAGCAGAAAAACTACAGTTGTTATATGGCCTACTTTTCATCCTTGTGCGCTAATGAAGTAACCTATCAATTGTGAAGTCTCCTCATGATTTTTGGGCATGTTGGGGGAAGGACATTGCATAATAAACATTTAAATACGGTTGAAAAAGACATGTCTGCTTTCGGTCTCCTGTAATCTTGACCAACCGCAGACCGCGATTTTCCGTGCCCATTAGCGACTCGTCAGACGATAGGGGAGCCCTTACACACCCTAGCCCATAACATCTTGATGTTCTCCGCTTTGCACAGAGATGACGCACCGCACCATCACGGTCAAGTGGTCGGAATACCATACGTCTGATGTGGACGATGTTGGCGAAACCACTGGTCACTAGGCCTAAGATCAATAACACACTGTTGAATTGCTAATGAGCACAAAACTTCGCTGTCTGCGGTTGGTGTCATGGTTACAGGGGACAAAAAGCAAACATGTCCTTGTCAGTAGTATTGTATTTTCTATTCGTCATTGTCTGTTAGAGCGGTCCGTAGGACCTTTGCTCTTGGTTAAAGTCAGTAGGTCTGACAGGTCTAGTGCCCAAACACCAGACAAAGTCGGGAGTAGTATCTACTATTCATATATGCATCCCAACTGACATTAAGTTGACCGTGACGTTGCGGTGCGACATCTCTGTCCGAAGCGCAGATCGCCGAGAGGCTATGGTGTCTTTATCGTCTGATGATTAAAATCAGCTTGGACAAACCATTGGTAGGTGGCGATCGTCAGATTTTCATGTACTTGTGCACATACGGTTATTGTTTCAAATTAACTCATTTGAAGCACCTTGTAGATACCTTATGCAGTACACACAGTAATATGGAATACAGAACGTTTAATACAAAAATATGTGGGACAGTGCTGTAACTGCACCTTACTTGGCAATCATCGCCGTCTGTAGGAGATCGACATCTCATAAGTCCATATAAGCATTCGATAGCCTTGGAATAATTCTTTTCCAACTTTACATATTTGGTATTCATCTTGAAGCCAGAATTCAATCATCCGTTTATACTTAGATATGACACTGAATGCTTAGCCAAACTTTCGTCGTGTTTGGGTACTTTGACTTTTTTGATTATTCACTGAAAGATACAGGACACTGGTGAAAGAAATAATCCTTTGAAGTTTGACCATATTATTATTATAATAGGGTGTTTCCTAAATGAGTGTCAGTGTCTATGGGGGTCCATTTTAAGAAGAAAATTTCATATGAACTTATGCTCCAAACATCTTAACCTTTGTGCAAAGTCACCTGTCCATTTCTAAGCAAAAAATAAAAATCGTTTCAATGCATCATCATAACAATATCGTTAATATGACAATACTACAACGCAGAGAAACAAATTTTATTTTTTCAGCTGAAAACCGTGCGACGTACTAAAAAAGTCAATATACCAAATTTGCTCATAAATGAATGCAGATTGCAATTTCCTAATTAAAAGATTGGTTAAATTTCTAATCCACAAATATTATTGTTTCACAGACATATCATTTTGTCGTTAGATTAACGCTGCCATTTTTAGTTATATAGAAAACTACCCATATAATATAAAAGTTGGATGATTAACAATAATATAGATACAAATATATCAGACAAAGTTATACAAAAAACATTGGAAACACCCATGTATCAGAACACAATCTAAATTTAACGGATTCCATGATCTGTTTGTTTTTATATATCAAGTTTGGAGTGCAGCCAAGATGAAAAAAGTGGTTTTATGCATCATCCATCTTTCAGACCATTTTCTAGTTAGGTACCGTGTGAAATAAATTTCTGACCAAGTACAAAGGTTTTTGGAGATAAATATGAACATTTTGAAAAATTGCAACTAAAGGTTGTGTCAATCCAATTGTAAATATATTTATACATAAGCTCTAAGGTATCTAAAGTATTTAAGTAACAATGTAATGTGTCTGTCTGTCTTCTGATCCTTGGCCTCTCAATAACTTGGAAAGTACCGATCGTATTTAGAAAAACACGAGGCTGCTAATATGTTAAGGATGAAATAGCTTTGTAGTTTTTGAATACCGATCCAGTGGTGATGAAACTATGGGCAAAATAAGCAGCTGAAAAGACAAAATACGCTCAAACTTTGTTTCATTTATATTTTTTGAGAGGTAAAAATTGGGGGTAGGGCTGTTAAGGGGTTGGGACAGGTGTATCTCAATATTTTTGGTGTTAGTATATGTAATTCCACGCTCCTACTGGGCATTTCACACATATATTTGCCCGTAGATCTTCCCTTAGGGCTTTTTAATACCCACACCGTACGCAATGAAAGCCGCTGGCAGGCGAGGTTCACTCATCGTATGATCGCACCATTGCCAGAAGGTCGATACTGGTAGGTCACAGCTAACATTTCTCGATCGCAACTTAGTCAAATGGGTGGGAAATTGGGACTAATTGTATGGTTCTATTTGACTGACTTGATCCATGTGATTCCTTTGTTATACGTGTATATAGTTAATATTTTTCTCAGAGGGCCGAACACTCTTTTATAAAGTAATGCGTGAGAAGTACTACTCGAAGCTATTTTTCCTTTTTACATACACGTACATAGGCATCTTCATGCGTTGACGATAATGTATAAATTAGTTTAAACTTGAACATCGAAGATTTAGAATAATCAGCCTTAAATGTATGGAACTAGCACCATCTTAATATTCACCATCGATATTATATTCTGGGGGTTACAAATATAAATTAAATTGTAGTGACCGTCAGGAATTTTTCTGCCCACCACAATATTATTTGCTTAACACCTTTTTTTGAAATGTAGACGTAATCCGCAACACTTAATACTTGCATCCATTTCTTATTAAATTAAATTTGGTGTCAAAGAGACAGTGGCAAATCAAACCAATAGATTACGAATTTCTGACACGTTTCTCCACGAAGAGTTTGGTATTTTTTACTAATTTAAACAGATTCCAGAAAGCACTGACTACAAAAAAGCTTACACTATTCAAATAGCTTGCAGAATCTATGAATACAATAATATTGAGTTGCTTGAAATGCCTGTAAACATTTTTATAAACAAATAATGAACATCTATAATGGCATCCAATTGAGATTTTTCGACTTGCTGCTTGCAAACACATAACTTTTGATGTCTTACTGCTTGATTTTTGGTATTTGAACTTTCATAAATTCCCTTTTATTATTGTACAGAATTTTTTTCAACACTGTTGCATATGACACATCAAAACAGCAAATGTGTCACTGTTGAGTAAAACTCGTTGTAAAAGTAGCCTGAATTCGTAGTAGTCTGTACAGTGCTTAGACCTCACAGTCACTCTATATAGTGACTTGAGCAAAGGTGCATAGTAAAGTCAATAGTAACAGAAATCTTGACCTTGAAAGTGAAGATCAAAGCTAAGTCAAACCAAATATAAAGGATACAAGTTTCACTCCGAAGTTAAGTTAGAACAATTCTTTTAGAATATGCTTATGGCATTACAAATCGAAGTTAAGCTCCATATAGGGTTATCTTTGCATTTCACTGCATTTTGGTAGGTCACTCAAAAGTTGAATCAATTGTTTGAAATATTAATAATACTGTACAATTCAGGTGCGTGCTTGCATGGTCCTTCGAAGATACGAAGGTTCCTTAAGATAACTTGATAGAATCAAGCAAATCAATGTGGTTATTAATTTTTCACAGGTGGCGATGAATCCTAAAAACACCGTTTTCGATGCCAAACGGTTAATTGGTCGTAAGTTTGATGATACCAAAATCCAAGAAGATATGAAACACTGGCCGTTTACTGTAGTCAATGATGGTGGAAAGCCAAAGATCCAAGTTGAATACAAAGGCGAAGTCAAGAAGTTTGCACCTGAAGAAATCAGTTCCATGGTAAGTGGTGCATCATTCAAACTTATTCCTTTATTGCAAGCAAGTATGCGGCATCTTTATTACAATTGACGCTAGCAGGAAAAGATGGATCATGCGTCGTTTATTACAGCAGTTTGCTACTACTTTTGACCTTTTCTGAACATTTAGAACAGCTGGAAAAAGCTGTATGATGTTATTTTATTTTACAACTACAAAGTGCCACAGAATATGTAGTTTTTCAGATGCATATAGAAGCAAAACAGTAATAGCAATAAGTTCGTTTTTTCTTGAACAACTCTTTGATAACATAATTCAATGAAACTTTGATAGCGTGGTAACCGATTGGGACTTCAGATGATGTTACCTATGGGGTTTTAATCGCGCCATCAAAATGTTTCGAAAACTACGCATTCTAGAGAAAAAAAATTTAAAAAATGTATGGCTTAGAAAGAGAAAGATTATGATGACCTTGGAAATGACCTTGGCTACGATCTTCAAGGTCGATATGAATAAATATTTTCAAACGGAATCCCATTTTTAACACCGGAATTGTAAAGAGGCGCAAAATTAAACATCCGAATATGACCTTGACCGTTACCATGACCTTCACCTTCAAGGAAACATCAATATCCAATCAAGACGTCGAAAACAAATTGCTTCAGCAAAAATGTTTGACAGCGCAGTTGTGAGGTTTATGGGCGCCACTCAAAGGTGACTTTGATCATGACCTTGGCCATGCGAGGTCAGGTAAAAATTTTACACGTTTAACTATACTATACTTGCTGTCTACAATTTTGAAAATTCAGGGGTTGCTTTACAAATAGCATTTAAGCAGGTATGACCTTGACTTTGAGGTCAGGCTTACGCTCCCAAAATTATTATATTTGAGCAATTATTATTTAGGATGTAAACAATCAACAATATTGTTAGGGCTACTCCATACACCACGATCTAGATAACACCAAGGACACCATCATGAGAGACCTCAAATGGTTACTAATCTATCTAAATCTCGTTGCATCGTCAACGAATATGTGATTTTCAGTAGCATAATTTAAGGGATTGCACCGCAAGTGACATCTTTTATAGGAATGTGTGGCATAATGTTTTACGCTCTATATTCATTCCAGAAATTGCCATCTTATTCTAGGACACCCTATATAATCGTTACAGATTGTCAATTTACACCATCTGCAAATATGTTATCAGTTTTTCCCAAGAATCAAGTCTAGCATAGCAATTTTCTAGTCCCTTGGACTACCCACAAACATTGCCAAAATTTTGATTAACATGCATTTCTGAAACATGGTCAGTCATCGTTACGCAGATCGATTATATTATTCGGCTATTAAATGCAATTTAGATGTATGAAATAACTTAACTAAATTCTTGGCAGCCTCAGCAGTCTTTTACAAAGTATAAATTCGAAAAAAAAATAAGTAGCTTTGCTGGCAGAGACAACATTGACATCAATCGACACACTTCATTTTCTAGGTCCTCACAAAAATGAAGGAGATAGCCGAAGTATTCTTGGGTGGCAAGGTGTCAGATGCTGTGATCACTGTCCCAGCCTACTTCAATGATTCTCAAAGGCAGGCCACCAAGGACGCCGGAACTATCGCCGGTATGAACGTACTCAGAATCATCAATGAACCTACAGCGGCTGCTCTTGCCTACGGTCTAGATAAGAACTTGAAAGGAGAGAAGAACGTGCTCATTTTCGATCTAGGTGGAGGTACCTTCGATGTGTCTATTTTGGCTATCGACGAAGGATCTCTCTTTGAGGTCAAGTCTACTGCTGGAGATACGCATTTGGGTATGTGTTACCTCCATTTGTCTTGTAATTCTATGAATTGACCTATTAAGGTGGATAACATGGAGTTAAAACCGATAAACAATCATTGTTGAAGTTATCTTTATTGTAACAGCTTGGATTCGATACAGGTGGAACATTTTTCTACAGATCAGCATTCTAATCCCGATACAAGTCGTTCGTGTATATAAGATGATTGTACAAACAGTGGCAATATTTCTGAAGCAGAAACTTCGTCGAAAAATAATACAAAAAGTTTATATAAAAGCATATCCTAAAATACCATTGTCGCAACGTGTACCAAGTATATATGAATTGCTAAGTCAGTGATAAGACAGCTTGAGAACATAAATTGAATGGACTTCATATAACGTGCTGATGATGTGCTTTTATTTTCGTAATATGCTTCGTAAAATCTTCAATGCAAACTTCAAGAACCTCAACGCTCACTTACAAAATGAAAAGAGGTGCTGCGAAAAGTCTGTGGCGAGGAAAATAATTCTTGCAACACTAACAAGCGCCAAAACTTGATACATGTTTAACCCTTACGCTGAGAATAACAGAAAGGTCCCTACGCCTATGGCTTATACTGAAAAACAGTTACTGTTTTAGGAACAGATATATGTCGTCCTTGAAATCAGCGAGGTATTCTCAAAGCTACCAGCAATGGCACATAGATTGCATAACTGAACATAGAAGATATTTTTCTTTTTTTGTCTATAGGTTATTTCTCAGTTTTTATGTTGCTGGTTTTTTGTCCTTTCAGTAGATTTGTTTTTTCGATTTCGTAAATGATGTGAGGAACGTTAAGGGCCCATGACTGTAAAATGTTTAGTGCTATTTTTGGACAAATTTTCTGTTTTTTCGCTCTGTATCACGCTAGTTGTAGGTAGTCACCTGATGGATAAAATAACCCATTGCTTCATCTACAAGCCAGCTTGTTTTTGATAAAGTATGGTTTAGTGTCAACGGATCAAGGTCTATAAACGGGGTTTTCGGCGCTGAAAATAATTTGATCGCATCTATAAAATGCTTGCATTCAAGTATCTCGGAATATTTTCTTTTACTCGCTGAATATACTTCTATTGTAAAATCCGTCTGCACATTATTTCTGACATTCTAAAAATATCCAATCTATCCACCTTCTATAATTGGCTATCTACTCGAGAGAGACAACTCTCTGGTGATATTGAGAAAAAATAGAACTAGACTAAAAAGCTACCCAGTTGGAGTCGACTCATTTCTTTTTTTGTTAAATTTTAAATGCAGGATGCTCTACAAATGTTGTCATCTTTGGTTTCTCAGGCAGATTATTTTGTCGTTTCCAATGTCCAAAGCCAGAATTTTCGTCCAAATATAGTCATTTCAATGTGCTTGTAAAAATATTATGTTCCCGTTTGTCTCACGCTTAGAGTTTTTGAAAATCCATTCGACGTAAAAACGACTACTAAGTGATTGGCTGTATCGCTGGCTGGGCTTTTATATATATCCAGAGTATTAGGTGTAAACGATACGATTTTTTAATAAATTCCCAGCACCCAGTTAACTGGCGTTAGTTTAATCAGTAACATTTGAATTAATGTAAAATTATACTGTCTAAGAAAACTGGATTTGCAAAATTATGAAATAATAATAATAATAAAAATAATGAACTACTACTACTGGTACTTGCAAGACTCAAAGTTCATATAATAGTAACAAAGCACTGATCCTTTTAATACAAAATAATTGATTTTCTAACTGCCTATTAAAATGACATTAAACAAAGCAAACTGCCTTCCAGTTAATGTAGTAAACAGATTACTTACATGATTGTTGCTTTATTTTTGTACTGTCTCTTTGCTAGTGGAAGCGGCCAGCTTGACATAGACAGAAGCCATACTATGTGCGTTTACGCTTTCATCAACGTTTTTCCTTTTACTTTAGTTCTTGCTTGTTACTTAAAAGCCCAAAGTTCGCAATTTTGGATTTTTTTACAATATTCGCCCAATCTCGAATATTTAGTTCAGTATTTTTAAATGAGCATAGGGTCGCAACACTTTCTACTTCAAACCTATGCTGAAAAACACCAAGACACAGAACATATGTAAGAATAGAAATGTTGCTTTACTACGCTCACATTAAAAACACTGGTTGAAGTTGTTTGTGTGTTGATTTGTTGTAACTTTTATCTTTAGTGTGAGCGCAGTTGAGCAAAATTTTCATTTTCATATATGTTCTGCGTTTTAATGTTTTGCACCACAGATTTAAAGAAGAGAGTGTTGCCACTATGCGCTCATACAAAAATATTCGAAAACGGGTTCATTTTGAAACAAAAATACCTACATTAACTTGAAAGCATAAAATTCATAGACGCTATCAACTTGAAATTTCAGTCATCTTCTTAGCCGAGAAACCCGCTTATAGACCCTGATGCTTTCATAAATATAGACTTCATATTTCGTTCCATATAATATAATAACTGGTACTTTCATCACCCAGTCTTTAGACCAATATATTCCTTGTTCTGCCAGCACATGACATTCTATGTACATACTTCCTTGCAGGTGGAGAGGATTTCGACAACCGCTTGGTCAATCACTTTGTAGAGGACTTCAAAAGGAAGCATAAAAAGGATCTTTCCGGTAATACAAGAGCACTGAGAAGATTGAGAACCGCATGCGAGCGAGCAAAGAGAACATTGTCATCTAGCACTGAAGCTAGTATTGAAATTGATGCTCTCCATGATGGTAAGTTCATGCGGCAATCTGGCTATGCTTTTAAAACAGAACCACTAGGAGAAGAAGCCTTTCTTTATGAACTATTATTCAAATCACTCTATTTGCATCCGAAATTGAATACTCTGTTAAAAAATGGCGTAGGAAGTAACGATAAAATTGGTTTTTCGAAAAGGTCAATGACCAAAAATGTATTTTCCAGAAGGAAACAAAATATTCCAGCTTCTTCATGCAGATTAGGTAGAAGAACTTATGTGTACTGCTTCACCAAATGCATGATTTATTGGGTCGATACCTTTGCCCGGTCCGTATATAGGAAATTTATATAGCTTGCTTATCATAGAAAATGCAAGCATCAACACTAGATTTGTGTCATTTCTCCAAGCGATGGGTGATTTGTGTAGCTTGGTAAAACGTAGGGAAGTCAAGCCACAGGTCATCATCATCATCAAATTAGTGTTGTCAGATAATACATCCTTATGATGCTTTAGCTGTGTAACTCGTAACATACTGTATTTCTTGCTTTCGTGAATATATAGCTTCAAGACCCTACATCTATGCGAATGAAGCTGTGATTATAGAAACTCTTTGTGCAACCTTTTTAACTGAGCTTCTGTACCAGATTTTATTAGTGCCACCACCTCCGAATGTATAATCCAGTTGATTAACAAGTATCGTGAGACATATTACTAGTATTATTTGTATTTTTAAATTCCAAAATATGATATTGGTACTTACATAAACAGGTATCGACTTCTACTCAAAGATCACAAGAGCCCGTTTCGAAGAACTCTGCATGGACCTCTTTCGAGGTACCCTCCAGCCTGTAGAAAAGGCCCTCAATGACGCCAAGCTGGACAAGGCTGCCATACACGATGTCGTCCTTGTCGGCGGTTCAACTAGGATTCCCAAGATCCAGAAGATGCTCCAGGACTTTTTCTGTGGCAAGCCCTTGAACCTTTCCATCAACCCTGATGAGGCAGTAGCATACGGAGCAGCTGTCCAGGCAGCCATTTTGAGCGGAGATACCAGCTCTCAGATCCAGGATGTACTGCTGGTTGACGTTGCGCCTCTTTCACTTGGTATCGAGACTGCTGGCGGTGTCATGACCAAGATCGTTGAAAGAAATTCCAGGTAAGGCTTTGTTATGTAGTTCTTACCAGATTTAACTGTTATGTGGGTATTTCTATATGCAGCTTTGTGTAAAAAAGGCACCTGAGGGGAAACAACCAATACAATTTTGCTAGTGTGTATCCCCTATCGAACCAGTGTTTCACATGCATATCAATTCCCTAACATCACGCAATTCACATACAAAGCAGAGGAAATATTGCGTTTGTAAAATTGTTAAAATTTTAGATAAGTTTTTTATGATTTGTTTGTTTTAGTATATTTTACAAATTCATCATTTTTGGTCGTTAGCAATATTGTTTTTTGGAGTGATCAAAATTTTCAGAAACATCGTTTTATGAGGCTTTATATTTTATTTGCTTAGCTGGGTTGTTACGATATCATGATGCTCAAAGAGCATTTGTATAACAAGGATTTTCATTGTTAACCTACTTTATACCATACTTAGTAGCAAGCACAGAGCACCGTTAAACCATGGGAATGGATAAAAAACTGTACGTTGTTTGGTTAGATTAAGTTGAGGCAAGAGATTGGAACAGAAACCCAACTCCATTTTGTTAATCAGACAGCTTTGACGCTGATGTTTGTTACAGCAATTCGTTTTTATTTCAATCCCAAACATATAAAACGTGAGGATTGCTGGGTTTTCGTATTGATACGGAAGGTACACTCTGGCATCTTCCTTCCTTTTTTTTTTATATTCCAACTACCACGAAGGCCTAAGGCCTAAGCACCCATTGGGTACTGTGGGGCTATGGTGGATACATGGGAAAGGGGGGACGTCACACAGACTCTGGCGAGGGAACACGTGTGCATGCAACATGCACACATTCTGGCTCCGCCTACGAGATCCGCCGGGTGGTACCTCCGCGTTCGACAGTCAGAGACCATCTACCATCACAAAATCCATCCTAATTTTCTTTGTGGCATGAGTATCGTGATACAACAGTAAACTCACTCTATTATTTCCAACCTATCGGTTAGTACTCATACAAAGGCAAATCTACTTGATCAGCAGGTAGTAAGATAGGTAGGTACCCATTGCATCATCTTCGACCTTCGCACCATCAATGTACCAACAGCTTTTTCATGTAGTTACATTCATACAGTGATCGAATACTCGTATAATTCCAGGATTCCATGCAAGCAACAGCAGACCTTCACAACCTACTCTGACAATCAGAACGCCGTTACCATCCAAGTGTACGAAGGAGAACGTGCCATGACCAAGGATAACAACTTGTTGGGCACCTTCAACCTGACCGGTATCCCGCCTGCACCCAGAGGTGTCCCGAAGATCGAGGTCACGTTCGATCTGGACGCCAATGGCATCCTGAACGTGTCCGCGCGGGACACCAGCACTGGCAAGTCGGAGAAGATCACCATCACCAATGACAAAGGCAGGCTGTCCAAGGCTGAGATCGACAAGATGTTGTCTGAAGCAGAGAAGTATGCCCATGAAGATGAGATGCAAAGGGCGAAGATCCAGGCAAGAAACCAGCTGGAGACTTACGTGTTCAGTGCTAAGCAGGTATGATTATAAAGGATGATTGATAAAACACAATCCCCTCATTCTAGTAATAAAACTTTAATTCGTCCAACCACAGACGGCTAACCACGAACAGCTGTTTCGTGCTAATTGGCAACTCTTCAGCATGGTTTAAGTTTGGTCTCGGTGAACAACGAATGAATGCTGAGCATTTATACTCAATAAGACTCTAAGGTCTGGTGAAATAAGACAGCACAAACTGCCATTTATCACCAGAATCAACCAGTGCTAATGTGAACATAGCAAGTTATCTGTTATCTACTCGCCATTGTACAAACTAGTCCGACCGAGCCAAGAGTTGCCAAATAGTCCATGGTTTTCCGTCTGCGATTTCATCTGACAACCACCATCACTTCCATTTTGCAGTTACGTACCCTGCTAGTACGTCATTATGACGTCGAAATTTGGTGATAACTCTTCAACTGTCGGGATTGTTCCAAATATCGACGTCGTGGTAACGTCTACTAAATGTCCATTTGTGTACATGTACTGTAGATCGTTACTATGACGCGTTTTTGAATTATATACAGGGTGATTCACAAGTCGTGACCAAAAATGGAACATCATACACATGACCGCATTTTAAGGGGGGTCTTCTAAGTAACATTTTTGCCTTTCAAGTTGAAGTTTGAAAATAAAAACAATTTTTTTTAATATCTTCAAAACCGTCAACTGGAATGAACTAAAATTTGGTATGAGGATTTACTTAAGTATTGTCCACATTCAATACTCTTTACTTAAAATTAACATAATAGAAGAGATACAGGGGATTAGTGGCATTATTTTTCCAGTACGTAACAAGCTAGTGTTACCATTCGTAGCCTACCGTACTCCATCAGTGTACTACTACTGACAACACATAATATATGATTTCTTGAAGAAGCTAAAACTGGTTGTTCATCATAAATAATCGACGCCATCTTCACGTCCAGCAAGTGAGGTACCACTGTCGTCATCGATATGTGACATTACTATGTCATTTTCACGTTACTTTTGCGTCATTCAACTGCTTGTCAGTTCATGACCAGCTTGTAACGTCATTTTCATGTGCTTGTGCTACCTAGTTAATAAGCGTGAACGCTTTGCAACTTTCCTCTAGCCTCATTTTCGGAGCTAAGATGCCCAAGCAAAAACCGCTTCTATTATTGTTCGATAGCCAACACTTTTGATATTTCTTACAGGCTGCAGAGGAAGCACCAGGTGACAAGCTTTCGGAGGAGGACAAGAAACTTGTACAAGATAAATGTTCTGACGCACTTAGTTGGCTGGACAAGAACCAACTTGCCGAAAAGGATGAGTTTGAACACAAGCTTAAAGAACTGCAGCAGGATATTCAACCGGTCATGATGAAGCTTCATCAAGGAAGTGGACAGCAAGGCAACAAGGGACCAACAGTCGAAGAAGTAGATTAAATAGTAACTTGCTGAAGAATATAAGTTGTTTTGTAATTTATATGTAAACCAAAACGATATGTGGACGTGCTATTAATAAAGGCTTTTTTCCTCACTTAAGGTTTTTAATAATAACGTACATGCACCATTAAGTCACTTCAGTATGTGTAATGTAAATGAATACTGTTTGGCTGCGATTTGCTATGAACCATAATTACGTAGTAGGTAGTCAGGATGATAATTTGACATTTATTGGCATCTCGCATTATTAGATGTACCCCAACATTGGGCTTCAATCTGGAGGTAATTTTGATTAATTCAATCTTTCATGTTCCTCTGACCGCCAAATAAGACCACATATCTTTGAATTGACGTTTACAGACACGACGTTTTTACTACCACTTTGGCTTTTTCCAAGTACAATGACAATTCTAATGACAATATATTTTATTTGTCTGTCTCCTCACAGTTCGTTTGTTGTTCTCCTTTTTCACGTTCATATACAGGTATAGTGTGTATTACTACAACAGGCTAAACGGTCCTATATGTTGAGATTGGACAAAGCCATCATTGCAATTCTAAGATGGCCCCGTGCGAAAACATCAAGGACCGGCTGAGGTACCCATTCCAAAACCAATTAATAAAACTGTATACCTAACACAACATCGAAACATGCAAATTATTGGAGATAAACCAATATTTTTCAATGCGAGCAATATATAGAATTTTGATTTTGTATCGTGATCAAGACGTTTTCAACTCATTTTACAAACACTTCAAAATATCTAGTTACCTGGTGCCAAACTTTTTTCTCAATCGCTCCAAAATATCCCCTTCAGTTGTCAAAGTTACACGATGAAATATACAGTTTGCAATGACATTATTATTCATCTAAGTGTTTTTTTTTTGTATTCATCATTTACCTAGGGAGAGAAATGGTAATTCTCAATAAGACATTGCGGTCAATAATGGCGATTTGTTGGATAAGTAGCGAAAAACTTCTTACCGCATGCTAGAGCTTATTTTGTCTCAGCTTTGAAGAACAAGTTTTGCCTTTTCTAGTTCATAGAAACAAAAGTTAAATAGAATATGCTTTTCGAAGGCACAACGAAATGAAACCTTCAAAAATATCCCCATGCCACACATACAAAGTCCCTGCAATACCTACTAAGCTGAAGATTTACTTCAATATAAACAGGCCTAAAATACTATTTTCTTCTAAAGCAATAAACCACATACAGTACCGACTATGACATAAGTACCTAACGGACTGGTTCCCAATAATAAAGGGCTTTTAGGGCCATATCCTCATTCATTCCTACAATTTTAGGACTCCTTGATGGAATCCTTGGCGCTCTATTTTGAGGTTATATTTGTTATATTTTCTTTCTGAATTCAAAAAATTCCAGGCTGATTAAACTTGGTTTTTATCTTATCAGCCTAAATTTTCAAGATTCAAGAATGCAACGTTACCTCAGAATAGCAGAATGCTGACTTTGACACTGAACAGCAGAGATCTAGAAATACCCCTCCTTTCTGAAGGAGAGAAGCGACTATTAAAATCAAGGATACCATAAAGGCGCCCTCCCATTGTCGCAATGACTGACAATACGGCCCTTAGTGACCGATAAATCATGCAATTGCTCTGGTTACATCATTTCATTTCTAAAAGCTTAGGATCACTTGAAATGAGATAAAAATGATAACGAAGACTGGCGAAGCAACGAATCGTTACTGAAAAACAGTATATCACTGATGGTGGGAGCGATGAGGATAACAAAGAAGACGGAGTCAAAACAGTCATGGCCATTTCTAGTGCATTTTCTCAAGTATGCATCCAGTTAGGTCCTTGGCAATGTTTCTCTGGAATCAATCATTTTAGACTTGTACGCGATATAATGTTTGAAACAAGTAAATAAATTAACATCTTCAACATATCGAAAACTCCTATAAAAATTATCTTTGAGATTTTTAAGTGGGTAACGTTCAAACCTTCCCTTCCCTGAAGAGTTTTTATTGCTTAGCTCATTTCAAAGCAATTTGTAGGAGCTGAACTTCTGGTGTTCACAAACTACACCACCTATAAGTCGACACTACTCAAGCAGACCGATCAGGTTCATTAGTGAGATGATTTTAATATTTTTAATATTTTCAGTTTTCTTTTTCTTTTAAAGCGCACAAAATCATGATGTTTGAGCTTTTATCAGAAAATTGTCGAAAGTGTCTTTATTTTCCTTGTTCAACCAGATATAAGCATTCAATACAACTCTGATTGTAAGTAGAAACATAATTTTGATTAGGTTCTCCAGTTTTACCATGTCGCACGATCCAGTAAATAAACGTAAATTCTCGACATATTCACAATATATACAGAAAGTGCTTCCTACTGAACATTAGAAAAATTAAACTTAATAGCGAACTTCTCCAACTCCTGACTGAGTTCAGGATCATCCTGGAAGTCTTCCGAACTCGCTAAAATGACAAACTTCTTTTTGGTGTTCCCACCTTTCTGTCCTGATCTTTTTCTCTTCGGGATATTTTTGATCACTCCATAGTTGTTGATACTGAGCAAGGGTTTGCTATTTTGAGGAACGGATATGCTCGAAATGGCTTTCTGGAGTTCACTTGTGTTCCTTTTCGGTTGATTCACGAGTAGAGGTTTTGGCGGCTCAGGAGGCAACTCTTTCATGGTGTGAAGTTGAGGATTCACCATTAGATTTGAAGTTCGGAAGCCAAATCTCCCCAGCACCTGAAATGTTTCTGTAATTCACCACTTCGTGAAACTATTTAGTCGAAAAAATGAAGCTAGTAGTCCAGTTGAATGACAATATCGTGCAATGTTCCAAAATGCTTTTAATATAGGGTGTCCGCAAAGTTGAGGTTTTCCTTTACACGACATGTAGATCTTGAAAACATAAGCAACTTCTCTTAGTACCATATACACCAATGTCTTAAGGGAACCGAGGTAAAGGGCTCTGCAACATCAAAAATATCTGAATACCGTCCTGTAGCCGCGACTCGCGATATCCCCGAGTGGTACTAGGACACTAGCTCAACCCGACGACAGAACTGGGTCGGGGTCAGTGTGTCAGGTCAGTATGCAAGCTTCAACCGACGGTTACGGTCACGCGTGTAGAGGTAAACGAACCCGTATAATCGATTGCGTTTCAAAAAACAACAAGCACTAGAGACGTGGCTAGAGAAGTGCAAGTATCAAAAACTAAAGTGTGGCAAACGCTGCGTGAAGAGGGGCTGTATCCGTTTCACGTCCAACGTGTACAAGCCCTTCAACCTGACGATTTTCCAGCAAGAGTGCGGTTTTGTGAGTGGTTGTTGCATCAACATGACCTTAATCCGGACTTTTTGAAGTGCATATTGGTGACAGACGAATCTACGTTCACGCGTAATGGGGTGAATAACTTTCGCAACACTCATGTTTGGTCAGTGGAAAATCCGCACGCTGTCCGTCGGGCACATTTTCAACAAACATTTTCGGTGAATGTTTGGGCTGGCATGGTGAACGGTATGCTCATTGGACCATTTATTCTCCCAAATCGATTGGACGGGATGCAATACCTAGACTTTTTACGCAACATTTTGCCTTCCTTATTAGAAGATGTGCCATTAAGTGTAAGACAATCAATGTGGTTTCTGCACGATGGTCATATTTGTTACCTCTGTTCGTGGTCTGCACCACCGCCGGCGTCTGCTCGGTAGCGCAACAGCTGATTTTATTTTCTGTTGGAGCGGTATGATTTCGGGCAGAGAGGTACTTAGCCCTTCTCGTCAACTGGAGAGTGAGTACTTTTTCCTTTATTTTTTTCTACTTGGTCGCCCTCGTTTCACTACACATTACTTTTGTTATTTCAAGGGTACTTGTTTCTGAAAACTTTGCGGACACCCTGTATATGTAGGGCACAGAGAAAAAAAGACGAATGTCACAAAAAGTGAGTTTCGAGAAAACTGAAGTTAAAAGTTTGACGACTCCTAGACACGTTGTACAGGGTGGGTCATAGATCTGATGGAGTACCGTAGATTCCTTATTATAAGAAATTGGAAAAAAATTAAATTATAAATAAACAAATATTTTTTGATAAACAGGGTAGCCCAAAAGTGAAAGCAGACCAAACATTTTTTAATGGAAAATCCTTTTAATTTTTATATTTTCTGAATTTAAACATTTTCTATGTACGAGTATTAGCGTCCATGCCTGAATTCAACTTTTTTGAGATAGAGACTTAGGAATGAGTCTTTCGTCATATGCGACACCCTGGAAAATCTAAGGGTTCATTAACCATCAAAATGCCTATCTTAGGTTTTATGATCTGTTCTAATATGAGAACTTCTTTAACAGAAAATTTATTCAACAGGGCCTAAAACATCAGAAAAAGGTGATTTTTTAAACTCAATAACTCAAACAGAATTATTACTAAATATTTTTTTAATTGGGACAGGAAAAAACAATGAACCAAAAAAGCTTTATTCAAAAGAATATAAAATTAATGGTAACTGCTTAAAAAACGTTTATTTCTTTCATCGCAGATTGGCAAAATTGTTGTAGTAGTTACTAGTTTCGATGACGATCAGTGGACGTTCATCTTTTTTCCCTGCACGGCAAGCTTTCAATTGGATATAACTACGGACTGTCGTTGTTTTTGCGTGTTTCCGGTACCGCATGGGACTCTACTGTGTTAAGACATGTTGCCGGTTCTAACTACAAAACACCAAATTTGTGACATTCATATTTTTTCCCCTGCACACTTCATATTCAAACCAAACAATTCTTGGAATGTTTTGAGCCGATTTTTCCTCAAATACTTCGTAACATATTCATCTTGGCATAATATTGGTCAAAATCCAAAATCCTAATCCTGACTGTTTAAAAAATAACCAAATTAGAACGGTGCTAGAACAAAACCCAGTAAACTTATAAGACAAGAAAATTCGAGAAGATGCTTCCCAAAATTGAAGGTTGTTTCCTAACCGTAAAGTCTCATATAATTCATGAAAAAGCTCGGTCAGCATCATCAGGATCCACCCCATTTGGACGAAAATTTATAGTTGCAATTTTTTTAATAATCCTAGGCATTCTATGTATCTTCTGATTTTAATTATATTGTAAACAAGTACTAGTAAAAGAATTTTGACAAGGATCTATGTTGCTTGTTATCTTATAAGAATGCTCAAATATAGACAAAAACCTAAGAATGTGAGATATTGTAGATGGAGGGATACTGTACTTAGACCTGGGGCAGATAATACTCTGGCGCTTCAGCTAATGTTGCTTAGCTTTTTGGGGAATCTACAACTTTTCAGATCTCTTTTCAACTGTTCTCTCTGCAACATTTATTTTTCACTTCTATCAGAACTCACCATTTATGCGCATGGATATACTCTAATGATTTTGGACTTTTGAACTTACCTGCGAAACGTAAAAATCCTTCTCAGATTGTCCTAAAGACTGCCAGTAGTTAGCGACGGCTATTTTGACTTGTTGTTTAGTCACGTTGGGATACATCCACTGATAGAGCGTTCTAGTACGTTTTGAGAACAGAGAACATGCTGCTTTCATGATTTCAGCTTGCTTTTCAGGCGAAAATGAGGCAGGGTATGCGATATTGTCTCCATCAAGCTGTAAAAGGAGGTGGGCTGATAAGAGCCATTTTTCGCCCGACAGCGAATAGATATAATAATAATAATAATAATAATAATATTTATTTACTCTAAAATACAGGGAACATGAAACGAGTAAATAAATATAATATATCCATAGGAGGACAACGCCTGTGCATGGATCATATGTATGTTGAATTGCAAAATATAATGAAATAGAGAGAAAAAAGAAATTATTGGTAAGAATGGTAGAGCATTTATTGTGTAATATTTGAGATTATTTTATTAATTTGATTTCTCCCAATCGTGTTAATAAATTTTTTTAATTTTTTTTTTTGATGCCCAATGTATTGCGTAATTGTTTTAAATTATTTGGTAAATTTTCGTACAATTTTGGAGCTATATACAGGTGACATCGTTTCATTAGGGATTTGTTTGGTTTAGGAACATTTTTTGCGCGTAATTTATATCTGGTTTTATGATTATGTTTAATTATGTCGTATTCACTAATAGTTTTGTGATAATGAGTGATGGTATGTAAGAAGTAAAGTTGTTTAGTATCATATACTTGTGCATCATTATATAAGTCATTAGTTGGGTATAATTTTGATTTGCCTAACATTGATTTTAAAATTCTTCTTTGAAGTACATCTAAATCGTTAAAGTATGTCGTGCATGCAGCACCCCACACTACTATACCATATGTTATGTGTGGCTCGACTAAAACTTGATATATTATTCGTAGATAATATTCAGTTAATATACCGGTTAGAAATTTTATTTTATATGCTATGAATCTAATTTTCTTTAGTATGTGAGAAATATGTACATCCCATCTCAATATGACATATATATTTAAGAAGAGTATACTCCATAACAAAGAAGAAAACATTCCTATTTCAAATGAAAACTGATATTTTTAAGAGGTTGAATTTTCAAGATTTGCTATTCATTGTACTATATCTACGTATCTTATCTATATAGGCTTGCATACTCACATGTGAGACGTTGTCTATGTCCTCAAGTTCAAAAATGCTGATAACATAACCCATCACTCGTAAGTTCACGGAGTGGTATTTTTTTGGCAGTATGTTCATTAAAAAATCAAAGACTAATTCTTTAGTCTATTCGCATTTTACTTTGTCCTTAAACCGTTTTCGAAAATCGCCTTCGTTTCGAAGGTACAGGGCGAATAGAAAATTTGAAAACATACGTGCAGCCCGATAAATACTTTAAAATCTTATTATATTTGTGTTCGTATCACACGATTGTAACGATTATATCACGGAAGATCTACTTTAGTAGACTTCATTCGATATTAGGATAATTAATAAACAGGGTGGTAAAAAAGAGGATACAGGGTGATTCACAAGTCATGACCAAAATCACACACATGTCGGCATTTTAAGGGGGGTCTTCTTTGTAAGATTTTTTCTTCGTAGGCTTCATTAAAAAGATACGGGGTGTTGAGAAGTTTAAAAGTAAAAACTTTTTTTTTAATATCCTCAAAACTGTCAACTGGAATGAACTATAATTTGGTATGTGGACCTACCTAAGTATTGTCCACATTTAAAAGTCTTTATTTATAATTAACATGCGAAAACGGTCAATATAATTGTTCTATCTACCTTTCCTGCCCTAAGTGTGAGAGTGAGAATTTGAATAACGTAGTACTTGTATACTCATGTTGTCTCTACTTGTTCCAGGGACTGGAGCAGTTTGCTGAAAAGTAAGTGCATTTAGGGTTTTCTTATTGGTGTAGGGTTCACAGCTATGAACGAGAGCTGCGAGACTGATAAACCTGCCCTCGCCCAGACAGGGTGCCCTATTTAGATAATTAGGAATAACTAGGAAAAAGCGTCGTTTCAACAGAAAATTAAAAATAATCAAAATAAAAAATAATAACAAAATGCTATCATTTGCATCAGGTAACTAAAAATAAGTGGTCGGGAGTAGCGAGTAGCTAGGGAAATATTAGGGAATTTGTTTTTGGCACTCTGCGATGTGGGGGCACGTCGAGGGATACGAACAACTCTTTATGATGTCCTTGCAAATTGGATATTTCAGGAATGGTGATGAACTATGATATCGATTATAATAATATACGTATTATAACTTTAATTTTAAATTATATATGGAATTTACTATTTCGATTGAGTGCAAATTTTTCGATTTTTCGAACATATCTATTTTCAGCTAAGATGTGATTACACATGTGATTACACATTTCTTATTTTTTCGTACTTTACAGAACTGCTATCCTAAAACTTTCAGTTTTTTTTTCAAAGTCACACCCCAAATATTTTTATCAATCTTTGAAGGAAGGACACTCCCAATTTCAGGAATGGCACAAGTTATAGACACTCCCGAGCATGACGACAAAAGATGATAATGATCTGAATAGACAGCCGTTTCAAAAAATGTTCTGCCTGGATTTCTGGATGAATGTTTAACTGGACCAGTTGGGTAAAGAAAGAGGTTGAATAGGAACGATAGAAACGCCATGAATTATTAGCAGATACATACCAATACATGAAATCAGCAATCAAACAAGCATCAAAATTTTTACAGAGTAAGTATTGGTATAGCATATGGCATCAAGAAAGTTGGTTTGAACTTCGCGAACCATTCAAGTATAGATAGAACTGTTGAGGATCTTGGAAACGTTCTCAACAGATATATCTTCAAAACTTACCTTCAGAAGGCCAACAGGTTTCCACCTAAACGTATGCTATTATCCATGAAATTTAGAGTCAACCTTCTTGATGTTTCAAAATAAACAGGGGTATTATTTAAATATAATATATCTCTTATGTGAATTCTCTTTGTAGATAAATCTGTGAATAATAGTAGTGTGGTCTACTGTCAATCATATATTGATGAAGCTTTACGAAATATTTACAGCCAGGTTCGAAGCAAAAGCTACTAAAAATGTTTTTCATAAGACTTTTGAAGAAATTCAGAGACATATTTGGGAAACTAACATTTCGAGGCCAAAAGTTATACATTTCACGCTCTTGGAGACGATTACAGGCTGATATATGCAGAATTAACATCAGATGAATTGATAATTGAAATAATGAAGGTACGTTTTACATAATCTTGAACTTATTTATTCTTCATGTTTCACTGACGTATTACGCTATAAGTCAAGCTTATAAGGAAATATAGCTTCTGAAATTTATTGCAAAAGGCAGCGACGCCATAGAATAAAGTTTTTACCAAATTCTATTTTTCTAATATCAGAAATATGCCAGTGAACTACGAGGAATTTTTTTAAATCAGTACTGATTAAACAAAAAACAATTTTTGTAATGTTTTTTCTGTTGTCTATTTTACTTTGATTTTATCTGTTTTTCTTATCATTTATCCTACACTTTTTCCTCCTCATCTTCCTTATTCCTTTCCTGGCAAGAGCTTACCTCAGACCTCCTCGTTGGTTCTTGCTGGACACGACTGTTCAACAACCACTACATTTTTTATGTAATTTTCAAGTACCAGTATATTATGCCTATAATAATAGTAAACTGTCTGCATATTCTTGTGAAATTTTGTTGAAGGGTTGTGACTGACATGGGGTTATGTATGTCATTGAAGAATTTATCATTTTTAGCAAGCTTTTATAACATCAACTTATTACTCTAATGTGCATGTAATGTTGGATGAAGTATCAGTGAACATCAGGGTGAAAATAGTTAATAACTACTTTAATATTTTCCAGAAAGTTGCCTTTATATACCGAAAACACTTTTCTGAATTATCCGTCATTGACATCAGGTAGAGTATAATAAATATGCTGCAATAATAATATATTATTCACTAGGTAAGGCACGTCGTGTTGTCGGCCGGCCGGCCGGCCTACTCGTCACGCGTCTGTTGTCAAGTCTTGTACTAAAGCAGGTAACGGTTCTTGTCGTATTGTCTTCCACACTTCACCATGAGAAGCTTCAGCTGCTATGGCTCTAGTACTCATTGTTTGGTCGACTTCGACCATTTCTGAACTGTCTTCCTCAATTTGTACCATTTCAGGTTGAGCAGGTCTTCCAGCGTGACCTTTTAAATATTCTGTGTCACGAAGTTTAATAACTAAATTCACAAACATCCGTGAGGCCGTATGATTTCTTGAAGGAAAACAACCTGCATGCTGCGGCGGCATTTTGTTGGCACTCTCCGTATGTTATTATTAACTCCACTAGTTGATTGTTTTCGTAAACATGGGCCTTTTTTCACACAAAATAATCAGACGAAAGTATGCGCACTATTAAAAGAGTGATACAACTGATCGAACCAAAGACTCGTACTAAAAAACGTACAACAAAAAGTTTGCCAAATTTAGATAAACGATAAGAGTAGTATACAAAAAACGGTAAGATTTTATGGTCGACAATATCAAAAATCTGTGTAATAGCTTTATTATTGTTTTAAATTTTTAATCTTACATTATGCAACTTTTATATTGGTGATTTTTTTGTTATATCAACTCCTTTTGACGATTCCCACAAGCAGTTAAAATAAACGACCCAACCTTGGAAACTGTTGAAACAGTTCCAAATATCGCGAGGAATTAAAGTTACCATTAATGAAGATAGGTCCGACAAAGTGGTCCCCTAAGATACCCCACAAACATTAACTTACTGCGACATTATAGTCTAACCATATTAGACGATAGCTTGTCACTTTGAAGGACTGTAAGTCTTTTTGGAACGGAAATGCCTACCGCAACATGTAACAGGACGTTTCAGACTATTGTAGTAACAAGGTGTATAGGAATATGAAAATGAAAAGGTAAATACAAACGGACTGTCACCTGGAAGGCAGATAAATTGTCTAAAATGTGTAAATTGTACTTGATGAAGGTCACTGTTGAGACCGAAAGGTCGTTCAAGAAAGAGGAATTTTAAAACAGATGGTTTGACTGGACCAAAGTAACACCACAGGTTAAGTTTCAGATGTTACATTTTTCAGAGCTTGTTTCACTGTGTACCAATAATAAAATATTTTTATTCTGCTGATTAGCTTAAAAAATTACTGTGATAAAACATGAAAATATTGATTGGAATACTTACCACTATAGGATTTATTTTACTCATTCCCCTTCGCTTTTTCTTATAATCCAAACAGATTTGTGAAGCCTGTTGCTGATAAGTATTCACTGAGCTGCTTTCTTTTGGATGTCCCTTGAAAGAAAATAGACCTTGTGATAACGAAAGTTACCTTTTCTCTTTACAAAGATTGCATACTCCCAAGTTGGCATACATTCCTTTTTCCTTAGGGATCTCTCAGTTGCTTTTCAAACCGGTCAAGTTAGCAAGTTGTATACAGAAATGCATGAGCACTCTATATTATCGCAAAGTGACACCGTCCAACGAATTCAGACTTGGTAGAAGGAACAAGTCTATGATTTATTAGTCTCCAAAATCTCGTAGTGTATCATCATGAAAGATCATATTACAAGTCAATCAGACTTAAGCCATGACCTTGAAAGTTGTTGAAATTTCTCATGAAACGGGTGGATAATATAATTATATCTTAAAAATTCGATTGAAGTCTGACATTATTTTGTAGGTACTCTTACCTCGGCTTTGGTGCAGGACCTTGAATAGTAAGCATCGATGAAGTCCTCTTTGCGTTGTTGGTCATTGTGAGAAATACGCAGATCTATTGGCTGTTCATACAGGTATGTAGATTGCCCACCTTGGTTGGTCGAATTTCCACTGGTCACATTTCGATTCACATTCCAAAATGTATTATCAGGGAATGATGCCATGAAATGACTCATTGTCTCATTGCTCTGCAAAAATGTCGAGTCAAAATAAAACGCATCTGTCATTTAGTGAAGATGCAGGTTGTTTGAGGCCTTATAAGTAAGTACGTGGAAACCCATTTTGGGAAAACGTCCACTAAAAAATGTAGAAGATATTGGTTTCTACTATTTATTATTTCTATCACATTTATATCAAGATTAACTTGCTTCATTGGTCCTCAGAACAGCTTTTTTTCTTACTTGCGACATTAAAAGACGATAAAAACACTGTAATGTCGAAAAAAGGTTTAGTTCGGGATATTACGTAAAGTTGCAATTATTCTTACTATATTGGTACATTATGACATCTGTAGATCAATCGAATTGAGCGATTAGAACGACTTATAAAAAGTGGTGTGAACCTACTACTTTTCGAGGAACCATCTTCTTTGTGGGTGATATAATAGTTGCCCCCCTGTCATCCACTTGTTGAATAGGAAAAAATGAGTGACGTAAACTAGATTGATTCTGTACATCCCATGCCATTCTGGACAAATGGACTTTGAATGCGCATCATGTGTAGGAAGCCAGCTATGGAAACCCTTACAGCTGACGATCTAATAGGATGAGTATAAGTGAAAAAAAATATAGTGAATGAAAAATTCTCTTGAAATAGTCGACTGGATTAATGGTATACAGTTCTTTTCAGAAAGGCCATTCTACTTACACCGGCCAAGTTAGCAACATGAAATTCGGGGTGATGAAGTTGGCAAGTGAACGCTACATAATTTATTATAGCTGTAGTCACCGTTCTTGGCGGTTACGTCATCAACGTCGTATGAAATAAGTAAACAGATCGAGTCTCCGTACCATGTACTAATCTCCAGCGCATCTGCTACTCTCTCCGGTACGCATGGAGTTGGTAATAGGAGACCCCTGTTTTCATTCTCTTCCTGTAAATACTAAAATAAACATAGCACGAGCTGTCGGCCTTCTCCATTGATCGTATTTCCGGGCATTGTACAATTTTATATTGAAGATTGATAACAGGACGACCCAAATTGCACGCCGATGCTAAGTAAGTTGCCACTCTGACAAATATGACTTAAGGGCACTCCTACGTAACGACAAAGTTTTCGAGACGGAGACTACTAAAGAGACAACTAAAAGCGTATGTATTTGAGCTTGCCGAACAAACGTTCACACACAGGCGTAGGTAGCACGTGTATGTATGAGGGAGATGTAAATATGCATGGTATTAATAAAGTATGTATATAAACTTTAACAATCAAATCATTGGTCAATTTGAAGACGAAATTTCCATATGAACATGGATCAGTAACGGTTTTGTTTTCAAGCTAGAGCATATTAGCCCTAAAAGAAATGATATTGTTCTAAAATACTATAAAAGAATGGAACGTATTTATTTTAATTAAGTATGCCCTGTGGTGAATATCACATGATTTACAGTTGTTTTCAGACCTATCATGTACGCAGATACGGATAATGTTATCCAGTATTTTTTGAAAAAACAGCATGACATTGATTGGTTTTGATCGCAATACTTTTAATATTTAAGGATTTTGCTTATCTAGACACATATGACGTACCCGAAAACAATTGAATTAATTTATTTTCTCAAATAATTCGTCAGCAAATATTTATTTTCTTGTCTGGTCATTCTAAGACTCTAAATATTTCTAAGTTTTGGTGATTACTAATTGTCATAATGGTCCAGTTCAGTACTCAAGAAATGACAGATATGCATTTCGTTGACGGAATGGCTCTGGGTAACGTTCGACGAGCACGACGTTTGTATAGTGATCGATTTCCACAACGCCCGCTGTTTAATGTACAAACTTTCATCAACATTCACGCTCGACTATGTGAAACAGGCAATTTCAAGGGATCCGCACCTGTTGCAGGAAGACCCGCAAGTGTAAGAACCAGCCAAATCAAAGAAGTTGTGCTTAATAAAATTGAAAAGAACTCTACAACAAGTATATATATATATCATATACAACGTGTACAAGCGCTTTTGCCTCGAGAATTGCCTATAAGAGTTGATTTTTGCAACTGGTTACGTAAAAAAGTAACATGAATCAAAATTTTTTAAATCGAATACTATTCTCCTGCATTTTTGTCGTTTTTCGGCCATAACAGTTTTGCGATTAGTCAGACCTTTTTACGTGTGATCTTATTTTGTAGCTCTCACTTTGGATTGAATTCCAAAAAACACGTTTTCTCAAATAAACAGTTTTCCCACAAAAATTGGTGTACCCATTTTATGCGTTCATGTTTTAAATACCCCTTGAACAACTTGCACCAATTAAACCGGACTTTACAATTATTTCGGGAAAAATTGCTAATATGATTAGACTATTAATAGTTACCTGGAACTCAATTAAGTTCCCACATTTGCCTGGATCCGAAAAAATATTCCTTGTTTCCATGATTCTGAATTTCTGTAATGGGAGTCTCGGTAACGGCAGTTGTCGATATTCACAGTGAAATGTCAAACGCTTGTTTGAACATTTGATGTATTTCACTGCATAGTTGATTTATTTGACAGTATTTGGCACAGTATGATGTCACTTACAGGGTGTAACACAAGGTGGGAAAAATCTGTTGGTGCAAATCCAAAAAGAATTTCTTTCCTGCGTTATACAATTATCTGTTCAAAAACTAAGACTCGGTTTTTTGATTGTAGGTTAACTGTGACTCCGGAAGCTAACGCTCAAAACGCGTTTTTCAATGGTGTAGTTAACTTCAAATAGAAGACAATCTACGGGATAACTAGAAAGTTGTAGTTAAGCCGCAATGATTAATCTCTTTTGCTTGTCAATGACATGAGTTGCCACTGATGATAGGGGATCTGTGCGCAGCCGAAATAAATAGAAAGCAATGAAGATAGGCCCGATCAAGAACCAAGAGAAATTGGCAATAAGAAAGATAATGAAATGAACGCACAAGAAAAAATGTCAGCTATTTGTGCGACGAATCGAAACGAGTAGAAAGTAGAAAAGGTAATGAAGTAGATGAGCAAGATGAAACTAACAGCAAAGTTTATGAAAACTTGGGAAAAATAGAAGGTGAAGAAGATCTTGAAGGCTATGATGATATGGACGTCGAAGAACTATTTAATATGTACCAAAATCTAAAGAAAAAATACAAGTATAGTTTATGGTTGAGGTTTTATAAAAGTTGGTGAACAGTGATCTTATCTTTTTATCTGGTTTGCCAGTGTCCAATAACTGAAAATTTTGTGAATTTTTTGTCCATTTTCACTAACTTTTTGGAACCTTTTCAGGTCTTTTAAGATTTTATAAAAGAGCTGTAATATTAAGAATATGTAAAACCCATAGACTTCAAATAGGATACATGTACTAAGATCTGGCATAGGTAGAATAATATCCGTTGAAAAATACTCCAGTGGCACCGAATTGAAGTTGAGAAAAACGTTAACTGTCCAATAACTGGTACGTTTAGGTTATGTTAGGTTTCTTGTGCGTGCATCAATAATAATCCTCCACTGCGACTCTGTGGTCTATTGTGGCTCACACCTATTTATTTTGCCCTCCGTAGCTCCGACCTCCGGAAGAAGTCGATCAACTTGTTTGGAGAAATATCCTTCAGGTCTTCTGCTTGGAGCACTACGTCTCCAAGGATGTTGTACCTGATTCTGGCAATTGTAGGATATCTGCATAATACATGCCTGACCGTTTCATCTCCCTCCATGCACAATCTGTACTCAGCGTCTTCCGCTATGCACAGCCTGCTCATGTGGGTGACCCAATTTGTAATGACCAGTGTACAATCCTACTAGAGGTTTGAGGCTATTCCTGTTCAGCCATAGTAAAGTGCCTGTTACCTTCTTTGTCAAGATTGGCATAGTTGTCTTAGCATGGGTTAACCCTGCTAATTCCTCCCAGTATTGATGGATCTTTCTGTCCATATCTGCGGAGATTATTTGTTTAGCCGTATTGTATGCGATCCCAATCGCTGGCTCAGGTCCAATGAAGGGTGTGCTAGGCCCACTATTTGCTAGTTGACTTCTAGACCTGTGTGTCCTGGTATCCATATGAGACGGACTTTATTTTCTCCCCTATGCCACCGAGAGCTACTTTACAATTCCGCACTAATTTCGATGTCGAGTAGGTGGAATCAAGTGCTTTAAGTGCGGCTTGACTATCTGAAAGAATAAATATAGTTCTGTGCCATCATTCAGGTACCCAGTTCTATAGTATATAGCTCTGCCTGGAAGATAGATGCCTAGGTAGCTAGGCTAAAAGATTTTTTAACCTTTAGCTTCGGCATGAAGATACCAGCTCCAACACCTACCTCGGTCTTGGAGCCATCTGTGTATGCACAGATATCTTTCCTTATCAGGTTAACTTGCTGTTCCTACTCCTGTGTGGAATTGTCACCGAAGAGGGCTTAGCATATCTTGTTATCTTTGGCATTATATCAGAAGGCATTCCCAGACTGTGGTGGTTTTGTACGTACACCAGCATGTCGCCTCCTATATAGTGATATTGTCCATTATACAATTTGCCACATGATGTAGTCTATAAGATGTCCTTCTTCACTAGCCTTCCATGTATTTTTTCCATTGGGTAAATTAAGAACGACCTCCATAGATGCAGTTGGTGTGTTGCGAAAGGAACCAGTGATCAACATACAAGCTTATGTCTGAATTGCGCTCAGTTTGGCTTGGACAGTTCTTTGTGCTGCCTTGCCCCACCAAGCTGCATATCTATAGGTTATCATAGGTCTAATAATCATGGTACTGGCATGTTTACCCTACCTAATGCTAAAACGTGATTCAATTCAAAATACTTTTACCTAAACGTCGCTAGAACCAGTGCGTTGCTTTCCTCTCCGATATAATGGTAGTATGAGCATGTAACAACTGTGAACGTGCAAGAAACGCTGTAGATTTGTTCTTTTGTAATTTGTGCAGCTTAAAAAGATTTTACACAACAGTAGGTTAAGTTATTTGATAATTTTCAGTTATTTTAGAACACTTTTATGTCTTAAAATTGATTCCTGTGTCTCTATCCGTTAAATGGTGTAATAAACCGTTCGGATAGTGAATATACTAGTAATAAACGAATAATCTCAGGAATTTCCATATTATGCTCAAGTATTTGCAATTTCGAATATCCGATGTTCCGCCATTGATGTTGTTTGATAGTTTGATAGAGAGAATGTTTCGTATTGTTCACCCTCCCAAATCAAGAATCAAGCAGAATTGTTCATATAATAATGAATATTTACTTCCTTTTCTTTGCCTTATTTGATTTATCCTTGTTTATTAACAACAATTGAGTCATTCACATCCCAACACAAATAGTATTTGTGCCTTGCTCTACGTGAGTACACCCAGCAGGAATAACTACTTGAATATACTTTCCAAAGAAAATAATGCTCGTCGATGTATTGGTTTGTCACTTTAGTAGACAATCAAATCCAAGCGAATAACCAAAAATTCCGTATTATGTACCGCGGCTATAATATGGTTCAAGACGACACACGGGATGATGACGTCAGTTACTCGAATCGCTTGAACGCGTTGGTTTTAACCGCGGTTTGTTTCAAGTTGTTTATTTTAGAAAAGCGCGTATATAATTTCTGATTATTTTTATTATCGCCTAATAATCGGTGCTTTTTCGTCTATAATGGGGTATGGATAGCTGAAAAAAAGAAATCTTTCATAATATTAATGGGAGGAATATTTTTTTTACAGAAACAAATTTTTACTGATGGAACCATGGCTTTGTAGCTATGATAACTTTCAATTCTCTAAACTTTTCTGCATGTCAAAGAAAATCTTTATTGATTTAGCAGAAATGATGAAAAAGCAATGAAAAAAGATATTAACAAAACCGTATACAGGTGGACATCATCCTGTGAATTTATATATATTCAATATTCTTGTGGTATATGGCTATACAGGATACTTTGTTAAGCGTAGGAACTAGATTTAAAGTGTCCCCAACAACAGTAATGATTATAACTAATAAGGTGCTCTCTTATGCTAAATCTGAAGTCAGCCTGTATCAAGTTTCCCAAAAATGAAGCTAGTACAATAAAAATATCCAATACCCGGCAAAATTCTAACTTGCCACATGTCAAATAATAACCAGAAATATAAAACTACTCCTGAGTTGGGTAAATACCACAATTTTGCGGTGATAACTATGACATATACCTAACAGCTGTTTCATGACGTCACGGATCTTATAACCAAACTGATAACCACACTCGCTTGAACGGATCGGTAAATACCAATGCAAAATGGTAAATACCATTTTCATTTGGTTATCCGCTTGAGTTTGATTAATGTTAGGGAAATTAGCTAAACTAATGCATTAAAACTACACAATTTTGGCGACAAACAATGCAATATAAACATATAGGCTTGACTCCTTCTTATCTATTCGAATTCACTCTAGCGTTTCTAGTTTAACATATTTCTCCGTTTACGAACTTTGACCTATATGAAAGCTGCATTAGAATTTAGGGTTCATTTTATTAGAGTTATGAGATTTGGTGTGTCATCGACATATTTTTCTTACAAGTGCAATGATTGGGACGAACGAAATTTGAGACGCAGAGCAGCGCAGGTAATGTACAGTAGATGTAATCTGGAAGAGCCTAAGGATGAATTCACCCATAAGTCTACTTGACTATTCGACGTAACCGTGACCATTACATAGGAATGCGCGTTCGAATATGCAAAATCCTAGCATTTCTGAAAACATATTATGAATCTGTATTACAGGTCAGCACAAAATCATATTTAATGACGTAACAACCACGAGATTGTCGAAGACCTATACTACTACATTTTATGTCATCTGCATCGTCCTGTGGACCAACTCTCGCTCAGCCTTGTTATAATGCTACTGGAATCTTTCTGAAAATAAACTCATCGTACAGTGGAATACACTTTATTTACTCGATTCTAGTCGCCGTGAGCATTTTTGATACAATATAATATATATTACAGTTTGCGACCATTTTTAATTTAATCTTAACAGTACTTAACAGCTTTAGGTTAACAAATAACATACCAATGATGATGAGATGTCGAAATACAATCAAATGTATTTTGGTTTTTATGAGAACTGGTTTCGGTTCTATCAAAGTTTTGCAAAAATCTATACAAACAATAAATGCTATTCATTTACCGCAACCAGTTCCCGTAATAAATACAGGGTAATCTCGAATGAAGTAACCCCAATTAATATTCGGTATTCCTCTTAAGAGTAAGAGCCGCCTAGTACATTGATTAAATATGTAATGAGTGACTTTTAAAAATGAAATAAAAGTATTGAGCACACGGAATTCATTCCATGGATTTTCAACCAAGTTCTTTATATTAATTAGGGTTGCTTTATTCTAGATCACACTGTTTCGATGTATTCAACTAATGAATTTTCCTTCAAAGCCCTAGCGTTAATTATTGGGACGATCAGGTTTCTAAAAAATGTGTAGATCTATGGAGCATGTTCTCAAAAATAATTGAAACTACCTTTAAAATCTTCCAGTCATAATCCAAAGGCTAGTGCTAGCTAGCGATAGTGGTTAATACACCATATGGAGGCTTGCGAGAGATTTGAGTGAACAAATGAAACGCAAAAAATATTCTTGAAAAACATGCTCAGCCTTCATAGTTTTCGGTTACACAAATTATGTAAATATAAAAATTATGAAAAACTTATCAAAACTACCTAATTTGTTATTTATTAATGAAAAGGTTCTTATTTCGGATGCGATTCTTGAAATCACGAATTTACCACTTTTAAGGAAAACAGCTAGCTGAACTCATCGGTCAAGGAGCGGATCGAAAATTTATGTTGAAATAAACTGAGTCTTCCAGAAAATCGGTGTTCTCCATAAATATATGTATTTTATACGTCAAATCTTTATTTCGATTGTTATATCAATTTTAACCTATCTACCATCAATTTAATAATTACCTTTTTAGCTGAGAACACGGAATTTCCGATTAGCAACAGAAAGCTTGAAGTCGTATTGAAAATTCAGCTAAAAGAATGTCAATACTTTCCGTAAAATTGAACATTCCGAATGACGACACTAAAACTGCAAAGAGAATACTCACAAGGTAATGTTCAACAGAACCGTAATATTGGTAAATGATAGTCAAGTACCTAATACAGTTTTGGTGACGTATTGCTAATGTTGAGGATCGCAAAGTCAGAGATTAGCTCTCAATATGTTACAAGGAATTCTGCGCATAATTCGATGTACCGTTTTTCTGAGAAGCAATCTATGAGTGCCAGAAAGACTAATTTCTTGTCTATTATCATTCGCCACAACTTTACTGATCTACAGAGTTTCAGATTATGTGAGCAATCTCTGGTTCCACGTAGACAAAAGGCCACAAATTTTTATTATAAAATTCGTACATGGCTCCACTACGGAAACAGAATGCCGGTAGAAAATATATTTGTATAGATCCTGAACGAGACTATATGATTGGACGAAATTTTGAGGGCGTGGTCACCACCAAGATGGTATTACTATAGAACAATCAGCCCTATCGGATGTTCAATGACGGATTGGACCTCACGCATATTTTCGCACATAGTTGCTCAAATATGATATATTAGGAGATCCAGAAAGCTGTTACCTCAAAAATGTTTGATGAAGTACCAAGTAAAATTTTGAAGTTTGCTAATTAATATTAGTGCAGGATCCAGAATATTGCCTCCGCCATTTCTAAAGTAAGAACAATAAATTATCCTGATAATAATATATCTACAATCATTGACGCAAGGAGCCCTGGGATATAATATAATTCTGGAGATTGGCTGCAGCCTAAATCGACAGGGCCAGTATCGAAGCATAATATTTTCTCAACGGGCTCGATATACCTAAATCAAATAGGAATATTCTTTTTCATCTAAATGATTAGGCGCTGAAAAAATGTTATATGTGGGACATTATTTAGCGTAATAGGTAAAAAATCAGACGTAAAGACTGGTTATTGTGCTGTCAAAGTTGTGATGGTATAAATCTTATTCAAGATACACCGATATCACCCAGGGGCGTGTATATCCAAAGAGGATCCTAGTAGAACTTGTTTTATAGGAAAATGCTACATTATTTTTCAGTATTCAATATGAATCCGATAGATTGAACACATATTCTAGGCTTTCTAAGACCTGGAAGAAAGAATAATAGACACTTTCTGACAAGTCTCACAGTATATGAGACTGTATACCTTATAAACTGCTTTCCATCGCTTTTTAGTTTCCGGTCTATGAATTCTCCCTCAAAGAGTAATAATATTTCTGGTATTAAGCTAAACTCTGCAGATCCTCAACGTAGAATTTGCGCCCACAAAAGGGCTACTACTACACGTTTCTTAATAAAGTGCCAAAATGCAGTTGCACATAGAGTGTCTTTGGAAGCCGTTGGTGCTCATTTTGGATTATCTGCCAAAATATTGGTATTGAGGGTAGTTCAGTTCACCATCTTTTTGATTTTTGAAGATCTCAGGAATGTCTTTGTGTCATCTTCCTAGATATTAGTCTACCTTTTAAAAAAAATCATAATCCGTGATCCCTTGCATATGAAATCTCCCTTTCTCACTACTAGCCTGGAAAATCGCCATTATATAAAGCATTCCTCTAAGGAGAAAATACATGTTTCCCACTGGGAATGATCCATACTTTTAACACTTCATTCGCTTGTTGGGCGGAAAATTATCACTGCAATTAGTTTTTTGTTTATGACTGAAGTTGTCGTTGTTGATTGTATTTATTTGTCCTATTAGTTTGATAGCCTGAGAGTCCAAGCTCACTGACAAATTGCAATATTCGAAATTGAGTGGAAAACGATTGATATGTCGCACGCGATCATATAACGGAGGCGTACTTCTCCTACGCACTGTTTTGTGATGGAGACATTGCATCGGATTTATGTACAGCGTTGCCAGGCGTTATGGAAATTATCAGATGTTAGTTAAATTGTGATTAGAAAAACAATGGCAATACTTCTAAAGAATATCATAAAAACATTAAACATAAATTCTAAAATACCCCATTAACAGGATACAGAGTGCAAAAATATCTACGCCACCAAGGAGGCCAAAACATGAATATTCTTCAGATATCGCTGATATACCTACTAAACAATTTTAAATTTCAAACTCGACTGACCTTCCAATATTTCCAAAGTGGAAGGAATTACATTTGTGTAAACGGATTATTCATCAAAAAGGAATGGAATCATAAAATTTTCTCAAGAGAGAATTAAATACATTACCATAAAATGTAATACTTATTCCAGGAAATTTAGTGATGTAGAAGATATTTTAATCTATGCCACTGGTGAAGTTGGACTGCAAACATTTTTGTATGTGCTGTTTATTCATAGAATACTTTTATTCTATCTAGATACATAATTTTTTGTCAATTTTGAATTCAACAGCCTGCATTTTTTGCCATTTTTTATCTAATTCCTGTCATTGAAATAATACCATTGTTTTTTAGGCACCCTATATATTGAATGTACAGATTTATGGAAAGTCTCGACGGTTCCATATTTGCAACCATCATATTCGATGCATTTACAGTTGCTAGTTTCGAGTAGTGGTAATCCCTGCAGTTTATCCATATATAGGTACACGGTAAGCTGCTAGTTGGTCTGATACCCCATTAATATAAAAGATACACACCTTACTTGGAAAATTATGCTGATTTCTATAGAGTGATTCACAACTACGTGGCAATACAAACGTGCTATGCTATATCCTTTTTTTTTGTTTGAATCAGTATTTACGGAGCTACAGAATTTTCTTTTGATGCACAAATTTCTGAAAACTTTTGAATAATATGAAGATATTGGATATGAAGGTAATTCTAATGAAGAATTTGCAACTCTGCAAAAGTCACTGACTTTCAGCTTTGAAATTAAGGTTAACAAGATTTTCGGAGAAAATATCCCGTTGCTCCCGATGTAGTGATCTAATCCCTATAGTGCGTCATATCAAACCGCGTGTTTTGAATAGACATTTAAGAATACACTAAAAAACAAGCTATTCCGTTTAACAAACACATGTTGATGTTGCCACGTAGTTAAGTCAGCCTATAGGGAGCAAAATAGTTTTCAAGTAAGGATTAGTACAATTTTTATAACTAACGAATAATTTTTAATAACAGAGAAGTAGAATTAAACCTTAGACTTTCGACCATCATTTAGGCATACTTTTTTCCCTATTTGGCCGGAAATGTTGTTGAACTATAGAGCTTGCAACCGTTAGCATATATGATGAACATTGCATGATGCATTGGATCACAGACTATGAACTAAGATTTTACTAACTGGGAAGAAGTTTGTCATTGTACACAATTTCCAAGACCTTCGCGCCTTACATCAAGTTTGAATCGCCCTATATACATTTTAAACAATGGAAATGTGCGCGTCTTACAATATTAGTCTAAGAATTACACGTATAAAAATTTCTTTATTAAAAGATTATACGTTTTTACCCGTAATCATATCCTCAATTCGCGTTTGGGATATCATGTCCTTCACCGTCCATATTTTTTTCAGTGATAGAGAGTATTTAGATAAGCAGTACTTTGTCGTCTTCCATTTCTTCTCAATGATAATAAATCTTTTTTAAAATCTATTTGAAACGATAGTTCTCAATAGTACAATAAGTTTGGCGTATCTCTTTTATCAACAAGTTCATAGCTGCTCTACAGTTAGACTCGACTTTTCTTCTATCTATCAAGACCTTCCTTATTTTCCTTAGTCGTATAATGTTTAGTGTACAAATGTCACGGACACTGTTATGCTATAATTCAAATGATATATTTTGTTTTATTCAAGGACTTGATGTTAATGAGGCCCAATATAACTCGTCCATCCATCGCTCGGTAATAATAATAATGATTAATTCTTTGGACTTTTTATATTGCATAATTGATTCTAATTTTGTTGACGAAAATACCAGAGTCTATTAACCGCACTGCATAATGACTGGCGCACATTACAGCAAGAATTCTAGCCCTTTTTCTACCTTTTGGTGACAGGTGCGGGGTGTAAAGCCGCTAGCCGGAGGTTCTTACCGTTTGAAAGCCCATCTATTCCGATTAGCTTGTCTTTGAGCTATATTTTAACCTGTTGAAAGTTGTGCTATGTTCAGTGATAAGGAGAGATTGCCCAGACTCGAACTTGAACTAGAACCATAAAAGTCCTATCTGAGGTGATGATCACCCAACTCATGACCCAGTAGCATTTGGCTTTCAAGGTCATTTTACTTTAGGAGCTTCCGCTTTGTATTGGGTCTATTGCTGTTTTGTTGACAAGGTGCTGTTTGTCTAAATACTGAAAATCATATCTGAGTATCATGTTTCTACTGCCTACAGCAGTACACCTACCTAATTGAGCAGTATTTGAGTTCAGTTTTAATGACTTGTTTGGAAAAAATAGGAAAAACGGTTAATAAAGGACGGATAGTTTGGAATAATAAGATAACTTGTTTGATGCGAGTATACAGGATTATTTTCATTAGACTATTTAGAAAAAGTTTTACACAAAAATATGTTTCTGATGTTTTGAAATTGGAACTTCTGTACTTTTTATCGAATGATTGAATGTAATCTGTGCAGAAGCCAAATCTTGTGGAAATTCAACAGTTTGATAAAAAAATGCTGGCCATCCAAAATATCAGTATGCCAAAACTAGTACTATTATACTCACAGCAAGCTTCTTAATGAAGAGAGAAATATTGAGATTTGTAGAAGCAGAGTTTCAGTTTATTTTCATAGAAGAAGTTTATTGAGTCATGTTCATTTCAGAGTAGTACCATACTTAGCGGTAAGTTCTTATCGATTAAAAAAGAAGCAGTATGGGATGTTTTGTACACGCAGAAGAACTTCACGTTGTATTTTAGAGAATTGGGGCAAAAACAAATTAAAGCTCTAAAGTAATATATTTTGATCTGACAGGTAGTTTTAACGACTCTCATAGAGAGAAAATTCATTTGGCAGGGTTTTTCAGACAAGATCATAGATGAGAACATACTTATTAGAAATAAAAACCTAGTACTTACGAAGCAGTTTTCTTAATTGAAAATAGATGACAAATGACCCAAATTCACAGAAATATGGAGAAGTTTTCCTTTCTGTTATATTTTGGCAGATAATCAGATTGAGTGAATTATATTCCTTATATCTACTTATTTGTGTGTACTAATATATCTCACTTGTTCTGCAACTGCTTATAGTATATGTTGTATGAACATACATACATACAATATATAAATATCAAATGTCTGTCTAACGCGAATAGATAATATTTAAAAATAATGATATTATATCCTAACAATAATATTTTTCTTGGAGTGCGTGCAACCGATTTTGTTTGCTTACGTCTTTGTTCGCTGTTCAAATAAACTGCGTTAAAAGTTCAAGTACACTTCAGGCACTAAATTAAACCTTAAAAGAAATATAATTACGCCCATTCTAGAAGCATGGATCTTATCCTAAATCCTGTGTAGCTTAAACATCCAACACATGAACGAATGAATATTTGTAGTTTAATTTTACTTCCATGTCCATTCATTTAAGGCCAGTCATAGCACTTGAAAAAAGTCGGTTCTTTATAACCCATAGTTCTTATCAGATACGATCGTTAACTGCCCATAGGTATATCAACTGTAATTATAACTCTAAGCACGGCCATAATTAGTAGTTCCAGATCAAAGTCTAACTTGTTTGTTGCAACTGTACACAAATACAGAGCAGTACCAGAATATCTCCTCCAATAGATTGAAATAAAGACACCATATTATCTACGTAGAAAAAAGACTAAAGTTATACAGACATCCATGATTTTAAAAACTGTAGCTTGCCATAGAGGCTCAATCCAAAAATAGGAGCCTTTATTTTCTAGATCGAAACCAACTTTGGAGACTACAAAATCTTCCCGAAATAATTGTAAAGTCTGGTTTTATTGGTGCAAGCTGTTCAATTGTGTATTTAAGACATGACCGTATAAAATGGGTACAACAACTTTTTATTTGACAACAAAGAATGAGAAAACGTGTTTTTTGGGATTCAATCGAAAGTGTTGAGAGTGACGTGGAATCTTTTCATATAAGATTTATAGGTATTTATAAGACATGTAAAATGAGACCTCACCTGAAAAGATCCGACTAATAGCAAATATGTTATGGCCGAAAAACGAAGCAAAATGCAGGTTTTGGCACTTGTTGGTAACGCGACGATTCATACTTCTAAATAACAACAACAGAATTGGAGTACATTGGTCAAGTAGTTTTTTGAGAATTTCTAATTGTTTATCCCAAAACACCTGTTTTCCGGCCATCACTACTAACTTATTGAGCATTATACAGGGTTCGCTCAAAGAGCATTTATTAGCAAAATACACGTGTTTACCTTGCCGATATAAATCACAAACCGTTACGAAAGATAAATTTTATTTTTTTGCGAAGAACAATGGTTGCGTTTTTTCTTCTCAACAAATTCAAACATTTCGTATTTGTGAGCAATTGAACAAATGCGCCAGAATATTCGAAAAACATACGTTACTATACACATTTTAAAATAAAGAGGATGTGTCTATCATATTTTTTTGCGAATTACTCACAAATACCAAATTTTTGAATTTGTATAGAAGAAAAAATGTAACCCATCCTTTTTTTTGTATAAAAATAATATTTATCCTCCGGAATGGTTTCTCGATTCATATTGGCAAGGTAAACTAGTGTATTTTGCTATAAAATTCCCTTTGGACTAATTTGAACTAACCCTGTATATTGCTCAAGTGATGGTCGGAAAACAGGTGTTTTGGTATAAACAATTAGCAATTCCCAAAAACTACTTGACCAATCGACGCCAATTTTGTTGTGGTTATTTAGAAGTACGAATCCTACGAATTTGAAGAATTTCAAGTATCTGCGAGAAGCCATCGTTGCATTACCAATTGCCAAAACCTGCAGTTTGATTCGGTTTTCGGCCGTAACTTTTTTGCTGTTAGGCGGATCTTTTTACGTGTAGTCTCATTTTGTAAGTCTCATAAATACCTAAAAATCTTATATATGAAGAGGTCTTCCATTTTTGCCAACACTTTCGATTGAATCCCAAAAAACACGTTTTCTCATTTTTTGTTGTCAAATAAGAAGTTTTCCCACAAGAATTGGTGTATGCATTTATTGCGGTCATGTTTTAAATACCCCCTTAAACAACTTCAGCAATAGAACCAGACTCTACAATTATCATCTCGCAAACCAGGGGTATTTTTGTTTAATATGATTAGACTATTACCTAAGTTTCTCAGCTACGTTTGTCATGGAGAACTGGTTCTGAAAAAAATAGGAGATATTTTTGCAGTTACTGATGCAGCTCAACCTACTTTTGTTATATGTTTGCATTTTAGCTAATATATCTTCGAATATTTGAAAATCCTCGCACACAGCAAAAAGCAAATACCCTGTTATTTCAATGTTTTTTAAGAAGAACCACTTCGTCGCAGTTTATTTGACACAGGTACTTCAAACTCAATATTGCGTTAAATTTATTTAGCATTAGTTGAGCGAGAAAAAACACAATAACTGTTCAGGAAGACCGATATACGTTTAAAACAAATATTGGAAGAAAATCAAAATAAAACTCTTTACGAGCTATTTGGTGTTTCAGTTATCATTATGTGAAAAGTAAATTATCACACAAAATGTCAAGCCTGATTAGAAGACCGACCAAAACATAAAATATGAATATACTGACTGCCCCGTCAAGTATATAGAACTTAAGATACTTTCTCATGAAGATAGGCATTTCTGTATGTTGACACTGACAGTTTGATTCATCAATACGCTTCGTAGTTATAGAGAAAAATTACTAATCCCAATTTGAAGAGCATCAAAAAGCGGAGCTGTTAAAAAACTATTAAAACCTCTATAGATAAGAGATGCAGAAGAGCAACAGAACTGCTGTGCAGTAGACCCTCTGTAACGCAACGATGACCGTAGTCACGTGATAACAGGTATTTTGATGGCGTACTACGTTAGCCCACTCCTTGTATGTATACCACTTATCTGTACAGGGTGTTATTTAAGTACATCGCCAAACTTCAGAAGGTGATTATTTTAGTAATTTTAAGATGAAAAGTTCATATCAACATAGGTCCAGAAATGCTTCATTTTCAAGACATAGGATGTCAAACCTTTTTTAAAAAATTGGGTTTTCCTAAATATCCTAATAAACTTTCAGTCGATTTTGTTCAAATTTAGGAGTGGTGCTAAGGGCAGTAAGGGACTTATTTAGCCTCGATTAGATTGAAATAATCAAGTCCAGTGGAGTCCCGAAAAACACTCTAACCAATATCCTTGACAAAAAATTTGTGCGCCACTGACTTGAACCATTCTCCAATATTAGTAATTTTATAGCTTAAGACTCTTAAAAACACTTCAAATAATTACGAACATCACTTACTGCTCTAAGTAAGTTATGTCGAAATCTTAGTTTTAGTAGCAATTGTTTTTCCTTGCAATCTTATTTTTTGTTACACTTTTAGAACGTTGCTGTTATAAATTATTACGTTACGCGATTATTTTATTTTATTTTGTTTGATCGAAAGTGATTTTAAATATGTGCGAAAAAATTCAAGATATGACTTTCGTCTAATGTTAATTGCTTATATTAGTTTGGTCTTAACGAGTTTTCCTCACAAACGAAGCGAGATATGAATAAAACTTAGGAAACGAAAAGTTTGTATTTTAAACTGCCTAATTCGAAAAAAATAAAATTTGAAAAAAGTAAGTGCTGCACAAATTTTTCGTCAAAGATACTACGTAGGGTATTTTCCTGGACGCTACTGGACTTTAAAATTTCAACCCAATCGGAGCTGAATTAGTCCCTTACTGCCCTTAATACCACTACTGAATAACAAAATCGACTGATAGTTTATCCAGATATTTTGGATAAACCGATTTCGGCCACGTACTTAAATAACATCCTATATAAAATTTCACGCTTTTTTGACGGCTCTTATTCTTCCGTTGTTTGGGGTTAGAATTAGATGTACAGTAATATTTAGTTATTGTTACTGTAACAACTATGTGGCTCTGGGGTAGGCGTTTGCTAAACCTTTGACATTTTGTATGATTTATGCAGACTTGCAGAAATGAGGATTGATAAATTAATGGTTGTCTTGATTACGTACAGAGCCATACGTTAAGTTTATCTACAACTTTATCTTTAACTTGAAAATTGATTTATGTAAGCAAATTTCAGGAATCTGAAAACAAATTTGTCAATATTCTTTTACAGTGTAGAATTGTATATATTCACCTTTAACATTGTAAGTAGACAAAAATATGTTATGCAAAAAGCGTTGAACGTTTTATACTTCCAAATAGTTAATTTGAACTTGCAGCATGTCTTAGAGACTTGACGTATCACTTTGTACGATTTCATTAGAAAGAAGATACGCTGTACGACCGTTAAGAAACAATTAACTAAAACGTTATTGCTTTTACATTAGCCCCCGGAAATAATTTTTTATATGTATATGATCACTTACAAGTCAGTTATAGCATTCATTTCTGTGTATAAAAATCATCTTATTCTAAAAGTAATACTGATCCGCGCATATTTACAAAAAAGTTAATAAATGCGTTAATATAAATTAACGTACTGTACCTATGTATAAGTGATGAAATGCTGTGGCTATGAAAAACGTTGAGCGCTTTGTGTTATGAGATTCATGATAGAAAAAGTACTGATGGAAACCGCTCATAACTTTATGGGGTGTACGGCTTACGTTATTACCTTGCAACACCGACAGCTGACTCCTGACATACCAAAATACCATGTTAAGTTTAATATTAACGTACGCCGTAATGTGATTATAGATAACTCTACGTTAATTCTTGTATGAGATTCTCTCAACTGTGATTGCTGAATATACAAAAATGTAGAATTGGAAAATTGTAAACTTAATATCAACCTTCGGTCAACGATCCATAGCTTCAAAATATTGCGTAGTTAGTAAGAACATTTCTGCTAAAAATAAGTATGATTGCATTGATCGTTCTGTGTAATATCCAATTTAACTCACTAGGTAGCAAACGAAGTAACCCAAATTGTGTTTAGACACTAACTATAGGTGTATAGTATTAATAAAATCTAAATTCTTTGGCCGAGGAAAGCAGCTTTTCTGCAGACTCGTTAGTTGTTTTAATGCTGTCAACTGTAAAAGAAAATTGTTTTTGTTTTACAGCTATTTAATCCAGGTCAAAACAAACACTTGCACGCTGACTCTATTTGTGCGCTGGTATTTGTTTTAAATACAATTTGTACCGTTAATACAAGATATTTCGTAGCCAAAATAAAACAAAAAATTAGTACTTTTATAGTTTTAGTGTGGAACACTGATTCAAAATGTTCATGGAAATATCAAAGAATGATTTCCATTCACATCATGCTATTTGTTATTCTTACCAACTTGGGCACAATTTCCAGCATTTCATCAAAAAATCCGTTAAATAACCATTGCCTAGTTTACACGTCTTCAGTTGCTGTGTTGATTCAATCGTTGAATTATTTTAGATGCACATTTAGTTATAAATTCAAATTAGCTATATTCAGCTAACCGTACATTGTAATAACACTTTCCTTATAGAACGCAGTATGTATAAAAATTTAATTTACAAAACATATTGAGATAATTTAAGCATGCACCAACACAAGAAAACATAAATATAATCCGTATTTCCCCCGCTTACACTATACCGTGCACATATCCATATAAAAAGTCTTCAAGCATATTCTATCGGCATGTGTACCCAGGAACATGTTATACCAGCTCATTTTATCAGTGTTAGATGAATTAAAGGGTCCAACTTGACTAGACATTGATCAGAACCAGAAGTCTTATTTTATTTAATTGAAAAGAGTGAAAAGGGTATATGCTTTCTGAAACTCTAATATCTTCAGTTTGATTCCGCTTACTAACCATTGCAGCCGATTAATAACAAAATTTGCTGATGTTTCAGCTGCTTCGGGGTCTTTATCAGTTCAATTACAATAAATTTTCACACCGTGTTGATAATGACTGCCGGGCAATAGAAACGCCAGCAGTTTTTATTTTACTCATATGTATGATGATATACCTGTATGACATTGTTCGATATTATTTGTGCTTCTGATGAAATACTGATGGAAGGTAATTTCGAAAATTTATTTTTTTGGTGGTGCCACACAAAACTAAAATAGGGATATTTCGCCAAGTTCATATTAATTCTAGTTAGTTGATTGAATGTTGTTAACCGTTCAAAAAAAATTCTTGACTCCTGATATAATAACTAGTCTTTTCAAAAATGAGCTGGAAAAGTGGCTTGCGTACACATTCACATCAACAAATACATTAAAATACCTTCCTTCTATAAACAAGTGATAGACATGAACATAAGTTTTGCTCCAACAACAATAATTGCACAAATGCCCACAAAAACTATTTAATAAATAACACTGCTCATTCATTAAGTCACTTTTTTATTAATAATTAACAAACCTTGAACTAATAGTTCAAACTGGTTTCATACAGCCAAGCATCACCACTTACGATAGAATTTTCAAACCTTTAGTAAGAACACAACAAATGGTAATGATAATTCCGGATAGCGATGGATTATATTTCTTATTTCTTTTATTAGGGTTGTCAAAGAAATAAATCATAATGCAAAATAAATCCCGTTAATAAGTGACATTTCCAGTATATTGGATCAAGAAGATTAGAAAAATTGAGATACTTTCTATTTCCTAAAATGCGGTTTCATCAGTTAATATACGATTATCTTTGTATTTATATTATGTATGGTACGTTTAAGTCCAAAAAGCTTCTAGGAACGGCCTCAAACCGTACTCATATTATAAATGCACACTTCCGATCAGTCAGATTACTTATCCATGTTTGGAACTAACTACAGGTGTAATAACATCGCTCTGCGTACTGAGACCCACAAGTTACACTGAGAAATACCTGACAAATCGGACAGATAGAATATAGGTGAAATATATGCCATGTGGGGTTCCACTGGGGCCTGGCAAAGGCTAAATCTTTGCCATTTTTATTAATATTCATTTACTTTTTAATCGCACGTGTCAAGCACAAATATTTCTGCGACATCCGTCTTAATCGCAGACCCAGCGAATACCCTATTTAAACCTCATTAACTCCGCTTCAAAAGAAACATAAGCACTCGATCATCGTGAATGCTTGCTGCTACCTGTCCAGGCATTTATAGCCCGTTGACCATTATGAGTACGCGAAATTTAACGTCGGGCACTGGTGACTGCTTTGATGAGGTGTAAATGAGATTTGAACACACTTTAGTGAAATTCAGAGTTGCCTATACATATACAGGGTGTCCGCAAAGTTGGGGTTTTTTGCTTTACACGACGTGTAGATCTTGAAGACATAAGCAATTTTTCTTAGTACCATATACACCAATGTTCACGTCCAAAGTGTACAAGCCCTTCAACCTGACGATTTTCCAGCAAGAGTGCGGTTTTGTGAGTGGTTGTTCCATCAACATGACAATAATCCGGACTTTTGCAGTGCATATTGGTGACAGACGAATCTACGTTCACGCGTAATGGGGTGAATAACTTTCGCAACACTCATGTTTGGTCAGTAGAAAATCCGCACGCTGCCCGTCGGGCACATTTACAACAAACATTTTCGGTGAATGTTTGGGCTGGCATGGTGAACGGTATGCTCATTGGACCATTTATTCTCCCAAATCGATTGGACGGGATGGAATACCTAGACTTTTAACGCAACATTTTGCCTTCCCTGATTTCATTTTCTGTTGGAGCGGTATGATTTCGGGCAGAGACGTACTTAGCCCTTCTCGTCAACTGGAGAGTGAGTACTTTTTCCTTTATTTTTTTTTACTTGGTCGTCCTCGTTTCACTACACATTACCTTTGTTATTTCAAGGGTAGTTGTTTCTGAAAAGGAAAACCCCAACTTTGCGGACACCCTGTATATATATATAACAGGAAACCATATTTATCGTCTAACCTCGAGATCAAAATCTCAGAAACTTTGATACTTGGCACGATCTTTTCTGAATATTATTTTATGATATTAACTAGATTAATAAAAGTAACAAATGATCGTTGGTTGCAAGATGAAAAATCGACGCCAAAAATCATAAAAAAAGTCACCCAGTGATAAATTAACATACGTCATCAGGTTTGAAAGTGCTGTCGAAAGTTGGATGGTAAGCCATATGTAACCAACCATACTTGGGATAATCCCATTTTGTTATCTGAAATTCACACTACAAAGCAAGATTTTTTAACACGGCAGTAGATTGTTTCACTTACGTTTCTTCTATATGTTGTCCATTGCACGAGGAAGAATGGTTATTCGTTGTAAAAAATAAAATTCTAGAGCACCCCTGTTATTTTTAAGAAAACTATAGTATCCCAGAAGTGGAGGTATTTTGTTTTTGCATTAACTTTTGTCGATATCATGTTTAATAAGGAAGTAAAGGATAATCAGAATTTGCAATATTCATTATTTGCATAGATCTTTCTGCAAACTCTCACTTCCTAGTCTTTTTTGAAACAAATGGGACATTCAGAAGTAGATTTGATAAAACAAAATGGCAATTCCTAGTGATAAATAGATAAAAATAACAAAATATTACATCTGAACAACAAAACAAAAATACCGTACCTTGCCAAGTTATTTTCTGTCATTAATACAATCTCTGTCCCAACATGCTCATGAGTTGTAGCAAGGCTCAAGTATATGTCATACTTGACAAGCTAGCACTCAACTAGCAACAGCTAATGATATCGAATTCAAGTATTGCAAAAAAATATAGAACTGACGTTATGTTCAGCCTTCATAACTAAAGACCTCCACTACTTTGGATAATACATAGATAGTTTGATGGTTGAGAGCAAGATAAAATGTTTCGAAGGCTTTTGTACAATGGATACTGGAACAGTCAATCTGTGAATTAGAAACCAAACAAAATCTCACCGATGCGGATGTTGATGCGGCAACTAAAACTGAATATTTGACACTCCAGAACGCACTGATGAAATGTTGATAATAAAAAATAAAATTTCATTACAACCTTAATCTTGGTCATGTCAGAGAAATTGCTTTAAAATAATCTAGGCCTCGTTTCACATGGTCCATATCTCTAAGGACTGCATTTATAGGAAAACATGTATTGTGTAGTATTTCTTAGGACTTACGATAGGAGAACGATATTATCACACGTATTTCAAATGGAATTCTTTGACTTCAGCCTACATCAAGAAACACAATCCGACCATTTTGTGAAATAAGATTTTTCCGAAATAGTTTTAGTTCCATTACACGAGGCCAACATCGTAAAGGATTTAGTTTACTTCTATTCGGTTCATCACTTTAATCTTCTGCTTGACCAAAGCTCCCTAGTGGGAAAAAACTCAAATTCAGTTGTCATACCAGATCCCGTATCGATGATTTTTTCTAATTTGCTTTCGTCTACAGATTGAGCAGTTGACCACAACAGTTTTTTTTTAGCCGAAAGCTATTCCGTTTTATAACATTTACCTTGCAGTCAACCTTCAAACGCAAACGATTTTCAAAAAAGTCCTTCGTGTGTATTGTGGCACTGAAAATACCGAAAAACGGTTACGTTTATTTACTCAACTACATACAGTTCATAATATGTCGCACTAACACTTATTATATAACCACGTTGATTTCTTTGTATTGCAAATATGTATCTCTAATACTGACAAAGTGTAAAAACTGAGACGCGCACGTGATCAAATTGTTTGTTTTCTGCACTTGGGATCGCTCTGTGGCGCGATCCTGTCCGAACCGCCAGCCTTTGCGTGATTTGTGATTGTCCAACGAACAAATGAAGAGTTAGATGCTTTTCTTTTGAGACCCAAACTTCCTGAAACTGTCTTGAATTTCAACCGTCCTCATATAAACAAAAAATGTATTGTCTATCCGATAATTTTAGCCTTTCTTTAAAAAGCGGTAACAACTTCTTCTGGAAATATACAGACATAGAAGTATTTATCTGCCAGCTTGATCAAAAAGGCCTTATCTTAATGTATCGATAGTTCAACCACCATAAACGAAGAAGCAATAAATATGAAAATCCTTGTTGATAATTTTCGCTCAGCTTGACACAAAATATGTACTAAAATTTGTCAATGGAATAAAAATTCTATTACCTATTATTGTCTTTAAAGATTGTACTCATTTCGGAGTAACATCTGGCTCTCAAGACAAATAAGAAATACATTGTTTTCAGTCCTGATATTCAACTTTAATTATAAGATGTCCCCAACTTATAATTAGAAATGAATATTTAACAGAAATAGAACACTTAAACGCAATACTTGTAAATCCATCCTATAGTTTGCCGTGATTCTTGTAAGTTTATATAAGGGGCTTAACAAAAGAACACGAATGTATGTACACTACTACAGAGTTATGCTATAGGGTTCTTTCTAATAAAACTATCAAACTCGATCATGAAAACAAAACGATTCAGAATTATGTCTTCCTTTTCTTACCCAGTGCCCCATACCAAGAGTAAGGATGCAGCTTCAGGAAGCTTAGTTCTTACAAACGAAACGCAAAACTCTTGCATGATGCCTGAAATGCATACTTTTAATAATAGGTACGTGAGCATGATGTTATGCATTGATAGGCCGAATCCACAATGTGTTTTATTCGTAAAAAGTGAGAAATATTCACAAAGTTCATAGGCCATAACAAATGAACGTACATAAGATCGGTGTGTAATTGTTGTTCTTTAGCTTTGGTAATCATAAATACCGCATGTCTAAACCTTCTCAACGATAACCTTTATTCCATTGCATCTTATAACTTGAATGTCAATGTTAATGTTTACGTATGCACTATTTGCGATTACCAAAACTCTATTTTCAATAAAAATCAAAAATGTTTCCTTCGTTAGTTGGTTTTAACTAATCTTCGCCTATTTAGGCATATGCATTATGCGATATAAAACTCAGCCTTTAAATTTCAATTTTCTCGAGTGTGAGGCTCGTTGGATCGCATTTTTGGTACTCAGTAAAGAATTGGTTTGTCCAAATATACAAGATAAAAATAAATTATATGATAGTAGCAAATAACTACACACACTTATATCTTTGTGTTGCCAGCCAGCAGCTTAAATCAACATCAACTTCTGATCTGTACCTGCAATTTATATCAGAGATGGTGAAACAAGTTATTGTATTGAAGTCTTCATGAGAACTTGAAACATCTGTAGAATAAATATAAAATGTGCTCATTCAAACTGCTGTGAAACGAATATAATATAAATTTATTCTTTACCGTACCATACTATCCAACTTCATCCTCATCAAATCATCTTTTCACTGAAAAAATAACCTCAAAATGATCAACCAATGAACAAGGCCGCCTTTATTGCGACGTTGCCGATAATCGACCGAAGTAGCGCAAGCGGTAGTGTCCGCAACGTGTTCACGCTCAGGCTGACGGCAGCGAGCAGGCGTCGCGCCATCTCGCGGGGGAGGCGACGACGTGAAGATGAGGAGCGGCGGAAATAGTGACGTGGCGCGCGTAGACGACGTTTCAAAGCGCACCCGCCAATCCGCCATCATCAGACGCTGTCGACGCTGGAGGCGTACCTGCAAATAAAAAATAAATATCTTCGTTTTTCGCAAAAAATAACAGTTATCCTTCGGAATGGCTTGTAATTTATGTCAGCAAGGTAAACTAGTGTATTTTGCTATAAAATGTCCTTTAAAAAAACCCTGTATGTTGCTCAATAAACTAGTAGTGATTACCGGAAGACAGGTGTTTTGGGATAAGTAATTAGAGATTCTCAAAAACTACTTGACCAACCGACTCCAATATTGTTATGGTTATTTAGAAGAATCAAGCCTACGGATTTGAAGGATTTCAAGTAGCTGCGTGAAATTATCGTCGCATTAGCAACAAGTGCCAAAACCTGCATCCTGCCTCGGTTTTCGCCCATAACTTTTTTACTATTGGTCAGATCTTTTTACGTGTCGTCTCGTGTGGTAAGTCTCATGAATACCTAAAAATCTTATTGAGAACGTTTTTTCATTCCTGCCAACACTTTCAATTAAATCCCAAAAAACACGTTTTCTCATTCTTTGGAAGTTTTTCCACAAAAATTGGTGTACCCATTTTATGCGTCCATGTTTTAAATACCCCGTTGAACAACTTACATCAATAAAACCCGATTTTTGGGAATTGCTAATTGTTTATTCCAAAACGCTTGTTTTCCGACCATCACTTGAGCAATATGCAGGGTTAGTTCAAAGGGAATTTTATAGCAAAATACACTAGTTTACCTTGCTGATATGAATCGAGAAACCATTCCAGAGGATAATTATTATTTTTATACAAAAAAGATGGGTTACATTTTTTCTTCTAAACAAATTAAAAAATTTGGTATTTGTGAGGAATTCGCAACAAAGGATGATAGACACATCCGCTTTGTTTTAAAATGTGTATAGTAACGTCTGTTTTTCGAATATCCTGGCGCATTTGTTCAATTACTCACAAATACGAAATGTTTGAATTTGTTGAGAAGAAAAAAACGCAACCTTTGTTCTTCGCAAAAAAAAATAAAATTTATCTTTCGTAACGGTTTGTGATTTATATCGGCAAGGCAAACACGTGTATTTTGCTAATAAATGCTCTTTGAGCGAACCCTGTATAATGCTCAATAAGTTAGTAGTCATGGCCGGAAAACAAGTGTTTTGGGATAAACAATTAGAAATTCTCAAAAAACTACTTGACCAATGTACTCCAATTTTGTTGTTGTTATTTCGAAGTATGAATCGTCGCGTTACCACCAAGTGCCAAAACCTGCATCCTGCCTCGGTTTTCGCCCATAACTTTTTTACTATTGGTCAGATCTTTTTACGTGTCGTCTCGTTTGATAAGTCTCATGAATACCTAAAAATGTTATTGAGAAAGTTTTTTCATTCCTGCAACACTTTCAATTGAATCCCAAAAAACACGTTTACTCATTCTTTGTATTCCACAAAAATTGGTGTACCCATTTTATGCGTCCATGTTTTAAATACCCCCTTGAACAACTTGCATCAATAAGACCCGATTTTACAATTATTTCGGGGAAACTTTCTAATAAGATTAGTGAGAGTTGTATGCAAGAGCATTGGGTATTTTTCAATGGCTCTTCCAATCTGCACTCACCTCTCAGCCATTTCCTCGCAGAAGTGCATGGCAGGTGGGGGCGGTGGCGGAGGCGGTGGAGGGGGAGAGGGGGGCGCTTGCCTGGCCGATGACGGTCCTGGAACTGCGAAGGCAGCGATCGGCAACGGGAACTGGCCGCCTCCGCGCCGACGTCTCCGACGTTTCCTACCCAACAGTCTACGTCGATTAAAAAGGAAAAAGTTAAAATTGGAAAATTCCTGTTCAGGGTGTCCTGAAAGTTAAGGCCTTCCTTTCCAGAAACAACTACATTTAAAATAACAATTTGCGATAAAAGAGCACAAAAAAAAAGAAATTGAAAAAAAATATTATTTGGTATGGTGCTGTTTACTTATTTCTGAATATGCAACATTTGGGGCTGTCTAGGTCTTCTAATGCATCCACCCAGATGGCTCTTGAACGATATAAACGAACCTACGAAGCTCTGATGGCAATATTGAGAACGACGGCGAGGCTCTGGATACTTGAAAACACTCGCAAAGTATCAGTACGATCTTCAAAACGCCAACAGTAAATTAACATCAAATTGATAACTACGTTATTACTGCTGACATGTGCCAATTTCTGTTGCAAATGCAGTTTGTTCAAAGTCTAGGTTAGCCCACATACCACGAAGCACCTCATAGTACCACAAAACATCATGCTCATTGACGTAGGAGGGTGTTACCAGAAAAACCATGCTTATTATTGACTTAGGTATACGCTTTGTAAAAAAAGACACAACTTTGAGGACATTCTGAATTTTTATAATAAAAAGGTGTTGGATATCCTAACCAAGCTAATCAATGAAAATAGATTTTTCTTCTAAAACGTCCTCCTGAAGTCAAGCAGCTTAGGCGCAAATTACTGATATCCGAAGGTATGCTACGATAAAAGCTGTTAAACATGACTAAATGGATATAATTATCTGTGATGTAGGTAGAGATAGCCTGTTGAAGACTTTTATGTAATATTTAAGACTTTAATATTAATTTACCTGTGACATATGATGCATAACAAAACCAAAGCAAGTAAAATGGCAGCTATAGCACACACCCACGATATCTTAAATTTTTCTCTAGGCTGTTCTACTGGTTTGCCTGAAATCAAAATGTATATAAAACGATGTTATTGTTAAATTAAATATCGTAAAGCATAAGAGTAAATTGAAGTTGTTGAAAACGGTATATCTAATGGAATCTACGACTGTTAAAGCTCTTAGAATTGCGAGTTAATAACACTACGCAGCATGTCCCAAACCAAAACATATAAAAAAACTCATTTATAATGTGGTACGCAGGTCAGAAAGAATAATTCTGATCGATCATATTAATGCATGGTAAATATATGACGTATTGCAGACGTTGATGAATAATTAGATGTAACAATAGAGATTCAAAATTAAACTAGAGCCTGACAAAAGATTCAGTCCACTTTTATAAAGTCAATGAATTTAAACAAAGATCAACGATCTTCGCAAGCACAGTCCACATTACTTTCATAGAAAGGTATGTGCCGATACCGTTACTTGTCTGTAATTCCCCTATGAGCATTCCGTGAACATAAAAAAATATATTTGGATATCAGTTCACGGTCTACAATGTAGAGAGATAGATGACTGCAGGCATGCCGAGACCTCAAAGATTTCGTTCTGTTGAGTGTCCTATCAGCTGTTGGAAATGAACTCAGAACGAGAATAGTGCCACACTTTCACATCAGACAACACGTTCAGTATAACTTCATTGCAATACCTGCATATGATGTGGAAAATCTATTACACATATCCATCATAAAAGAGTTACTCAGTGGTACCAGGTACAGAAGTATAAGATGCCTTTTTAATAATCAAGTTGTCAAGATGATTGGTTTGATGGTAAACAATTATGTCTAGATAATAGTATATTTATTCGATTTCGAGTTAATTATTGCTTAAATCGAGGTAATTGGTGAATTTACTTAATTAATTTTGTATTGTATGAATACTGTTACACCTCTTCCAGAATATCTAAAAATAAACAAGGTGAATGGTGAAAAAAGTCTGGGATACTTTCCAGAAGTTATATTTGACAATCACATTAGGTTTGGGACACTCTGTATAGTAATCCGCTCGACAACATTGTTGACTATTTATTTAATCTTAATATAGAATATATGGGGTATGGATAGACACAAATGATGAAACTGTTCGATAAATAATTGATAATGTTAAAGACATGACTAGGAAAATCCACAGCATGAAATAGGGTGAATATCCGTCGGGTGGCAGCTACATTACTTCCACTACACTTCGAAAAGCAATACTAACTAGGAAAGGATTTGATGGGTGCTCAAACACTGATGAATATAAGATTCTTAAACAATCCGAAGTTAAATATGATCTGCTTCATTTGACGCCTATTTAGTTGGAAGGTATGTCTAGATAACTTTTCACATATTGAGCCTTCTGATGACTGATAATACAGCACCTACAACAGCTATTTTCGCAAAGCATTGAGAATAATTTCTTCCTGCTATTAAAAGTGTGTGTGACATGCTTGCTCGTCGGTGCAGCATTGTGGAAAGGCTTACGTACATCATATTGAGTCAGCATGAACCGTTAAATGTTTAGCTACAATGGATAAAAATACCAACGGTGTCAATGTTTCTGAAAAGGGACAATACTCATAACTTAATATCCCAATCATACAATAAATATTAGGAAGGGATGAAAAAACGCGTCTTATATTCACCAGTAGTGGGTAGAGTAGTAGAGCAGCTTCATCCTGACACTTGCAAACATATATCTTGTATCAGAATATCACCACGGAACGCACAACTGTCTATTTGTAGTAAATGAAGCCGATATGTCTCAGTGATATGTTGATATGAAATTGGGCAAATAATTTTATGGGGGCAATCATCTTGGTGTTTGTGGATCGTTTCTATCACTTTATTCACAGGAAGGAGATATGACGGGTCAGTGTCGGTCAAAAACCAGTTAAACCGTCTTATACAGCAAGGTGTCAAGGTAAAAGTGCTATGGAGAGAGCATTGTAGGGTGACAATATGAGATGGATGACAACTAAGGGTACATCTGCATGTACTGAGGAGAGATGTAGGAGGTCTGAATGATCAAGGCAAAAGATAGACTGAGAAGACTCACGTGCCGTCGTGAGGTGGTAGGTGGCACTAGAGATAGACTGGGCATGCCTGCAGATCATCGCAAGTAGGGGACCAGCCTGAAGAAGGCTGGAACCTCCCAAATCGTCATCATCGAATAGATTACAGTTGACAGGACGTGAAGCATTCGGTCATCGTTGTGCCATTTGGCAGTGGCGCCGTTTGTGAGGCTCGTTGGCTTAGCCGGACCGCCCGTTACGTCAAACGTACCTGCGCATATAACAGTAATTTTCCGATTGAGAGACCCACTTTTCCTCTTTTTTGGCAATTTCAACGAGCCGAGCGTCTGGAGTCAATGCTTCGGAAACTGCTACTGAGATTAAAAGGTGGCAACAACGCCTTGTAGTTGAGGAATTCATCACTGAGAAAACCGAACATTTACTATAAGCTGTTGCTACCTTTCAACCTCATTTAGATTTCCTTAAACTCTTATTATAGAGCGTTTCATGACTACACTGTGCGATTACAATCTTTATTAGATACTCAAAATGGGAAAGCAATAAATATCTATATGTATATAGTGCTTTTTAGAAAGACCTCCATATTTCATGGTTCGAACGGGTCAAGTTAGCGAGCTAAAATTCGAAACGATAAAACTGATGCATGAATACTATATTTCAGCTTAACCGTGAAATTTTCAAAATGGAGTTGGGGTCAAGTGATACCTCATGTTGAACGTCTATAAGAGAACTTTATAATATTAGAGTATAAAATCAGTATCGTTCAAAATGGTTGACTGGCAGCTAACTAATTTGAGCATTAAAGCACATTGGATTGCTTCTGACTCAACAGTCAATCGTTAAAATGTTATGTATGTTATATCAACCTTTTCTTAGAGAGGTATATGCGGATATGTGATAAAACACAAGATATTTCATTTAAAAGAAATCGCTAATCGGGTGAATCGAAACGAAGCTACTGTAATGAGATGTTGTCGAGCGTGGCTCTAAGAAGGCCAAAATCGACGAGTTAGAGGTTAGTTACATAGCGACAGGATCTTCATTTGGGGCAACTAGCACCTAGAGATCGATTTTCCACAACAAGGCAGTTGCGAACCAGTGGTTTGATGATGTCAGCAGGGCAGTAATAATGAGGTCTCGCCGAATAAGGTCTTTTGGGCTGTTTTAATACCGTCCCCATCTTGTACTACATCTGACCACACATCATCGGCAATGATTGGTATGGAGTAGGAAGAGACTTTAATGGAATATGGAATGGAGCTTAGTCGTGTTCAGCCAGGAGTCCAGATTCTGTTTGGGCACACATGATGGCCGTGCAACAGTAAGGAGGAGACGTGGTGAAACGCGGAACGTCCAATCCTCCGTCGATCGACATATTTATCGCACTGTGGGTACTATGGTATGGGGTGCCATTGCTTACGGCAGCAGGTCACGATTAGTGTTCATTCGAGGTAGCGTGACTGCCCAGCGCTATATCCACGGAGTTTTAGAACCACATCTGCTTCCTTTTTGAAAACATTGCAAGATTTCAGCAGAACAATGCACGTATTAGTTTAGACTTTTTAGAAGTGTCCGGAGTAAATCTGCTTCAGTAGACTCGTCAATCTCCAGACCTTTCCCCCATCGAATACATATGAGGCATGATGGGAAGCAGGTTGCAAAATTCACCCCACCCTTCACAAACATTGGAGGCTTTACGAAACCAAATTCAGATGGCCTGGGATACAATACACCAAGAAGACAACAATCAACTAACCCAATCAATGCCGCAACGACTTAACGAATTTGTAGCGAACAGAGGAGCGTCAAAACATTATTCACGTTAAGGTGGGATAGATATCTCAGCTATTTTGAGAAATTTCGAGTTAAAATTTGAATCACTCTCTAGTTATTAGTAGATCTAAGACTTGTAAAAGTATGCTCAAAATTTCAGCACTCCTAGTCGGTGTTGCATTTTCTACGTCATTTAGTATACTCATAGGGAGATTAAAAATGAGGTATCACATGAATCCCGTTCTACCTGACTACCTGAAAGTTTGTTCAACACTGCGCCCAGCCGTTCGGAATTTTCGACTATTACTTTACCGCTAAAATATACAGTTGAAGTATCAATATAATCAGAGCAGACTTCAGCTAGCTAACGTTTACGGCTAAAAGATGGTGGGGGGAGGCGCCTTTTTGAAAAGTACCCTATGTTACAAATAATCTACGTCTTGAGGTCGTGGAAAGCAAGACAAGGACCGTACATTTGTTGTCTCCTTGATTTGATACAAGAAATAGCTCCAGAAGCTGAACAGATATATATATATATATATATATATATATATAAATGGCAGTAAACACGTGTCCCAAGACAAAAATTCTACGGTTGATCCAGAAATAAGGAGTTCAAAGAGCTCGCGCTTATTCTTGACTCAGGAGCCATCACGCATGCAGCTTCCCATTTCTGAACCCGCCAAGGCGAGATTCTTCCTATAACTAACTTTTTGCATGCCAAAGTGTCTCTACCCGTGGACATTCATCGTCAGCTGACATAGGTACATGGCAACAAGTGTACGAGGTCTGCAAGTTAAGTGATGAGACTGATTTTCTTCAAAAATGAGTTTCTTAAGGTGATTTTTCAACTTCGAAAAAAAAAGGTCACAAAGCTAGGCGAATAAGGTGGTTAAGGAGCCACAGGAATATCTTGCTGGCCAAAAACGTGTTTATTGGTATTGCTGTGCGATAAGCAGCATTATCGTGATGCAACACGCAGTTGTTCTTGGACTGATGAACGGTGGTGTGAGTCAAATTTAACTCTTCCCCGACTATATCAACCGATAATCTGAACGCACAAGATCCCGGATTCTGTTGATACTTTCAGCGGCTCTTCTCCCTTCTGGAAAGGCCTTAAAACACCAAAAAACCTCGGCTCTTAACAAAACACTATCTCCGTAGGCCTGTGCCTTCGTTGCTCTGCGTCCAAGTATGACGCAAAACCTTCACAAAAAATCGCTACCGAGAACAAAATGACTCGAGCCACTTCAAACTTGTACTGAAGTCGGATCACATGTTCCCTGTCTCCCCACCAAGCCCGGCCCCTCCAGTATTGCGAGATCAAACCCTCTGCCACCAATCTCATTACTTAATTTACAGACCTCGTATGTCCATTTAACACGTCCGAAAATGGCGTAGGGATTTTGTGCCAATTGGAAGGAACTCCACGATGAAAAACGGAGTGGGCGACTGTCAGTTTCGGAACCGGTTATCGAGATGGTCAAGATCATTGTGAACTAGTTGCTCAGATTTCTGGGCATTCGCGGATGGTGATTCTGTTGTTCCACTTCACGCTGGACCATCTCGATAACCGCCTGTGTCTGAAAGTTGTCCACTCCATTCTTAATCATGGACTTCCTTCCGGCTGACGCTAAACTCAATGGAACAACTTTCGGACTTATTGAACGCACTTGTCGCCAAACACCTTTGTAACCTGACGATGAATATCCAAGGGTGGAGTCTCTTTGGCACGTAGAAAATGCATTATGGAACTAGACTCGCACTTTGCGGCATTAACCGTCACCTTCTTATAAGACGTCTCCTGAGCCAAGAATGAGAGGTGCAGCGAAGCGCGGTCAGGGGAAATCGAGAGTGGGGGAACAACCGCGCGCTGCGATGTTGCCGGATTTCTTTTCGCACCTTCTAATGTGGCTGGAGCTCCTTCGGAAACCGTATTTCTGAATCAACCTTTGTAATCAAACTGCCAGATATATTTGAATTGAATTATTACACTAGATGACCATATGGAAGTATATGTTTTTGTGGATTTTATTGTGACTTGATTATCAAGAGGCCAGTTTGAAAACCTGGAATCCAAAATACGAAAGGTTCGGTGCAACATCCTGCAAAAACTAGTTAGATTTTCAACGTAGAGGATAGGTATTGCTCATCAAAAATGCATTCCAATCAAGTACAGTGTCAATCTGTAATGCTGGCATACAGTACCAGTACCAACCACCACGTCACAGAATGTAAGAAGAAAGTATTTGCAATAAACTTTATCATGCTGAGGAGTGTAATATGATGAAAAACTGAATATTGGGAGTATTGAATTAAGTAACCGATATTTCAAAGATTTGGCTAAATAATAGTGTGTCATGTAAAATTACCAAATATGACGCCACTTGGAGAAATAATTCTACAGATCAGCATCAAATCGTTGTGTGGCAAATAAATTTCTCATAGGCATTTTCCAGTTTCAAGGCTACCGGTCTACCTTTCCTAATAAAATCTTGTTTCCTCACTATTACAGCGAGATTTTTTACTATGATGGTTCTTTAAGTTCCACTGTTGCTGTTGTGACGCGGAATGGCCGCTTTTTGCAGCAAATTTACTCGGAAAGGAGGACAACCTTTTTTAACCATTGTAGAATCTTTCCTAAGCTCATCAACATCCAACCGGCATCTGTGAATACTCTGCCAAGTTTCATGCAAGAGACTTCAGCTCTTAGCCTAATCAAATGACTTCATTACCCTAACCTCCCCAAGCTAAATTCAAAAAGTACACTAGGAGTAAGCTTATGCTTGGAACTTGCAGCGTATCCAGCATTGCTTAGTTATCATCCAATGTTCCCCCAACGACCCAGGCTCGGCGCTGTTCGAGGTTCCCGTGCAACTCAAAATAATGTTTTTGCATCGTAAGCTACGTTTAAAATATAACTTATGAAATTCTAAGTTTGGAAAAAGCTGGTAATTCGTTCACCGGCTATTCGTCACTCACAGTCCGCCTCATCAGATTCGTCTTCGAGCCCGCAGTTGGGGTGGTCGTTGCACCTCAACCGGTTCGGCAGGCAGAAACCGGACTGTAGGCACTGGAACTCATCACAACTCGGCCCCTCCATCACTTCCGTCCAGATGGCGTGGAACCCTTTCGCACCTACGGCCTTGTCTGCTGTTATAAAGCTGCAAAGAAACGATAACTGCTTATATTGGAAATAATACGGAAATGGGAACTATTTTAAATATAATACCCATACGGCCTTGAACTATTTTCTAATTTCTGAAATCTTAAATCAGAAGAGATTTACAGCCAGCGTTGATCAGCCTTTACCAAGTGGATTTCCTCGAAAACAGGGCTTTTCAAAGGGACTTTCAGCTACAGGCTTATACTACCAAGTTTTTGGAATGTTTAGTAGATCAGAAGACCTGTATGCGTCTCATTATTATATTATCTGTCGTGAAAAGGGGCTCATCCATTCCCCAATAAGCTTCTTGACGTGCTTCATTGTTACTTAGCTCTTCCACCATTCCTTTTGACTGGTACCTATTAGAGATGTAACGAATCTCATTTTTTGAACATTCGCGAATGCGAATACAAATATCTGCTACCGACATTCGCGAATGCGAATATTCAGTTTTTGTTCTGGCGCCAGTTGTCTAAGGCAGTCTCGTTCGACCAAATGCTTTCCGTTTGTATTTGAAACTGAAGCCAAATACGAGTAGATAAACCAGTATATCTGAAAGAATCAATGAATTGACTAATAGATGCGAGCGACAGTGAAGAGTAACCCTGTTCATCTTTTAATCCGTAAAACTGTCACATAGTACTCAACAGAAAAACGCATGGCAAATGACGTTGACCCTTTAACTTGGTGGAAAGTGAACAAGGAAAGATACGGTATTTTGTTTCCTGTAGTTCGGCATTATTTAGACTTCGTTCCAACAAAGCCGTGTACCGTACAGTGGACCGTCATGAGCATGCGCAGTACGTTTTAAGTGACCCTAAAAACGTACTGCGCACGCTCATGGCGGTTCACTGTACGATACACGGCTTTGTTGGAACGAAGCCTTTTAGTTACACCACCAGTGTCCCGAGCAAGCGGATGTTTAGTGGCGCTGGACTTATTTACACACCAAATCGAAACAGACTTGAAGGAGACCAGGCGTCCAAGCTTTTATTTTTTAACCCGACAGTGGTCGCTATGTGAGATATACTCTCACATTTTTATAGATATATAGATAAGTTCACCCCAGAAAAATCCACGACGCTGTTGCTTCATCATATCCAAAACGTGACCTTGGGTGATCATTTAGCGGGAATATTTATTAAGAGACCCACACCAGTTTGTTGACAACGCCTTTTAACTGAGTACGTGTATGCTACGTGAGACTTTCTCTCAACGCGCGACCAGTTGGGTTAGACATGAGCCGCAGTAAAAAAATGTTAATTTAGCCATTCTGCTGTCAGAACAAGAATAAAATAAAGTTGAAACCCTATTTATGTCCTCTGAACATGAATGAAAGCCTTTATATTATCTTTTTATAGATCTGCAAGATCCTGCGCCTCTATTTATCACTTCGTACGATAATAGTTGTTGTGTCATAATTATTAAGAAAATAGCAGGGATTAGAGCAGAAAAAAATGCTCCGCAACTAGAAGAAGACACAACTCGATTTTGTTACCTTTGTCCTCGTAGAAAAAATAGAAAAGTGAAAAAAGGTGCAATACATGCCAGATGCCGATTTGCTCCGAACACACAAGTAAATATATTTTTTCTAGCTGCCCAAATGAGCCTAGTGATTCGGACTGATTTTATTTAAATAAAACATAATTTAGTGTATTTCTTTGTTTATGAGAACTTTTGTTAATCATCTTTTCAATTATTGGCGTTTTTGTGTTTTATGTTGGTAGTTAATGAATAAAATACTCATTAGGTATGTTCATACGTCCTGTATTCTGTAATAAATCATATCAAATCAAATATTCTGTTTAGTAAAAGGGGCCGCGTAAGACTATATATAACAGACTCAATTTTGTGCCCAACCAAATGTGAGAAAATCTCACGCGCGACCAATCCCGGGTTAAGTTTAATATTCCTCTACTGAAGTTTAATTATTGACTTAATTGTTATTTTTTAAGAGATAAGTATTTTTGTTTGAGAGTCTATATTTTTTTTCTTTTGCTTGTTTAGACTATATTTATAATTGTATAAGAATAAGGTTTTGGTTTGATTATGCATTATATTAATTAGTTTTATTCAAGATGATGATAATCTAAACAGTAAGTTGAAGACTGGTGAAGGTTTCATAGAAGAATTGGTTTTTGTTTGTTTCAATTACATTTAATTTTTGTGGTACAAGTTCTAATGAGAATTTGATTGTTTGTTTACTTATAACTCTTATAAAAATGATTATATTTATAGTTTATTGAAGAATAATACTGTATTTCTTTAATTATTGTTTTTAATTTTGTTCAAGAATTTGATTATGTAACTTAAGTGAAAACTGATAAAACTTTATTAGAGGAATTTGTTTTTGTTTGTTTACATTGCATTATATTTGTTTGTCTTATAAGATCTATGAAATTTTATTTGTTGGGCTTCCTTGTCCAAAGTAAAGTAAATAAATAATATCAAATGATTAAGTGAAGACTTACGAGGTGAAGTTACTTTTTATTGTACTAAAAAACATAACAAATGAATGGATTTTATTTTTATTAACCTAGTATTATCTAATAATTGTATTTTTTTCTGATACTTATATTCGCAAAACATTCACAGAAGTTTTGCGACTGCGAATGCGAATGCGAATATTTGTTACATCACTAGTACCTATCACTAAGTACTGACAATGATTGGGTGGTCAGTAACTTACCTTAACCTCACGGTGTTGGACGTAGACAAATACTGCCACTGCGTACTGACCCCAGGAGGTTTCTCCCCACATAGCTCTATTGGTGTAGTCGAAAGGTCATTCCATACCCTCAGAACTGCAGCAGGACATCCCCTTCCTGATACATGAAAATTCAAATGTTCACAGAGATAAACACACATTTTTCAGTTAACTAGAACAACTCGAAATGATCCTTCAACAGGGTTCAGAAGTAAAAAATGTGAATAGCATCGTATTCGAATCACTTGATGTAAGATGTACTGAAAACATAAAAGTACAAATTTACATTCACTATGTTAACAAAGCCCACTTGACATTTATGATATAGATGTTCGCAGTAGGTGGTGGCCAACAGTGACGCCTGCCATGTCAGCGGATAAAGACCGAGAGAAGAAGGAAGAAAACAGCAAAAAGAAGACGGATGGATTGAAGAAAGCTGTATTGTTAAAACATCATATATAGGAATCGGATGCTTAGGAAATACTCACCTATCGGTTCTCCTTCCAAGGCAAACGTGTCGAACACCAATAGGATTTTATACCTCGGCCGAACAGTAATGTACCAATTACAGCTCTTAGAAGCCTGGTTTTTAGATAGCGTCCCGTAGTCCTTAGGATAGTTTGGACTTGTGATGATTCCAAAATCCAAGCTGCTTACATTACCACCACAGTCCCCGAAGATTGACTTTGCTACTTCAAAACTGTACCTATAAATATGTACCTTTGTAAAACGTTATCTTTCAGCCGATGTTCATGGGGCATCTATGCTTTTCGTAACAGTTACTCAAGAATAAAGCCAGTGTATTATTTTTATCCCAGATGTGCAAACATGATTGTAATAAGAGTATAAAGTCGTAATTATATTTTCAAGGTTCCTTGAGATGAATAGTGATATATCATAATTATATCCAAAGAAAGACTCATTTGAACATAACTTGCATCACAAGTTGTCCCTCTTTGCACGAAATAGAACGAAACAAAAACGCCTTCTGGGAGCAAATCAGATAAATTTCTCATACCTCTGAAAAATAAATTGGTATACATACAAGCAATAATATGTATAGAGGGTGTCTGCCAAAGGTCGGGAAATCTCGAAACTGGAGATACTACATACCAAAATATGAGAATTGACCTGAACATACCTTAGTCCAAAAATTATTAGTTTGCGAGATACAGGGTATCAAAGTTATAACTTTATTTTCTATTTTTCCTTATTGCTTGAGAAGTATTTCAGATTTTGGCATAAAACTCGGTATAGGGAGACTTCGTAGTATGAGAAATAAGAATCCGTTATTTTTTATGGCCAAACTTCTAGAGGGTGCCACTTACAGCACTATTTCGGTAAATAAATTATCGTAACTATTTTGTGCTACCCTGTATACAACAACTAAACGAAAAATCTTATTTTCTCGTATTTCCACAACAAAAAAGGTGCACTTGCTAGAAATGTCTAAAGCTAATAGTTTTCGAGATATTTGTTTGTTGTACCATGATGATTTTATAACATAATAATCAGGCTGCTTTGGATTATATCTGAGAAGCGTTCGTATGGTTTCTAATGATTGTTATAATATTGGTTTAAACTTCATGAATAATTTTAAGTTGGGAATGAGTTGTTAAACATCATGGAGTATACGTTTGATGAATATTCTGATATGCATTTAATCTACAGATTGGCAAGATGTAATGATTTAAAAGCACGAAGATTGTACGCTGACAAATTCCCTAATAGACACCTGTCTAATTCAAAGACTTTCCAGCGAATCGATCAGCGATTACGAGAAACTGGTATGAAATGATTGTAGCTTTATTTTGAGTAGTAAAGACCATTTGGATTTTAGATAGTTTTGCTTAAAATATGGGCCAACATAGTGGAGCTCCCAGAACTGCACGTACAGCTGAAGTTGAAGAAAATGTTTTAGATGCTGTCTTAGAAATGCAGCTCGAGAATTTCCAGTTTCCAAATATACAGTAAATACCATTTTTCTAGAGCAACTGCTCCATCCATACCACCTGAAAGAAGTACATGGTTTAATAGCGGATGATGAACCCGCAAGGGTAGAATTTGGTACATGGCTGCTCTTAAGGAAGTTTAACCGCGACAATGGTTTTACTTCGTTAATATTATTTTCGGATAAAGCAGGATTTGGAGGGGTTGGCCCCATTAACTCTCATAATCTTCACATTTATGCAGACAAGAATCTTCATGCAATAATGCAAACCCGCCACCAAGTACCCGTTGAGTTACCACCTAGACTAAATGGCGAAAGGTATTTACAATTTCTTGAAGAACAATTACCCACTCTGGTGGAAGATCGTCCATTACAAACACGCAGGAATATGTGGTTTATGCACGACGACGCTCCACCTCATTTTAGTATATTAGTTAGAGAGTACCTAAATAGTTTATCCAGACCAATGGATAGGCCAATTAGGACCTGCATCGTGGCCAGCAGGATCACTAGATTTAAATCCTACGGATTTCTTCTTCAGGGTTAGTTTGAAAAGACGCGTTTACAATACGCCAGTGGAAACTGTAGACTATCTTCGACAAAGAAGTTTCCACCATAGGTACTAAAAAAAAACATCCATATGCCGTGGAGAGTGCAGCAAGGATTAGTTTGTCGAGCTCGAGAGTGTGTTAGGCAAGGTGATGCTCATTTTGAACAATTTTTGTACTTACTATTTCCCTGAACTAGTTTTGTTGCCATGCTCATTTGTTATTGTTAAAAACCATAGCAACGCTACTCAGATATTATCCAAAGCAACATGATTATTATATTATAAAAATGTAATATCGTCATGGTACAAGTAATGCATTGGAACTTTTAAAAACAAGTATCCCGAAAACTGTTAACTTTAGCCACTTCTAAGTAAACCTTTTTTGTTGTGGAAATTCAAGAAAATAAGGTTTTTCGGTCAGTTGTTGTATACAGCGTATCATAAAAAAGCTATGATAAGTTATTTACCGAAATAGTGCTGTAAGTGGCGCCCTCTAGAAGTTTGGCTATAAAAAATAACGGATTCTAGTTTCTCATACTGGCAAACTCCCCGATACCGAGTTTTATGCCAAAATCTGGAATACTTCTCAAGCAATAAGGAAAAATATAAAATAAATTCTAACTTTGACACCCTGTATCTCGCAAACTAGGACTGAGGTTTGTTTAAGTCAATTCACATATTTTGGTCTGTAGTATCTCCAGTATCGAGATTTCCCAACATTTCGCAGTATACATATTATTGCTTGTATGTATACCCTGCCCCGTATATTCTCATGCACATTTAACCAACTGAAGAAATATGATACTCGTACATGAGAGGGTATGACTAGTTAGGAATATTACCTTGCTTTGAAGCCGCTATATACCCCCTCTCCGTCCGAGTGTAAGATAAGCTTAAGGCCGATGGCACCTCTGTTAGATTCTATGGGACCTGGAGCCGACATGTGACAGTACCGGCCAATTTTCGTTTCAGTTCCGTCGCGGTATATGTTGTATATTTCGATCCAGTCTTCTTGGCAAATAGTTCTACAAAAACAATAAGAATGTAGAACATATAAACCGTTTTTAACAAGCAGAAGCGCGACTACTCGTATTTTGAACCGTATATTGACAATAAATTATCCAAACTAAGTTGTTATTGCCTGACATGTTCCAGATGGTCAGATTCAAACAAAATAGATTGAAACAATATTTATTCTCTTCTGAAGTTTCTAACACAGCGTGACAGTTGTAGCAGGTAACCCTTCGGGCTTGGAAAGTGATAAAGATGTGTGGTATTTTTAGTTTGTACTCACTACGCCAAAAGATCCAGTGTTACGTGCAGTGCTTTTCTGTTAATTTTTAACCAAGTCAAGTTAGAATGTTATAACTCTGGTTGATGAAATTAATGAACGAATTTTATTTTATGAAAGTGACATAAAAATTTTTACGCCGCAGCTTATTAAGTTATTGTGTTAGAGTACGATAAACGCGGAATAGAGAGCTTCTGTTATCGTGTTAAAACTTTTAATGCGTACTTTAGTGCGTAGTACGTACGTTATACTGTTGTTGTTAAGAAGGTAGAAAAGTTCCCAGTGATGCTAAATTATTACATACATTCTAATACAAACTATGTGATTTGAGATTTTTGACTCAAAGGAAGTTTCATTTTATGCTAGATTAGGCAGTCGGTATCAGAGTACAGAGCTTATGCTGTTGCTATATCATTGAGTCAGTGTCAAAGTAGTAATACTGTTGATACACTATGTTGTCTGTGGTTAGAGTAGTACTCAAACGTATGAAGCTATCAGTAATATACATTAACATCCGACATATTATCGTCATTTGCAGAAGCAACAAGTAGATTCAGAAGCTTTTGCGATCACAATGTCCTCGTCATCAGTATTGTGAACAAAGTTAAATTTTCCTGTATAACCTCAATCCTTGTATCAGTCAAGGTGCACGAAGGATAACTGCAACGTGTTACTTACCCATAGGAACCAATACTGGTGTTAACGTTATCCGCGCGAATTTTGAAATTATCGAAAACCAGCGTCACCTGCTCGTTGTCGGTGGCTAGGAATAAATAGGTGCAGTTCGTATTACTGGGGTAGTTGGAGGGGTATCGGGGTGAGTTAAACTCGCCCCTCTTCCTGCTGGTGCTCCGGTATGTGAAAAAACAAGTGCCATCTGGAGCGGCAGTACCAGGAATCCGGTACTCTGAAAATGAATTAGAATTATTTCGCAGGCTGATTTGCGCCACAATACAATTTGTATAGCATACTGTAATGACATTTATAAATAGCGGGTATTTCAAATTTGACTCTTACCCTTGGAATATTGGAAAGAGATAATGCTAACTCCTCCATATTTCTCAAGGGCAGAAATAAACACATAGAAAAAGGTGTAAATTGAACAAACTGAACATATTTCATATCCGTCATATCTAAACCGATAGATTTTAATAATATTGTCTGGCAGAGAGGCTCTATCTGACTGAATGAACGAACGTATCTTTAATCAGTTACTTAATCGCCTAAACATCTGATCAGCTGTCATTTTCAACAAAGCCCAATATGATATCCATGGGAAAAAAGGTTAATGATGAGAGACGAAGCATAATTTTGAAGTTCTAATTGCGACTTTGTCCGAAAAAAATGGCAAGGATTTTCTTGGTTATCTATATAAATGCGCAACGTTTCCCCTGTTTAACCCACTTCCTATATCTTGTCGCCATGCGATCTTGACGGTGAGAGTCGAATTTGAAACAACAGTCTCCCTACTGAGCGAGGGCCGTGGCAAATGCTTGTTCCGGAAGTTGTTGTATCCAGTATACAACTTCTTCCCGTCCAAGTGATTGTGCACGCGTTAAGGAATACCTCAGTACCGATTGCCGGGTGGCGGTAGAAGTCCGCCAACGGGCCACTTTAGGTTTATTTAACACGTAAAAAGAAGGTGGTAGACAAGGACCAGTCGTCCGAGGCAGTACCACCCGCTAGCTTTTCCCAGGGTGTCTTATAAATGTCCGCATGTTTCCACACCTAAGCTATGCAGTCGGTTATCTACCAAAACAAAGAAATTAATGATGATGGATCCCTCGAGCACTAAGAACTCCGGACGTAAACTCACTCCACTCTCGGAATGTCCGGGTGGAGGGTGGGCTCGAGGGAACAACATCGAAGATAAAATTTGTTTTTCGAACATCTGCGGGATCAACAGCAACATTGATGCTGTTCATCACTACCTGCAATCCAATCGTCCCGCCGTGCTTTTCTTGGCGGAGACAAAAATCTCAGAGACTGCATCGATTAACCATCTCAACTTCCCAAACTACGAGGTGCACTCCAATCTGAGAAAGAACGGAGGAGTTTTGGCTTTTGTCCGCAGCAGTCTTTCCTGCTCCAGGTATGTTTCTTTGGAATCAGACCGGAAGGACATTCTGTGGCTTCGCCTCAACTCCAAAGCATCACCCAAATTTATTTGCTGCCTTTATTGCTCTCCCTCGAACCATAACTGGGATGACCTACTCGAATACCTCGCCGTCCAGATCGACTTCCTGAACTTCAATCACCCCGCTTCAGAGGAAGTTCTTCTCGGTGATTTCAATGCCCATAATGAGCTTTGGTTGGGCTCTTACTCAAGGGCTGACCCAGCTGGTCACGAGCCCTACTTTTTTCCCCCGCGTCTCGTCACACGCCAGTAGCCTGCTGGATCTCTTTTTGACCACGCATCCTGTCCCTTACAGCACTGCTGTCCTGTCCCCCCTGGGTAACTCAGATCACGGTGTTGTGGAGGTTAGGTTTCGGTCAGAAGCCGCTGTGGCAGCAGAAACTCGCACAGGCCGCAAAACTTGGCATTACGGACATGCCGACTGGGAGGAGCTCAGAGACTTCTTCTCTAGCTTTCCTTGGAGAGATGTCTGTTTCACTGACGCGGATGCGTCGACTGTCTGTTCTTCAATAACCGAAATTATCCACGTCGGAATGGAGGAATCCATCCCTCACACAGTGAAAGTTCCTAAACCAGGGTCCAACGGCTGGTTCAACAAATCGTGTCACACTGCTCGCCAGCAGAAGGTCAAGGCACACAGAACCTACTTACAAAACCCCACTGTAGAGAACAGACAAGCCGACGTCGAGTCCAGAAACAAATAATAACGAAGCGGTTCGCAATGCTAAAAACCAGCCTGATATAAAAGTTAGGCACAGGTTAATGTCGCAGCGCAATGGCAGTCGGTCTTTCTGGACAGTGGCCAAGCAGATTGAAAAGAACTTCTCACACAGTAGCCTTCCACCGCTTACGTGTCAGGATGGAACTATTGTATTCGACTCAAAGGCCAAGGCGGAAGTGCTAGCCAAGATCTTTGGACGTCCCCACCAACGCCCAAGTGCCGTCAATTCAAAGGGTTCCCCACACTATGCGGGAGGTAACATTCAGGCATAAGACCGTAAGACGAGTGCTCTTGTCGCTCGACATCAACAAAGCTTCTGGTCCGGACTTGATCCCTGCCATTGTACTGAAGAGATGTGCAGCGGAGCTTGCTCCAGTTCTTTCGCGTCTCTTCCAGATATCTTATGAATCCGGCACCTTCCCAGAAAACTGGAAATTTGCTCATGTACAGCCCATCCCAAAAAAAAGGATCTAAGACCGACCCTTACAACTACAGGCCTATAGCTCTGCTTTCTGTTATAAGTAAAGTGATTTAGAGGTGCATAAATCGCGAGCTTCTGGACTACCTCGAACGTCACAGCTTGATTAGCGACAAGCAGTACGGTTTCCGGCAACAACGATCCACAGGGGACCTCCTAGCTTACGTCACGCAACTGTGGAGTAAACTCATCCAGACTCATGGTGAGGCTCATGCCGTTGCTCTTGACATCACGAAAGCGTTCGATCAGCTGTGGCACGCTGCCCTCTTAAGCAAACTTCCATCATATGGCCTCCCACAAAAGCTTTGCAGATGGGTGGCTGACTTTATCTCTGGCCGCAAGATATCCGTCGTAATTGACGGATTCTCCTCTTCATCCCACAACGTCAACGCGGGTGTTCCCCAGGGATCGGTCTTGGCTCCAACACTGTTTCTCTTACATATCAACGACCTCCTTTCCTGCACGATCAACCCAATCCACAGCTTCGCTGATGACAGCACTCTACATGCAGGAATTCCGAGTGACAAGCCGATCTCTGCCGCTGAGCTGGAAAAAAGAAGACTAGCGACGACTTCTTCTCTGACAAGAGACCTGGAGTCTATCACTGCTTGGGGATGCAACAATCTTGTACAGTTCAATGCTTCCAAAACACAGTACTGTACGTTGACGAACAAAAAGCGTCCTAGCGCTCATACAGTTTCGATGGACGGCCGAGTTCTACCAGAGAGCCATTCATTTCGGCTGGTCGGAGTCCAGATCACCGAGGACCTGATCTGGCACGAACACATCTCTTCAATAGCTGCAGCTGCTGGGAAAAAACTAGGCTATTTGTTTAGGGCTAAGAAGTACTTTTCTCCGCATGACCTTCTCACTCTATACAAGGCCCAGATAAGGCCTAGCCTCGAGTATTGCTCACACATTTGGGGTGCTGCCGCCCTGACTACATTGTCCATGCTCGATGCTGTCCAGAGGAGGGCGGTCCGACTGATCGATAACTCTTCTCTAACAGATAGTCTCGGGACTCTTTCGCACCGGCGGGCGATCTAGCTCTTTTCTATCGCTACACCAACGGGCTTTACTCCTCAGAGCTCTCTTCCATGATGCCGCCGCGCGATGTGCCTGCCAGACAGACCCGCCTGACTTCGGCGTCCCATCCCAACCGTGTCAAACTTCGTACATCCAGAACTGGCCGATACGACCGCTCCTTTGTCCCGAGTTCCCGAGGGTGTCTAGATTGTGGAACAATCTACGGGAGGAAGCTTTTCCCAGTTACACTAAGCTTAGGCAGTTCAAAAATCGTATTAACAAAATTTTTTTGGGACCATCATAGCAGCCGCGGTGTTCCGGCATTTAGGCTTCTGCCTGCGCGGCTGTTTCGATATAAAAAAAAAAGTATCTGATCTTTGTCTAGAAACTCGAGACTATTATTAGGGCTCATCGATGGCTATATAAACGGATGCCAGTAAGTCGAGGTTCACTTGTTAAGGAGACGAACAGAGTAAACGTTTTAATAAACTCACCAGTCTCAAAAGTATACTGCGCCTTAAACCCTCTACCCATAAGCTCTCCACTGCTGAAAACTAGCACCATACGAGGACCATCACTAACTACAACTCGTGGATCACTTTCCTCTCCACAAATTTCATAGTCAAATTTGTCATACGAATCTGTTGTTTCTTGGCCTTTCAGGTAGATCTTGAGGTAACCATCTGAGCAACTGAAAGTTTCATATACATGAGTCAAGGGCTACGTTCTCTGTCACTGAGTCATAAAAGATCGATGATTTTATATATATAGTATTATATATATACAGGGTGACTTTGAAGTTGAGTAATTAATTTTCAGATAATGATTGTAGAAGGAAGATAAACCAAAATATGTGTGTAAAAATAAAAAAAAAATAAAAAATTTTTTTACCTTGTTTTATAAAGTATCCTGCCGACAAGTATTTCAGTGCGGACCTGTAGTTGATCGTGAGGTCCCCTGTGAGGTCTTAAGTCACCTGATTCACGAGCCCGTTGTACTACATTAACAAAGGCACGAGGGGTTGTTTGCACTCGATTGGGAAACCGATCCGCATAAACATGTGCCATTTTTTATTTCGTTTGAGCCACGCAACACACTATTCACTGACACTGACTGTATACAAATGAATAAAATAATTGTAAAAACATCGTTCCAAATTCTTTCGCTTTTTTGTTTCCGACGCGATGAACCGATACGGCGGATTAAATCCGTTGTCGCCAAACTCGAGCACATAATATTATTATTGAGACAGGGCGGTACTCAAACTTCTAAAGGGCTATAACTTTGTTACTTTAATTTTACCAGAAAAATGGTAAAGGAAAAAAACATTTCTTTTGATCAGATCTACTCACTATTAAAATAAATGACTCAACTTCGAAGTCACCCTGTATATATATATATAATACTATAACACGTCACTTAATCATAGAAAGGACATAGTGGTTGAAGCAGTGGTGGGGAGACGAAACCTGACAACTATTCCAACACTACTAGCTACATGTTTATCTAATAGTTTACCAGACCTCCCCGATATCGTAATTAATGTCACAACGTCCAAACACGCCGCAAATCCACTGTCAAATTCTATTACTTTCAATATACTAGCCCTTAGATTGCCATATGCGAGGCCAATGCCTATAAAGTGGAACGCTGCCTCGCTTTGCCCCCAGGACATGGATCAGTTTGTCTTTTCACCCGTAGGAGAAACAAGTGAATGTTCAGTCTTCAGAGGCCGGTGAAAATCCATACAGACAGGTTGAGCCTGCCAGGCCTGCCTGAAGCCATTTTTCTCTCTCTCTCGCTCTCTCGTCACACTTTTCTTTATATGTCAATCCGGTCATTGCGGCGTTGGCCTGGTGCCTGCTTAGGCTCAACTTAGGTTCGGGCCGATGCCGAAGATCCTGGTTCCTAGGCTAACCAGATAATCTGGTATCTCATTACGTTGGACTGCACTGTCTAAGGGCCCAAAGTAGTATCACTTCTATGAGGAGCAAAAGTGTATTTCTGAACTAGAGGTGGGTATTTGTTCTGCTACTGCTTGACTATCGGAGCATATAATATGTAGGTACGTCCTGCTCACTTCAATGCTGGAGCTCTTCTGTTATGCACGTCTTTGCGCTATAGGTATAATCTTGCCCCTTAGGATCCTGTCCCCTTGGAGAAGGACACGAGGAACGTATTATGTATGTATAGTATTTATCAATAAAAATAAAATATTACGTTCTTGCAAAGCAGGAAATGATCACAGGAGGTACTTAGCTATGTGGCAGATAATCATAAGCAAGTTAAACATCTTTTGACTGGTAAATTGCTAACGATCTTATTCAAACACCAGGAGGCTTTTGGATCAAGAATTTTGACTGTATCTCTTAGGGTCAGGCTCAGGAACAATCAATAAGCCTCATCTGTTGTTAAGTAGAACAACAACAAAGATGCTATAAAAATCTATGTATGCTTTTTCCAGAGTTTCTACTGGTTTCAAGCAATCTGAATGCGACCAAGCCTTTGGAGGTATCTCTGGCTTATGCGAAAACCACTCGTGCTATATAGTGCTAATTAGAGCTAGTATCACTTTTGTACTTTTATTATTTTAATATAGTATCAATTTACCGTAACCCTGAGTTTTGTCTATTTCAGCCTAATAATATATACAAATGAGATTTTTAATTACAGTGAAGCTTAAATACAACATTTCCAAGGGTATAGCTATTTAACGATAAACCAATCTACTTACTCCCCCTTTCCTCCTGCTTTTGGAACATCGAACATCAGGAATTCTAACCGAACCCTTTCCAGATGTTGTTGGTCTTGCATCCCGTATATGAAGTACCGACAGACTAGCTTTGGCATATAAGGGAAGGGGTAGTTCGGACTGAAGAGGAATCCACTTGATTCCTTCTTACTCAAAATCTTCTGATCGCATTCGGTGCCTTTTATATGTTCGCCTTCCTTACTTATGAAATCTGAAAATAATTATTGACGTTAAAGGTACTTCATAGAAACAAAAAATATGCTGGCTTACTTTTTTATTAAGCGCCAAATTTGGAAGAATCACTTTTTTGCGTATATTCAAATAGTTATAATTTATTGGTGTAAGTAGTCCAGAAAAATTTATAGTGGATGGACCTCAAACGGTCAATTGTCCATATCTGTTAATTTATTATTACAAAAAACGTCACAAATCGTCGATATACGTCGATATATCTACATATGTTTTTACTGAAAAAAGTTAAAAAAGTTTGTGGTGCTTAATTAAATTCTGTGAAAAAATTTATTTTCGGAAACTCAACCAAAAGATGACAGCACAAAGTGCCTTCTATATTACAAACATTCATGAAAAAATACATGCGAGACATTTCTGGGTGAATATCCACCTTTTTCTACATTGCATGTCATATAGACATATCCCTAATTTAAAGACGATTTTCAGCTCGTTGCGAAAGCAATAATATTTACCTAATTTGGTGAATGAGTTTGAAAACTCAAAGATGCCCTTGAACCCCCGATTCTGAGTATTGGCAGTGCGTGGAAGGGTGACGAATGTTACTAGAAGTGAAGAATTAGATGAATATATCACTAGATTACGCTGTTGGCCACAGTATGTTCCTATTATCGACGAACTGTTGTCCAGACCATCGTATACCTTCACGTAGTCGAATGGACAACTGAAATAAATATATTCCAATTAATTCACCTTCGAATTCACTGAAAAATGCAAATTACTATTCTAAATCTTTCCGATAAGGTATAACAAAATTGGCTCTAAATTTCCCGAAAATTGTTAAACGTTTTATGCAAATATTGATCGCTGTATAAGTAAAACTACGGATACGATTAGTGAAGAAAGATAAACTCAGATAAGTAGTATACTGCAGAGAATTAAAACATTTTGGATATTCAAAGGTCAGTATAGAAGCTGAGATATCGTAGGCTGTTCTTGGTCCAATAGTTCTACCTTTGTGTACCTGATATTGAATTGACTTAAGATTGATATCAAGTTGTACAAATTTAATTTTGGTAAATCATACCCAATAAGCGTTAACGTTATATTCATACTACCTACGATATTAATGACTGATACGTTAGCGATACATGTAAATAGAGGAAGGAGCTCAACTTCTGCCGTTCTCTTAAAAAATATACGTATGGTATGTTGTATAGCTATAGTATGGTTGCAAAGAAAACTAAAATTACTCAAGATATTTTAATTCTGAGTCTTCTGAACAAGCTGGACGATTTCTATTCTAAGGACATTCATGGCACACCATGTGAACTGGTAGTTAGGAGGAACGATTATAAGGAAATCGTTGAAGAAATTAATGAATCGTCACGTCATATCATCATGTTGAAGAATAGATTCATATTTTCTAATATAGGAAGAACTTACTGAGGGCCGCCAAAGAAAAGATCGAAATCCCGAAACTCAATCCTGATCCTTTCTCCGGGGGCTCCGAGGAACTGGTAAGAGCAGTGGAGCGCCTTTGGGTAGGCTCCCGGGTACGTTGGAGTCAGCAAGACCCCCGTGTGCTTGACAGCACCTTTCACCAGGAAGTTGCAGGGACTGCCTGGTAACGGTTGCCCTATTTCGTACTCCGCTGGAAAAAATACAATTTTCAAATTCACCTATGGCAGTTGTTAAACCATGTTTTCAGCTGAAGGATCAGGTCTTTCAAAATTGTTGAGCAATAATTATTTGAAGGGGAAATAGAGTGTTGCATCTAAGCTATTTTTTTTCTATGGACACCGTTATGTGAGGTGTTATTTTGATGACAAAAATCCGTTGAACTACACAAATGATGTTCAAAAGCTATTTAAGACAAACCGATTTTAGTGGTGTATGAAGTGTACATCCTCTGAGGATTCGTAGGACATTTTTTATGGGAACTTTTACGTTATTCTGATGGTTATTTTTTCGGTTGGTTAGTGAAGCTTAATGTGTTTATATATAGTATTAAGAAACTTCTTGATGTGTTTAGGCATTTAAGTGTAGATGTGGGATTGTTGTGTTACGAAAATATGTATGTATATGTACTTAAACAAATTATAAATCAATTTATTCCTTAGGCACAATCTGCATTCTTTGCATTAAAATATAACTGGCATATACTGGGATCTCGGAAACTGTAGGAGATACACGAAGTCGCTTAAATGATGCAAAATTGCGTATCTAGGTAACTAACTAAGTATTTTCGGAGAGAGAAAGAAAAAACAGAATTCTCCCCATATTGTTTCAATTTTTCCCTGATTTTATTTATAGTGAGATTTCAAATTAAATTGCACATGAACATTCGACTTTTTCTCCTCTACAGATGGCATAATTAAAATTTCAATATGACGTTTCGTCTCGTGTCCCCCAACATCAACTTTTTTTTTTCTTAAAGTCGCTATATTAGATTTTTGCCAATAGACATTTTAATTTTGATGTCAAACTTATGTCATACATTGATATTTAGTTATTCCAGAACAACCGTAAACTAGACCAGACCTCAATTGAACATATACTAAGTGACATATAAATCCGAACACCTAGTTTAAATGCTTTTATTTTAATAAAAGTTGGAGAATATATTTATCTTACTGTAAATAACAAGTGAAAAAATTTTCAGCCTTATCAGTTGGACATTCCGGTTTTTATACTGCTTTTTTTTAATTCACTAACGCTTTAAAAATGAATATTTCAGCCGCAGTAAAGAATCAACGTTGGCGGATTTTGGTTCTTGACATCCTTTACGATCGGTTACGATGCCTAGAGTACGGAGACCTATACGATTTCGTCAACTTAGTGAGTTTGATAGGGGCCGTATAGTGGGACTTCGGGAAGCTAGACTTTCTTTTCGGGCAATTGCAGTTAGAGTGCAAAGAAGTGTGGTTAGGTGTTGTCAGGCATGGCTTCGAGAAGGCCGTACGCAAAGAGCAAGGGGCACTGGATGCCGCCGTAGAACAACAGACCGTGAAGATCGCCGCCTAAGATTATTGGCCTTAAGGGACCGTTTATCCACTACCAGGTCCATTGCAAATGAATGGTTTGCAGAACACGGAAGACCTATTAGCATGCGAAGTGTTTACCGACGAATGAGAAGTTTTTGCTTGTTTTCATACCGGCCACACTGGGTCCTTCCTTTAACTCGAGAACACCGACGTAATCGCCTTGAGTGGTGCAGACAGCGGTCACTCTGGGATCAGGAATGGAACAGTATTGTCTTTAGTGAGGAGTCTCAATTTTGTTTAGGCATGCAGGATGGTCGTGCCAGGGTTAGAAGGCGACGTGGTGAAAGGAGGAATCCACAGTTTTTTGTTGAAAGACATGTTCATCACACTGTTGGAGTTATGGTTTGGGGTGCTATAGCTTATGGTTCCAGGTCACCTTTAATCTTCATCAGAGGTAACATGAACGCGCAGCGTTATATCCACGAAGTTCTAGAACCCCATCTTTTACCCTATCTTGACACCCTGGCAGATCCAACTTTCCAACAAGATAATGCCCGACCTCATGTTGCAAGAGTCACAATAGACTTCTTTCAACATAATGATGTCACATTGTTACCATGGCCACCAAGATCTCCCGACTTATCCCCAATTGAGCACGTGTGGGATATGATGGGTAGGAGATTGCTCAATTTGCAACGTCCTCCTCAGACTCTAGAAGCACTTCGAGAGGAGTTGGTGGTTACCTGGAATAAGATACCACAGGAGGACATTGACCACCTGATCAGCAGCATGCCTAGGCGCGTTGGAGAATGCGTAGCACATCAGGGTGCATCCATACATTATTAAAGTTCAAAGGGCTTTAAAGCAGTGCAATCATTTTGAAATTTTTATCATTTACTTATTATGCTTCAAGTACTTATACTTATACAAAATTTTATTAAAATAAAACCATTTAAACTGGGTGTTGGGATTTATATGTCACTTAGTATAGTAACAGAGTTTTTAAGACTTAAAAGAAAGGAAATAAAGCAGTGAGCAATGTACACAGAAGAGTCAGGATTTGCCTACAAAATAACGAACAACATTTTAAACATTTGTTATAATTTATCTCTGCTTATTTGTGATTATTATTATTATTATTACCATCAAATCATTTTGTGTTCAGGTTTTTTCTAGACATTTTAGTTTTCTCATAATTTACATCCTACAACAAATTCATGACCAACTAAGAAAATACATCACTGAATTTAGGACTTAAATATACACAATTCCAATATAACGAAACGATGTTGGTGATGGAAGTCCGAATTGAAAATTTGACTACGCCATCTTGTAGAGAAGAATAAGTAACAATGACAATATGCAATTTATTTTGAAAATCCATCTCAAATAGTCAGGTAAAAATAAAAATGATCTTGGGATAAATCTGGTACGCGAAACATGTGATAAATACTGTTTTTTTAAAGCTAAGTTTTGGAAATGACAATGTATGAAGTGCTATTTTTGGCATCAGAATTAAAAACTGTATTCACCTGTGCAAAAATCCAATATGGCGCCAGTAATAAAAAATAACGTTGATGCAGTAGGACAAAAGACCAATCATATTGGAATTATATTTATGCCATCTTGTAGAGGAGAAAAGGTGGCAATGTTAATGTGAAACTCATTAAGAAAAATCAGCGAAAAATTCAAAAGATTCTGTGAAAATTCGGGTTTTTCGTCTCTCCCCGGAAGTAGTTTGAATTTCGAAAATTGCTAAGCGGCATTTTCTTGATTACCGGAATACGCAACTTTGCCCCCATTTAAGCGACTTTGAAACATCCTGTATATTCATTGTGCTTTTACTTCAAAAGAAAATGGTATTCAAATACAATGCAGTTGACTTCTTAATACTAAATTTATGAACAGGAAGAGAAAAGGTCACAATGTGAACGGTCGCGAACGTTCAATCTTTGTGTCATAAATCAGATCGTAATAGTTATATACAAGGTGATTAAAAAAGGATTGCAATATTTTTAGGGTAGAAAGTACATCCAGAATACCAAAAAAAGCTCCTATAAGTCGAAATTCGTTTCCAATATTCGAGATAAAATCTGTATAAGGAGCTTCAAAATATGGTGGTGATGAGGTTAGAGTATAAAAGGTGTTCAAATATTTAGGTACAATATTACATTAACATAAAAGTCACTTATCACTTGAATCTAAAATACATAGTCTCAAATTTGCTATAAGAATGAATGACGCCTTCATATTACTATTATTTTCATTTTTTATTAATTTGAGTTGTGGTTCCTTTTTGGGAGAGGAAGTTTTCGATTCGACCCTTTACAGAATTTGATGTATCAAATTTTAAGGCAATGCTCATTAGAATAAGGGAGTGAAGAGGGAAACTCTTTCGCCCGGGTACTGAAGCGACACGAAGAGAAGCGACGAATCATGTTTACGGTGCGCAAATGACAAACGACATGGCGGTTTTCTTTGCTTCGCTTTGCATCCGCTGTCATGCAACTTCATCCTTCTGTATTTACCAGACTACTTCAATTGTAATCCGTAATAAGTGTTTGGAATGCACCATTAGAGAAGAGGATAATGTACATGCCGGTGCAGTTTAAACGTATTTGCACATAATGTTAATCACAGCCAACCAATATTTCCACTAAAATTCAATTACTATACCGCAGGATTAATTTAAGCTTTTAAACTTCCAATTTGATGAAGCATCGAACCAATCAATAACCTTGTTCCTCACCATTAAGGAAAGCTTTGGATCTAAATAGAACTAAGCAGCGTGGGTGCTTCGCTATGCTTCCGCGAATTTATTAACAGTGGAGCGCGATAAAATGGTTTTCTGGTATGAAAAATGGATACGTGTCAGGTGTTTCAAATACGACTTTCAACTTTGGGATCTCGACAACGGTTGGGGGCAGGATAGCACATTCAAATAGCTAAGGCAGTGATACAAAGAATCAGATTTCAGAGTATGACCAAATATTATGATTATTATTATACATAAAAGAAGAGTTGAGCAAAAGCTATAAACTCTGAACAGGGATAAGAAATTAAATATAGAAGAAATACATAAATATAATATATAAAATAGTAGTATGGTGTCTCTTTTCTAGTCCTCGGTTATAAACTATAATATTTTATGGTTCATGTTGGATTTTTGCACAGACATAGAATTTTCTCATCTGATGCCAAAAATATATGACTCGCTGGCCTAGAAGGCACCTCCTAAGATGTGTGTATTGGTTTATGTATGACGGATGTCAAACGCGTTTGGCATCCTGTAACATTGTAGATGCTTTTACTCACTCTAAAATATTTCAGTTTCTTAAAGATTATACAGTTTTCAATATTTTCATTATTCCTCTAATATGAAAAAGTACAATTTTGTTGTTCTTCATTCTATAGGACCAACACGAATATTACTTTTTTGGACCTTCGAAGTTTTAAAACAATCCACATCCCGTTTATTCAAACCGAAAATAATAGCTATTTACCAAAGCTTTGCTCGTCTATCCAAGAATGTACTCTGAATCGCTAAACTTTCCAGGTGTCATTTTAGTTACCCGAGTAACCTAAAACTTTGGCGCCATTTAAAAGACTGTGTATCTCTCACCGTTTCCAATGGTCAGGGTCGAATTTGAAACACCTGGCACGTTTAAGGTACTTCATGAAGTATAGTATCAGTTTTTAAGTTTTGTTAGGTGACAAAATTAATGCCAAATGAAAACGTGAATATTACAAAAACGGAATTTTCTATTCAATTTTTTATTTGTCGTGAACCATTCTTACACAAGGCATCTTATACAGGGTGCGGCAGAGAGGACGGACGTTTTTGGGATGGGTAGTACTCTCCGTCTCCGTCTACGAGAGAGGTGGGGAGGGTGCCGTTTGGCTCGTGAGATCCTAGCATTATTTTACCAGATGGGGCGACCGCCCACACAGCCCGAGCATCCATGGACGTTATTCGCCCTCTCTTCCCTGGTCGCCTTATTTCCAGGTTTGGCGATGTTCATTGACCTCCTCGGTCCCCAGATTCATCCATATGCGATTTTTTCTTATGGGGACACCTCAAGGCTATAGAGTATACGCCAACAAGCCCTGAACTCTGAACGAATTGAAGGGCGAAATTCGCGTGGAAGTCGCCCAAGTTGAGAGAGCGATGTTGGAGATGGAATCTCCTGTACCTCCTAAAGTACGTGTGAAAACTATTCGGAGCCATGGACGTGTTAAGGGGTATACATGGTGTCCAGTGGGAAAGTTCACATTTCAATTACGTGGCAACCCTATACGCAAGGAAGTGGGGAGAGGTCTTGATCAGCTCGTGCGGCGTGCGGGTTAAATAGTTACAATGGAACGTTGAACCGTTCCTTTGCTTTCGAGGCTTACTTTAAGAGTGGTGATTCAAACGCAGCTGCCCTTCGGAAATTTTGTACACCATACAACATTCGCCGACCAAGAGTTGTCCCAAGAACCTATTGGAAAAGTGGATTAAGAGGTTCCGTGAAACAGGCTGTACTCTTAGTCAACCCATCCCTGGCCCCACACGTACAGTATCAACCGAAGAAAATGTTCGTCGAGTAATCCTCGGCGTTCTGTACTGAGGCATTTCCCTACTTTGGGAATCCCTAGGTCAACACTGCACGACATAATGAAGAAAAAAATGGGTTTTCATCATTATAAAATCCAATTAGTGACGAGGCCCGTTTTCACTTAGACGGTTATGTGAACAAGCAAAATTGCCGATATTCGGCACCAACGAACCCAAAAGAGAAACATCAACAAATCAACAACTGCTACTTAGTCCAAAGATGACTGGTGCGCCATATCCTCTAGCGGTATTCTTTGAAGATGAAAACGGTCATGCATGGACAGTCAATTCCGAGCGATACACGGACATGATTGACACTTTTTTTGCTCATATTGTAAGAACAAAACGTCGATATAACAGAAACACATGGGTTCAACAGGATGGGGCCACTGCCCATACTTCCAGAGAATCGATGGATACGGTGAAAGCATTGCTCGCGCGATTATAAGAGTGTGTCCGACAGGATGGCAAACAGTTGGACGGAATGATATTTAAGAAATAAAACCCCCGAATTTACGAATATGTGGATAGTAATAGATATTTTCTTTTCATTAGGTTTGTATTTTTTTTTCTTGAAGTTTTCCGCTGGACGCCCTATTATCTTTTGACCAGCTGTAATCGTTTTGGATTTTGTCTGACAATTGTACAACCAGTAAAAGTTTCAAATAGGCTTTAACAGCACATTACTGAAAGAAAACGAGGTATCATGCTTAAAAAATGGATATAAACTATCCATTTCAGCTATTAAAAATGCAGTTTTGTCCAAAATATCTCATTACACGAACTAGTTAGAGCGAGAATACAATACGACTATTTACACATTCAGTATAATGCTTCATAAGTTGGAAGCAGCAATTTTCGAATGTTCGTTCCGAAGGGAAGCTCCAATTCAAGTTGAAACAATGAACATCCCCCGATACACTTCGCAACCAAAATATTCATTAGACCGGATACAAGAAACCAAGTTCTAGTTGTACTTACTGTCGTTGATGAACTGGTACCTCCCGGTGAAGACATCGCTGGTGGTCTCGTTTTTATCCGTGTGGTAGGAGAGTGCCAACGCCCTGTACAGCGACACCCTGGTACGTGGTGGTACTGGCCCACAGTATCGCCCCCCGAAAGGTGTGTTCACCAGCTCCTCCGCCTTGGGCGTTACCACTTCCGCGTAGACATCCATGTACTCGTGCACACAGCTGGTGAAGAAATTACCATTTTTATTAACTAAATACTAAAACAGAAAACAGGCTTTAGCATACGCGAAAGTAGGATGTTAAGGCTGGCTCTGGATCTGGAACTACCTCTCTCCCCATCAAAATGTTGCTTTTAATTTAGAACAATAGGGAGAGAAAGTCCCAAAGAGCACCTATTTATTTAGGTTAAGCAGCCGAAGAAGCCAGTCGTACCATGGAGTACGTTAGTTCCAGAATAGTCAATAGTAGTGGGATGCATATGCAGTAGTATTAAGATGGAAGAGAACAAAAGTGCATCAAATGTTTATGTTTGATAACCGGAAAGTGTTGCATAGGACTGAGTGAATCCATAGTTACTGGAATGTGCGTTTAGTAAACATTACATAAACACTTTCTTACTAATCAAGTGGCATTCAAGATGCACGTGCAATGTCTTCTTTCTGCATTCACTTTATTGTTGAATAAGATTTGCAAACAAAATATTCATGCACATAGATTCATGCAGTCAATAAAGTCAATAATATCAATGTTTGTTTTACTTTTGATGGAACATGCAGCCATATACATTTTGTACATATACAAAAATAAGAGGACAACGTTCAAATTGCTTGCGCTGTCAACAATATAAAGGTCATTGTGCGAGAGCCCACATAGGAAAAACAACGTATTCTAAAGTATCATAATAATGTCACATATGTAATGATGCATTTGCGCGACCAACATGGCGGTGACAAAATATCGAGAAGATATTTATTCCATAACTAGTATACTATTAGATCGCTTTAAATGAATATGATGTAATTATCGATATAATTTGATGAATCAAATGATAATACAAAGAGTACTATAAAATTTTTGAAATACAGCTTCATTTATTGACTTCATTCAAAATAATTTCCACCACATTCAATACACTCCTCCATCCGCCAAAACCAGTCCTTAAGCCAGCTCTGCCAAGTTTCACTGGGGAGTGCGACACACTCATTGTCCAAAGCCGTCAGAAGATCCTCATCGTTAATAAGCCGTTTTTTTTTCAGCTTCATTTCCACATGAGGTAACAGTGCAAAGTCGCAGGTAGCTGGGACCTCGGTTGGCCGCGTGGGTCAGAGTGTCGTGCTACTGATCAGCCGGTCGGCCGGGCCGCGAGTTCGAATCTCGCCTTCGCCATGGATGTTGTGTGTTTGTTTTAGGCAGCAGCGGTGGCCGCAGTAGTAGACCCTTCGGTCTCCTGATCAGCCGCCGTGCGCTGTGCGGGTTCGAGTCCCGTCCCAGGAGAAATGTTTCTCTTGGCCATGGATGTTGTGATTGTCCGTAGGTGGTAGATGGTCTCTGACTGTCGAACGCGGAGGTACCACCCGGCGGTTCTCGTAGGCGGAGCCAGAATGTGTGCATGTTGCATGCACACGTGTTCCCTCGCCAGAGTCCGTGTGGCGTCCCCCCTTTCCCATGTATCCCCCATAGCCCCACGGTACCCAATGGGTGCTTAGGCCTTAGGCCTTCGTGGTAGTTGGAGTATAAAAAAAAAAAAAAAAAAAAAAAGCAAGATCTGGACTGTAAGGAGGGTGCTCAATAAGTTTCAGTCTAGTAGTGGTCAAATACTCGGTGCAGGCTTTGGCGTGGTGAGATGAAGCTTTGTCATGGTGGAGGTACCGAATGTCCATGCTTGACTTTGGCCGCAGGTTTTTCATAGACTCTATGATTTACGTACCACTCAGCCGTGACTGTCTTCTGAGTGTCCAAATCGACACGCTCTACAATCCCGCTCGATTTGAAAAATACAGCTATCATTTTTTTTCTTAACAGATCGGGATTGTCTGACAACTACGGGTGTGCCCTCATCTTCAAAGACCTTCAAAGAACTTTGTTTTGAGGCTTGGTCGGTCACGATACTGTTCACATACCGAGATAACCCCTTATCAAACATTTTCAGCATCTTTCGGCACCAAGTCGTACGACGAGTCTTCTGCTGTTCCGTCAGACTATGCGGTACCCAGAGAGAACAAAGTTTCCTTACGTGTAAGCAATAATGTTTTTCTCTGATACTGAGCTTAAATCACGCGTAAAGTTATACCGTAAAAGTACGTGACCACCATGCCATAGTCAGCACTTTACACTGTCTATACGAATGAAGAGCTAAGTCAACAGACGTTAGCGGCTACTATGCACTTATAGACATGTCTTAACATGCAGTAACTTGCAGCTTCCTGCGTCTGTTTATTAAGTCATATTGCAACGATTTTGTAGTATTGTTCTATAAAGTATGAAAGAAACTGGAACTTTGGAAACACAAGCAAATTATGTGCTGGTGCTTGACTGAATATTGTTTATATAGCAATTATATGGTTTATCGTACCATACAATAAGAGAATCATCAAAAAACTGAAAGGTGATAATACGAATTTTTTTATTGTACAACAACAGTGTCAGACTGTCCGACAAGGAGTTAAGAGTTGCGTTCAATATTTACGGTTAATAGGCACAAAAAGAAACTCAATTTAGTAGTTAGATTGAGCTTACCATTTCCGCAATATAATTCATAGATGAGGGATTCAGTTAGTATTTTGTGGTACGTTAATAATTATAGACTGGCAGTTGATGTAGAGATAGGTCCATTCAAAAATTATTAAGTTTTGCTAATTTTGATCTACAGATGACCCTTCTTAGTAGTTGAAACTAACATGTGGACCCAGAAGTGGTTGTCTTAGTTCAAGCTCAATACTTTTTCTTGGTGTCACATTTGGAAAGATAGGTGTCCAATACAAATAGGGCTGTTGACAAAAATATGATAGAAGCAGCAGGCACTACAACTGCGAGGTACGTAGTGGATGTTCAAGCCATTTTTAGGTAGGTTCGAAGGCGTTTAAGTGCCTTATACATAACTCTTACGTAAGATAGCTTGATTGGTTGTACAGAATAAAATATTGTAATTTCAATAGATAGGTAATACCGAAAAACTATCGTTAGTCATTGAATTTTAACGCTACATGCATGCATTATGCATCAAGTACGTAGTGGATGACCAATCCCTTTTTAGGAAGGTGCTACAAAACATCTGCCCGACGCTCAGGATTTTACATAAAATGGGTTGACTGATTGCACAAAATAAAATAAGGCAGTTTCAATGCATACTTAATAATAAGTATTCATAAATTCTGGGATCATGGATTATGGATTTACTGTCATTTCGACTGCTGCATAAGTTTTTTTGGAGTACTTTACGATAACAGCTAAAAATCATCAAGGGTCATGTTCTGTTCTTTGAATTATTTGCCAAAGGGAAAAAAAAATGGACCAAGTAGTGTATAAATGTGTGAAGGGTTTTTCAACAGATATTAGAGCTAAGAGTTCTCTCCGTGAAGCTGTTGCAATTGACGAGATGTTAAGAAAATATACTCAATTTCAAACATGCTTTGTAATAATAGTGCAGTATTTACCACTAACAATAACTAGCAATAAAAAAAACATATAAAGAAGAGTTGAGTTACAGCATAACTTATAAATTCAAACTACACTACGGCTCTGTATGCTTTTCTATAACGAATACTAATTTACGAAGAGCCGTAGCCGCTCGAATGTGGATTGCAGCTTTTCTATTATCTCCGAGAGGTAGTTCTTTCAATGGGAAAAGTTTCAGAGACAATAGGTTTTATAACGAGTTAACAATTCCCAGCTAGCTGAGTTATTGTTCTCTTTAAGGTTTCAATTAACTAAGTAGAAGTTTCGTTCATCTGATGTGCAAACTGAGTGTCGGAGGCAATCAGTATAGAAGAAGACAGTTAAAACGTTTTTGTAACTTCCTTCGTATCATCTGAGTTCGAATATGCAAAATTGCAGCAATTTGTTACCTACACCTTAAGAATTTTAGACAGAGCCTTTTTGTCATCGATTCTTCTCAGAAAGGTGTCTTGTCCAGATCACGTTCCTAAGGTATAAAGCTATCCATAAATCTAAAAACAGTAATCAAACTTTATGGTTGTCAGGTGGTGGGTTATGGTTCATTGCATGAGCTATGATTCGAAATTAAAAAGCATGCAAGCATCAATGTTTTAGTGAACTTTTGTGTCCGTTTAGGTCTGGTTCATACTTCAGATAGTCACGTTGACATTGCTAGAAGGACTATGATCTGCTGCCGAATATGTTATTAGTATGCCAAGTGGGTAGAAGTGTGCAGACCCCCAGCACGGGTATTATGTAAAAAACTAAAAAACGTCCAAAAAACCGACAAAATGGCAACTTGCAGACTAGGTAACGGGTGATTTTTTTAAGAGATTTGATTTTCAAAAAAAAAAACACAAAAAATTTAACAAAACGACTAAATATTTATTTGAATCGATAGAACGGTCGATATAATTTAATGTTTAAAGATTATTTCATGTAAATGTTGGCCGCGGCTCCGCTTTAGATAGCTCTTGCGCAAGGTCCAATTTTGGCACACTCTCTCCAACATATCGGCCGGTATCTCACGAATAAATGCTTCAATATTGGCTTCCAGTGCGTCAATCGTTGCTGATTTTGACATTAGCCTGAACATGGCCCCACAAGAAAAAGTCCAATGGCGTTAAATCACACGATCTAGGCGGCCAATTGACGGGCGCCAAACGTGAGATAAACTGTTCACCGAACTCGCCTCTCAATAGGGCCATTGTTTCGTGTGCGGTGTGGCATGTGGCACCGTCTTGTTGAAACCACATGCCAGCCAAGTCCAGCTCTTCCTTTTTGGGCAAAAAAAAGTTTGTTATCATCGCACGGTAGCGCTCGCCATTCACAGTTACGTTCCGGCCATTGTCGTCTTTGAAGAAGTACGGCCCGATGATGCCACCAGCCCATAATCCACACCAAACAGTGATTTTTTCGGGATGCATTGGTAGCTCTTGCAATGCTTCTGGTTGGTATTCACTCCAGATGCGGCAATTTAGCTTGTTAACGTACCCATTCAACCAGAAATGAGCTTTTCGCTGAACACAATTTTTCGATAAAAATGTGGATCTTCCTTCAACTTTGCC